CTACGGCAGGGGTATCTGATGATAGTAGTATGTGGGGAATACCGCGAGGTTCGTATCCCATCATGAGGAAGAACGGTGATGCGTTCCTTGCTTCATGTCTTCGGTGGTTGTGTACAAATTCGGCGAGGGGTAGATGGTCTGACCATTCATAGGGGTTACTCCTGCAGTATATTCGGAGGTATGTTTCTATCTCTTGATTGAGCCGTTCGGTCTGACCGTTGGTCTGAGGATGATACGCCGTGGAGGCAGCGATCTGATATCCTAGGAGGCGTGCTAATTCTCTAGAAAACTTTGAAACGAACTGAGGACCTCTGTCAGAGATTACTTTTTCGTGGAGTCCGAAACGTTTGAATACGTTTTTGAAAAATAGTTTAGCCACTCCTTCAGAGGAGATGTTCTTGTTGCAGGGAGAAATAATCACCCCCTTCGTAAGGCCATGGTCTACCACGACCATGAGAGAGTCAAAACCGTTGGAAATGGGGAGGTCAGTGACGAGGTCAACGGAGACCTGGGAAAAGGGGCGAGTGGCAGAGGAGGGGATGGGGACAAGGGGCGGTGAGACAGGGTGAGTGTTGGCTTTCATTTGCTGACATAGAGCACATCCAGTGACATAGGAGCGAATAAAGGTGCCCATGGCAGGCCACCAGTAGTCACGTTTGACAAGTTCTTCGGTTTTAAACCGCCCAGGGTGACCGGCGGTGGGATGGTCATGGTGACGGAGTAATATGGTCATCCGGTGCGGCGGTGGGACATAGGCGCGAGATTTATAATAGAGCACCCCGTCCGATATTTTCCAGTCTGAGAGGGCCGATTTCATAGGGGGCAGGCAAAGTCCATCCAAAGTGTCACTGGCGACGGAGAAAATGGGATCATCCAGGGAGTTCTTGGCGAGAGCGACGGACAATTCGTCATCGAGCAACCGTATAAACATGGAGTCTGGAAGGAGCACGCGATCTTCATTGTCATGTTCCCCGAGACCGTGATCCGGGCGTCGAGAAAGTGCGTCGGGCGCAGCAAGTTTCGTTCCAGGAACGTGGTGCAATTCAAGATCATAATTGGACAAAACGAGCTGCCAACGCGCTTATCTTCGTGAGAGTTTCTGTGCTTTTGAAAAGTAAAGGAGGTTCAAATGATCGGTGAAGACGAGAATGGGGTGGGGGTTTCCTTCTGGATAATGGCGCCATCCATTGAGAGCACGAATTATAGCGAGCAATTCGCGGTCGAAGATCTCGTAGTTGCGTTCAGTGGGGTTGAAGGACTGAGAAATATATTCACAGGGGTGATAGACGCCATTTTCGTCCGTCTGGAGGAGTACGGCCCCGGTTGCTACCAGGGAGGCATCTGTGGCAAGGGCAAATTGTCGTGTAGGATCAGGGTTACGTAGCACCGGTTTTGTCGTAAAACATCGTTTGAGGTTATCGAACGAGGTCTGGGCGTCATGGGTCCAGGCGAAGACTTGATCTTTTCGAGTGAGATTGATAAGTGGCCGGGCGATATCAGAGTAGTGGGATACAAACGCTCTGTAAAAGTTGCAAAATCCGAGAAAGGAGCGAACATCTTTTACGGAAGTTGGGATAGGCCAATCCTTTATCCCGTCGACTTTGGCGTGTTCCATTGCTACTTCTCCAGGACGAATAACCATCCCAAGGTACTCTACTTCTTCTGCGTCGAAGGTACACTTTTCGGGTTTGACAAACAGTTGTTCGCGACAGAGTATCTCCAATACTCTTTTCGTTCGTTCGCGATGTTCAGCGAGGTTGGAAGAGAAGATGAGCAGGTCATCCATATATATGATGATCCATCCTTCGTTGATCTCGTTCTGAAAACGATTGTTCATATAGGATTGGAAAGTGGCGGGAGAGTTGGTTAAGCCAAAGAACATTACAGTGGGCTCGAACAGGCCTTCTTCAGTAGTAAAAGCCGCTTTCCATCTATCGTCAGGGTGGATTCTGATATTGTTATAGCCGGAACGTATATCGATCTTCGTAAAATATTTGGCCTTGTAGAGTCGTTCTATAAGAGTTTTGGGAAGCGGGAGCGGGTATTGGTTGCGCACGGTCCAATCATTGAGGTATCGATAGTCTTGGCAAGGGCGTAACTCTCCGCTCTTCTTTCCTACAAAGAAAAATCCACTGGCTTGCGGGGATTTCGAAGGTACAATAAACCCTTTCTCCGTGTTTTCTGCGATAAAGGTTTTCACCGCTTCTCTTTCTTTTCCTGATAGTGGGTAGATTTTTGACGTTCTTGGCATGAATCCAGGCTTCAGGTCGATTCGATGATCAATACCAGGCCGTTCCGGTGGTAGCCTATTGAGACCGTCTTTCGCAAAAATATCAGCATAGGTATGCAGGTAGGAGGGAACGAGTTCTTCAAAACTCTTCTTCATCTTTTCTTTCTCCCCGGCCATAGCAAATTCCTGGGCCTTATTGCTGGTTTTCGAATATCCTTGCTCCTGCTTTGACGTACCGTCTTTGGTGAGAGGAGTGTCAAAAGAGATGTCGGAGATTATTCTAACTTGAGAACCGTCAGGGGAGTATTCGATCAAGACATCTTCATCGTTTAGGGGATAGAGGGAGGGGTCGACCACTGGAGGTGCATAGTTTTCGGACCATACATCTTCCTTGGTATCGTAGTCCGGTCCATCTTGATCCGGTACGAGGCGGGGAAGTTCTTCGTCAGTAACTTCTTCGACAGAAGCTCGTGGATAGACGGGGTTTTTCTTTAATTTGGAATTTTTCCATTCATGGGACAGCTCTTTCTCTGCAGGAGTGGGGGAAGGGAACAGCAGCGGCAGATTGCGCTGCTTCCTAAGATGATCGATGTTTCTTTCGATCTCGAGTGATCGTTCGTTCGGTGTGAGAGATAGTTCTTTGTTCGTCCAGTTGATTGACGGGTTTAGTGCTTTCAACCATGGGAAGCCAAGTAGAATTTTGTCTTTCTTCGAGAGCTTGGTTATGTTGAACTTTCCTATCATGGTTCTTCCGTCAATTTTGACGATGAGGACGCAGTAGCGAGAGATGAGTCCCCCTCTAGCATCAGATCCGTCTGCGGTTATAACGGGAAATGGTTTCGAGAGTTTATGGGTCTTGATTCCGTGGAGCTTGCAGAATTCCTTGCTGATGAAGGTTCCGCTTGCTCCGGAGTCGATAACCATTGAGGTTTCGATGGTTTTGTTACGCTTGGTGGAAATAATAGTGGCAGGGACGCGAAGCTCTTTCTTATTTCCAAGTGATTGTACAAGCTGTATTGAGACAGGAGGTACTGACATCGATGCAGTCTCCTTTCCTAAAAATCCATCTCCACGAACCGTCGGTTTACCTCTTCGTCATCACTACTTTCTTCTTCTTTTTTGACCTTCCTCCGGATAGGCATTTTCTGTTTTCTATCTTCCCTAGGGTGGAACGTGGTATCATTGGCACGATGGCCCGTCTGGTGGCATTTGAAGCAGCGTCCTTCTTTGGGGTGTCTCTTTACTTCGAATTCGGAGAGCTGATCTATCTCCATGGCGTCGCTTCTGCGGGGGGTGAAGTGGCGATCCCCGTACTTCTTCTTCTTATGCTGGTAGTGCGCGGGATTTTCTCGTTTCTGTATGGCTCTCAACCTCTGGAAGGCATTATCTAGGTTGATGCATGTTGCGATGACAGTTTCAAATCGTCTAGACTTTCTCCCGTGTGGTAGAGGTTGTTGCGAAGTCCTACGTCGAGACCTTCACGGAAGAACTCTACTTTGGTGACGTTCTCGGTTATTCCTGCTTTATGGGCTAGGAGGCGGTAGTTGGAGATATACGTGTGGAGGTCTCCTTTCATTTCAAGGGCTCATACTTTAGCCATGGCCGTTCCGGCAGGGTCTATAGCTCCAAAGGCTTCTTTGAATGCGACTTTGAATTCATCCCAGGTGCCGTACCCAATGAGATTTCCTGCGGTATTCTTCAGCTTGGCATTCTGGGCGGTCTCCATGAAGTCTTCTTTCCAAGCGGCAGCATTGCCCTTGGTCATAAACGAGAGTGCGAAGATTACTTTCTTCTTGTCACTGTCGTAGATCTTATCGTTGATATCTAAATACGCATTACAGTTCAGCATGAACCTGTGCGATTCATCGCGATCTCCATCGAATTCGGGGGGAGAACCGATCTTGATTTCTATTTCTTTGGTAGTGGTCGCCATTGTATTCAACGGTGGTATCGGCGGTAGCGCGCCTAGGTTCAAAGCTCCGATCAAAGGAGTTAACAAAGTCGTGGTGTTCTGCTGACGTCGCAGGTGGCGGCGTCTATGGTAGGACTTTAATCTTTTGTTACGACTGGGGTATGTCGAGCTGTCTTAGTCCGAGTGGACTGAGATTCGGCGAGACAGACGTGGTTCTTCTCTCGAATGAGAGTTCAAAGGTTTCTGGCTAAGGCAAGTATCGGCGACTTCCTTAGAATAGTGGTTCTTAGATAGCAAGGTTGGAGACCTTGCTAAAGGACTTGTTCCAGGTAAAACCCAGTAGATTAAAGTGAAGAACTACATGTGGTACGCTATGTGTCTATATAGCGAGAGTTCAAGCGGAGCTTGTAAATGCGTATCAAGATAGAAGGCGGACAGCCCGCTTGGTAAGTGATAAGAGATAAGAGATAGGAGATAGTAACCATGGTGTGGACAGCCCACTTTGATAAGAGATAGTCGGCTAAACATAGTGATGGTTACTGGTATGGAAGGTTATCTTGGCGATGATATGAGTAAGGGTCTGAAAAGTGATTGGTCGTTCGTTAAGGGCCGTATCCATGTACCATTGTCCGGTAACAAAGGAGAAACGAAGAGAATGAATATACCGTAACAGTTAGTGCAAAGTGTTGGTGCTCCTCCCCACCTAACAGAGACCACAAGTTCCTTAACGATATGGACAAGAGGATGGTATTAAGGAAGAAGAGAGAAATATTACGTAAGCTAGGCAAGCTACTTGATTTGTAGGGATCAGCGATGACGATTACATAATATGGAGGCGAACTATTACACATCAGCAAGTCACAAGTCGAGGTCATCATCTGGTAGGTAGGACCTCCTATGTAAGATATTCTGCCAATATTTAACTTGTAAGAAACGATCATGAGAGATGTAGTGAGGTTCAAATATGTTTGAATTACTGGACTCTAAGTATACATCAGTAAGATTTGGTAAGGAACAAGCAAAAAAAGTGGCAAGTGCAACATCATTGTAAGGTGGGGTGACTCCCACAGTGAGCGTGTTGATCAACTTGTTGATGGGGAGAAGATTCAAGTCCAATGCGCCTAGACTGCAGTTAAATACAAGCCCAAGATTAGTCAAAACACGGCAATGCAGCAGAAGGGATGAGACACTGGCTAGCGATGCCCTAGGGGGGGTTGACCAACAGCAAAAACAGCCGAGAAAAAGGCTTTCAATTTGGGGTGAGGCAAGGGAGAGGGAAAGCAGATTGTCATCATCTAAGGTGCACATATTGAAGCAGCCGAGGTCGATGTGCGTAAGTGAAAATGGATAAAGCGGTGTGACATGCCTGAGCTCTAGCGGGGGTACATTGCATGGAACGAAAGTGGTTACATTCACACTGAAATGTGTGAGGTCGGACATTGAGAACAGGGAAATGGCAGAAGGATTGGGCAGGGCCGCCAGGGAGTTGATGAATTCACCCAGCACAATGCCACCGAGCTGGTAAAACAGCGAGATGTTCAATTGCTCGCAAGGGACCTGAAACCTATGCAACAGGATGAGGGCAGTGGTGAAGGCCTCATTGTCTGGCATGCCGTGCATCAAGCTCGTCCGAAATGCAATACCAAAGGAGAGAAGGGGATGATGGAAATGAGGGGTATGCAGCGGCAAGTACAGTTGGCCATATATAACCACTGTCAGGTCGAGTAGTGAGGGATGCAAAAATATCGGTTCCATGTCCTCAATCAAGGGGACTTTCAGAGAGTGAAGGCTAGGGAAGAGGTGAATGCTTTTAATGAGATCATGAACGGGTTGGCCAAGTTCGAGCCAGGCAAGGTTTCGGAGGGAAGGAAGTGCACTGAGGACACGAGAGAGAACAGGCTGTGAGTAACTGCACAAGTCTGGGAGGATAAGCATTTGGAAACTGCTATTGATGATGTATGGCAGGATTTCGATAAGAAGACTGCTCGAGTCGGCTAGTCGCAAGTAAGTCAGGTGTGGAAGGAGGGGGGCATTGGATCTAGAGGCATGGCAAAGGAATATGGATATGAGAACAGAGAGAGCCTGGACGTGTCACAATCGTGCGAATGTGAGGGGCATAGAGATCGACACGGTCAAGTTGGCATGGTGAAGGGAGCCAAGAAAATTTCTAATGCGACGTGAGGATTCTGCATATCGAGAATAATGAAATAACTCACATAGTCCCATGTTCCATTTCGACCGAGATGCCTTTCCACCACTTGCTCCAGCATAAGGTGAAGCAAGGGTGTTGGAGAAGGCAACTCCTGCCATAAGACCATCAGGGCGATGTCGGATACGAAATTATTCACTACTAGCAGGGGGAGCAAATGGCGCCAACCGTTAGGGCTGCTGTAGATCAACTCGCATATTGCGAGCATGACTTCGTATGGGAAAGGCATGGGTAGTTTTTTTTCTGGGACAGGCGCTGGGTGCTGGCTACTTAAACTAACCGGTATCTTGAAGATAAGGCAATTTGAATCTTGTATTAATCTGAGGGCTTCTCATTAGACATTAATCATGTCCAGGAGGTCATGGTTCTTCTTGATTGAAGTGATGCTGGCCACGTGCCCCAAACCTTAGACTCATAATTTAGTAGCATGTTATGATATATAATTTGGAATATTGACCTGAAAATTACTCCAAGATCCATGGGTAACAATAAGGCAATCAGTGGGTGGTGATCACAAAAGTATTGGGCACTTACAGAGCTCCTGTGGCCACCGCTCTGTGAATATTTTATCTAATGATTAATGCAAAAGAGAACTTGCGTCAACACAGCATACCACAATTAGAATTTAGAAGCTCACCTCTTGGACACTTTGACACATATCGGTACAAGAGAGAATCATTACATAAGCCACCAAAGCTGCTCAATTTGTAGCGATGACCGATCCTGCTTACATAAGTGATTTGTGATGTCCGATGCACGATATTTCTACATTGAATGGTGCACCTTGTATCAGTAATACACGTACATAAAGATGTAACTAATTGAGTGGGTATGCTAATATAACTAATCCTAAATATATGGTACTTCCTCTATACATGCTTGACACGCTCTACTAAGCAAACATCATCAAAACTTAAGGTAACAGTACTCCGCGAGGTTGGCAAAAGCTTCAACTCGACGGTGCGATTCTTAGTGTTGCACTTTGCAATGGTCCTAATTCCCCCATGATACTGACCGTCCATGATAAAACATTCTTGATGTTTTTTGCGGGGTTGAGCCAGGGTGAGAAATTCAACGGGAATCTGGTAGTCCACTCTAGCACTGCCTGCAGTCTTAGCAGTGGCCCACACTGAGATGTGACCTGCAGGGGCAAGGCCATTGGCCCCACAGAATAGATCGGGACAATGACTGTATGCTAAGCATTTAAGCAACTTGCCACCCTAGAAGCCCGCCACGACATTAAAGAGGGCGTGGTAGTCATGGAACTGCGATGCATGTTCCTTCAGCCAGTAAATTGGGTCTGGAATAAGAGTGAGTGCTGCGTTACGATAAAATCTCAGATTACTAACCGTGTGGTTTCGGTTCATTTTTTTCAACCGTGGCATCTATGCTGTCGCTGGGGTGGACGGTCCAGGGTCTTCCGTTGCAGGACTGGCACTGTCTGGCTGTGAAGAAAATGCAGCAAGAACCTCCGGGGACCAGGAGGCCCATGTAGAGGATGAGCCAGAGTCTTGAATGGAGGGTGCAATCTCGTCGGGTGGAGGGGTGATGCTGCGAGGTGAAGGTGCCGGTGCCATGTATAACTTCCTGTGCATCTCGCAGAACAAAGTGAAGTCAGACCATTCCAACATGGTGCCATTTAATCGGCAACCGTACCTGTAAATGTGTTAAGCTTGAGACGACAATTAATACCAATAAAGCAACTCACAAGGTGGCAATGTCACAGCATTTGACCGTGGTCCAAGGTTGACCATGTACAGCGATGGTACAGGTATCCGTGGATATGTCATACAGGGTTGCTCAATAACCCTTCTTTGAGCCCCCAATAACAAAGACTTCCTTTTGAATAAAATTGTAAAAGCCATTGAGGTCAGCATTGCACATCTTCATAACGAAGCGAATGGGAACTTTAACCTGCAAAAAGTTAGGGCACATTTCGTGTCTATACAGTAGGACTTATGAGCTGTTGTTTGTCAGTCTCTAACGTCAATTGAGCGCTGAGGAAGTCTACATTGCGCACCACTCCCTCTGTGTGAAATTCGGGTCCACGAGTGATGCAGACCATATCTCCGGGTCTGACATCATAACCGTGCTCCTTGGTGAATTTTATGGTGGTGGGAAGGTACATGCGTTTGACCATAGCGGCTGGAACTTGGATGAAAGGCGGCACTACATGACTGACAGCATCATTCTTCAACAGCTCCCCTTCATCCTGGAACCAGGTGAGGCCGTCTGAGGCCCATTGCACAACTCTGCTTTTGCCTATCCAATCTCCAACTAACACTTGGACAAAGTCGCCGATTTCGATGGACTTCGATTCCTGCGCAGGGTTGACGTATATTCGAGTTGACAGGTGGGCTTGCAGAGTGTGATCGACCGGACGACGATCCAAGTAATATTTGGAGACCTCAACCTAGAAATTGATTAGAATGAATTGTACAAATGATCTTGAACATACCAGTTCCTGCGTCCTGGACTGACAAATAGTAAAGATATCGTCGTTTTTCTGCACGAGGTGGCCTTCTAATCCCAAGTAAGAACCAGCTAACACACGAACTTTATCGCCAACGTTAAACACGTGCTCAACGTTGCTGTGTGTAGCCTCGATTTCCCTGTGCCAGCCATCCAAGTCAAACTCTAATCTAACCAAACCACTGATGGCGTGATCTGACATTAATACCATGCAAATCTGGCCCGCTAGATCAGCAGTGGTAAGGCGGACCGAATCCCCGAAGTGCAACAACTGTTTAGAGAAGGTGATTTCGGCCTGTTTGACGAAGGGCGTATCCCAACCGGATTGGAGATGCAGCCAGATGTCGTCTGGATGGGGGGAGTGCACCAACTCAGTGCAATAATGGTGGAAATGTTTCTTTAAGAGACCGCCATAATATTCCTCGCCTTTGTATTTCAAGCCGACGACTTCTCCATCGCGAATGACGTCAGTCACCGAGATCCCGGCAGGTAGGCAGGAAGGGTCAAATAAAGCAACGGAACCTTTCGGCATGTCATAGGGGAATTTGTGAGGAGGAATGAGCACAGTGACAAAGTTATTTGTCTGCTCCGAGTCGAAGATGTACGCGATGGTGTCCTTATACTTTCCGCACTTGATTCTCAGCCACACAGGGTTAGGAAATTTCAAGCATAGTGCATTCACCGCAGTTTCTTCATGCTCGTGTATGCGGTCCCATTGCTTGATTGACACTTTGTGCGACTCCGGGACGGCTGCCATGATAGTCATTGGACTATCGGAAGTGACATAGATATGCACAGGAATCCAAGGCGATATAATGACCATGAAGCCTTTTTTGTCGAGGTATTCAGCGAGGAATTCCCTGGCAGTCACTATAATGTATTGAGGGTCGTAAAGACACTGAGCAAATTGAAACTTACCATGCACACTAAAAACATACATCCTGCTGGGAATAAAGCCAGCCATATGGCGAGTTGCGACTGGCGACAGTCGATGGACTGTAGTCCTGCTACCACTGGCCACATTCTCCTTGATCCTGTCGATCGTATCGGAGAGTCTGTGCTTCACGACTGGCAGAAGTGTCAGCCTCCCGTGTTCGGACGGACCATCCTGGATGTCAGTATCCTCCTCCTCCTCCTCCTCCTCCTCCTCCTCCTCCTCTTCTGCTGCTTTCAAATCAATATACAGGTTCTTACGCTACATTTAATTAGTTGATATTCTGCATTGCATTGAATAAAAGTGCTTACCACGTGAGTCCGATGAGCATGCAATCCAGAAGCCGAACTTGGCGCTGTCTGGAGGTACTCATGCTTCAGTGCACGTAGGTTTGACAGCGCGAGCGCATCATCGCCATCGCCAGAAAACAACGCCAATTTGACGTTGATCCACTTGCTAGACGAATGATGATCACCAACGTACTTTGCAAACTCTGTCTCTGTCTGCTCGTAAGTCTGATCGGTTGTCAGAAAGTGCTTGAGTATGTCCCAAGCGCCAGGATCGCCCAAGCTCGACGGTGGCACTAGGAGACAAAAGGTATAAGTGAGCATATCAAAATGTTGTACTATCCACCTACATTCAATTCTAGCTTGTTTGGCTTGACGCTCCTCTTCATTTGGGGAGGCGTGCTTAGACATAATCTGAAGTTCCAAGTGTCAATGATTTGTTTCGGCTGATTGAATGACTACATACTTGCTAATTAATCAATGTACTAGTGATGTGTAGTAAGGTGCTACTGATGCGTACTAATGTTTGACAACTATGAGATGAGGGGAAAAGGAAACCTGCAAACGCAAAGGTCAATCTTTTATAGGGATCAGCAATGAGATGCTTACCAATAATTGTGGTCACGGACCACAGCAACTTTAGATTGTTTTGTGGTCCGAGTATTGTGTGACGCATATGGTAGGTAGTATTGTGGAGACAGACCACAGGGACTCTATATTATTGTGGTCCGAGTATTGTGTGACACATATGGTAGTTAGTACTGTATCATGGACTGGAAAGAAAAGCTGCAAAACGCCAAGGTCAATATTTTATAGGGATTACAAATTTGGAATCACTTACCAATCGTTGTGGGCATTGTGGTGCAGTGAAGATTTCAAATGCAATGGGCGCACCTGATGTGGTGTGGATAGCATAAAATTCAATTGTTTTGCACCCGACGCATTGTACGTATACTATTCCAAAATTAACAATACTCACATTTTGTCAAAGCATATGGGTGATACAATACACTAATTAACTACAATAGCGGTATGTGGAGAGTGGAAAAGAGAAAACATTTGTCATCAAAGAAGTTCATATAGGGACAAGCAATTGTGATTCAGACTCCGCTGGAAACTACCGGCAAGTACCATAGAGTATATACAGATGTGGTGATGGACAAATCCAGCGGACTTTGAAAATATATTTGGCGATCCCTATATCAGGCACTTGCCCCACATTCTGACTGTCCTTTTTGAACTACCATATGAGTCTGTTATATAGCGTATTATTGAGTTTGTTATGTTGCTATAACTGTAGTCTGTAGCATAGTAAGGACTAGATGGATCATAGACTGGCTGCTATTAATTATAGATGCTCGATAATTATAGACTTGCGTCGTCGATATCAACCTTCTATTGATCAATTATAGACCTACATAACTATAAATGAGTCTCGGTAGGCCTACACTTAATTATAGATTATAGACTGAATGTCATCTCTACTTATAGTGGACAGTCGGGGTAGCGATAGCCCCCTGATGAGAGCTCTCGCGGGCTCAAAACCGTCGGGCAGAGGCACACCAGGGGAAACACGAGGTGAGGCTGTTCAAACGATTATATGTATTAATAAAATTTCACACAACAGGCCCATTAAGCGTCTCGCTTGTCATAGTAAGTACACAGCCATCAAGCAACATCTAATAGGGCCAGAAATGATACTTTTTCATGCCTTTTACATGCCCATGCCGCAATATCAGCTACCTGTCGAGCCTTTGATTTATATTGTCAATCCTTCGACGAATGTTGTGATCCTTGGGAAAGAGCATGAAGTTGTGAAGATGCCTTGAGAACTTGCCGGTGTGGTGTCATTGGAAGGGCACTGGTAAAGTCCATTGGGAGATTTTTAATCATGTCTCAAGCAGTGAGAGATAAAAGTTGTATGAAACTCGTGATTGAAACTTAACATGGCGTATAGTCTGAGTGAGAGCAACGAACAGGAGCAGACACAAGAGGAAGTTACACAGGCAGATGAACTGCAAAACTGTCCATGCAGCACATCACATCCCAGTTTGGGGAGCATGAGCTGACCTTGGCGCAGCACAAGAGCAAATGGTGTGTTGGCCTTGTGGTGTAGAGTCTCACACCTGTTGACATTGACAATAACAATGCTTGGGTAGGTTTCACACTCTTTGTGACTAGCCAGAGAACACAATAACCATTGATGGGCCCGCTCACAAGACAGCTGATGCCATAAAAGTGGTTGGCACCCAGAGCAGGCCAGCAGCACAATCAGCCAATAATACCCTATTTTTGAACAGATGGAACAGACACTTTTCTCATCAAGTATTGGTAATTTAATACCGGATGCAGATCACATTGTAGTAAGTATTTATTAACTTGTTGATGTGTATTAATTTCTTACAAGACCAAGTGCAAGTGCAATTATGTTCACAGGATCTCTATTCCAACATCTTCAAATGACATTGACACTTTATCGGCAAAGCCCCGTGTTAAAAACATCTTTTCAATAGCAAGACGGGGACTTGCAGTATTGTATGCCAGAACTCAAGTGTGTTTATGCAAATTCAGAGGTGCTTGCGTGCGCCTTGCCAACTGTGGGAAGCAGGTATGTTTTTGTCCGACCTGGAAATTTCACAGTGGTCTTACTTTTCACAGACACGAGAAAAGAAGCAAATGATATGCAATCATATGTGATGCACTACCCACTACACAAAAATCTCGATATTTCTAATACTTTTCGTTATATAATACTATACCAAGCATGCAATCACCATAAAAGTAGTTGTATCATTACTAGTGTCTGACACCAATTACCATATCCCCTAATATGTATCTGAATTATATAAAATGACTTTCACCTTTAAGGAGTGTTTTATTGCTATTAGTTATGGTCCATTTGTGATGGATGATCATGGATCTTTATCTTGAGAGACAAAAAAAATGAAATTAATTGGCTATACACCGCTACTTAACAAGATTTAGATATTTGGCTCAGGAATGAGGAGTTCCAGTAATATAATTGATGAGAAAGGGCTTATTGATGCTTTGAGGTGCTCAGATACTAAGCGAATAGCATGGATCTCATTACAATCTACACGAAGTTTTTCTGAAATCTATTGACTGCGATGATTTCTTGTGAAATCAAGACATTGTTCTAACCCCGTGCATTAGATGTTGATGAGAAATGGAAACTGAAGACTAAGTCAAAAATCCTCCAACGAAAACTATGGTGATCGTGCACAGTATGGTTGTTATTAAAGACCGATCTGGCACTGTGAAAATACCAGCTAAAAGGCCCAGAGTAGAAAATGCTATGCTATTGAATAACACATATTCATCACTATTGTGATAGATTCAAGTGAGAGTGAGAAAATACCTTGTCGTTCACAACAAACTAGGAGCGCTATAGATGATGGCAACCTTCGTAAAGTGGTATTGCAAGTCATGAGACTGTTAAAATGTTCGGGTGAGAAAATAACTGCAAGAATAATCTATTGAACTTGAGCGCACGGCAAATTGAAGAAACTTCATCTTCTGCCCAAAGTGTTGTGCCACAACACCCGCAAAGATGCAGTGGATGCTAAGGATAAGTGAAAGAGAGCATAGTGTTCTTGTTGTTACTTTGGAAGCAATATTCGGAATAGCAAGTATGCTAGCATCTACTGCCATGATAACGCCCACCTGGGAAAGAACAAGCACACAAATATCAGAAAAGTGTACGTTGATGGTAAATCACATACCAGAGTGCTGTGCTTTATGTTGTCGTCATTGAAATGGTTAAGGAATTTCTTAATATCAAGCAGATTGACAATACCATCAACGTGAAGTTTTTTAACATGCTCCAATACCATCACTGGAACACCAAACATAGCAGCTGTCGATAGCAAAGATAAAAACCGGATATTTCGGTTTTGTTTGCTTCCCTCAATTGAATGGGTCCACATCAGACGAGCTTCTGGAAAACCATAGTAGTTGAGAAACTGGTGATGGCCTTTCCAGCAAATTAAAACTAAATTTTCGGAGCGCTGATCCTGTCACTTACGTAAAATATTCCATATCCTTCCTGTTAGTTTATGCGAGTCAGTTAGTATTCGAACGAGAGCCGCAATCAACACAAGCGCACCACAGTATGCGATACCTTGTTCCTTCAAGGATGCATCAGAGTTGAGAAGATTCTCTGCAATTCTGTTAAAAAAAAGGGAAAGGTTGTATAATGTCTTGCAAAGTACCAAAGCTAATAAGGCAAGTGATCACTTTCTCCATTTGGTCGGTGCTCCAAAACAATGATGCCGCAGTTGATTGTTCCAGAATCAACCCCTCTATCATTTATTCTTTGATATCAGTCATTGCTTGATACAAGATGCATTTCTTACCTGCCAGATACCATTCTAAGTGTGCAGGTAGCTCAGTAGCATCCGAGCGTTGCATACTATAATGACTTGGAAAGAAATCAATGTGCTTCCTAAAAAAAATTCATGTCAGTATCCCAGAAGTCTCTTTTCTACCTCATCAACATGTTCTCACCAAAATTGTGCCTCCAGCTTGAGCCCTGACACCACCATGGAATTATCAGCATAATCAGAACACGTTCATTGGGGAATAGAACTTGCTCTTGTGGTTCCACTCTCTTGCAAAGGTGCATTCCTGGAATAGAAGGTCGGCGTTAAAATCCTCAAACCAAGCAATGGTGTGGGCATCCAGTACCACACAATAGTATTCATAGTAGTCTCTGTCTTCTCTTGTAACAGGCTTTATGACCATATACCATGTTTCTTCCTGCAATCTCCTGTGGGCTGCCCTTATCCAGTTCTGAAGATTGTTCAATTGATTAGGCGTGTATTTTTTCGCATCGCTTCCTGTATATGTTTTCTGTCTGATTATGAGATATGCGACAGACAAGAATTACCGATGAATATTTACTTACCATTGAGACGTTGAAATAATACAATACTCCTGAAGGATGCACGATTCCTTCCCAGACACCATAGCGGTGTTTCCTTCGGGAATAACATATTCAGTTTGGTTCAGTAAGAAAAGGACTAACTCAACCCACCTAAAGCCATCAACCTGTTTGCACTTTATCGAGTAGTCAGGGCCAAGGGCAGAATCACTAGTATCATGAATAAAAAAAATTAGAGATGTCTATGACAGGCCCAGGTGCTCCGAGTCAGGCTGGCACTGTGACTGTGCTGCAGCAAACTGGCACTACATCGTCGTAACTGACCTAGTACTAGTACTAGTAGTCACACTGACCGGGAAGTCGCGCTGATTCAAGTCGAAGGACTTACTGCATCACAGCTTTCAAATACATTTGCAACCTTGATGGCCATGAGGGTATGCCTAGTTTCAATAAGTCAGCATCTGTAAGAGTACTATGAGTCTGGCTCAGAGTCGTTGCCATTTGATTGATGTTCAACTAGGGCGTATTGACATGACTAGTCATGGTAACCTGACTTATACCAGTAATATACATACCTATCCCTTTGTGTAGTATAAAGACAGAGACCATGATGAGTCACGAGTAGTTAGTCGCCAGTCAAAAACGGATTCAAGGTTTTGAACAAGAATTGCCCCTAATGTATTGACTCTAATGTATTGACTCTTGCAGGGGTGCACCCGCCCCACCAAATAAATAGTCCTTATAATAAGGATGTGATGTTTTCTCTTTTCCCACAGAAAATAGGCCTTGACGTTCCTCTGTTCCCTTTACTAACCAAATTAAGGTGTTCCTCCAGGGAACGTTTATGGGAACCATAGATGCTCGACTCCAATAGATAGTTGAATGAATCCAGTGCGACAAGGCAACAACCAGCCTTACACACCAGTGACACTTTTGTTGATGACACAATGTTATAGTGCAAGGGAGAGCAAATACAACTTTTCCGTGCTCGCAGGCGCTGCACTGAATACGACCATAGTAACACGGTGATGGAGCAGGGACTCACTGCACCATCTAGCCCGGGTTCCTCAAACTCAGAGCTCCCTGATCGTTATTGAACAAGGTTGACTTTCCGCTCATATGATATGGGAACATCAAATTTAGGGACCCTAACAATACTTTGTACCATCGCCACATCTCTTCCTGTCTTGGTCTACGAGTGATGTTGTTTGGACACCAATTAGTGATTGGGTCCAGCTTGTAATGATGGCATTAATGCTGAATATTTGATGTTACATATGTAATTATACATGCTATGGCTATATATTATATACAACATCGCACATTTTTGGCCATTCTGACTATCTCATATCATGGAACACATCACTAGGATGTTATTGCTCCAACGTTTAAGGAAATTGGTGGTCGGGAACATGAGTTATGATCATTTTACTGCCGACCATGTCTTGCTACCAAATATCCATATTGGGATCCCATAACCCTATTGGGACAGGCTAGAATCTTATCAGGATGGCTCTTTATGTATCATAGTCATGTAACTACATGATCTTGAACCAATTTTGCAATATCTTTGGCCAACATGGGTGGATGTAGGGGGAGGAGAAGATATATAGTGTTACAAAAAATTATTGGCAATCCAAAACTAACCCTATCATCTTCTATGTCCTTTAGAATGGTGGGGAGAAAGTTGTTTGGATATTTGCTGATGTTTATGACCTCTGGTGTCCAACCACTTCTAACCACTAGGTGCACCAAGCCCACCACCTCACAAAATATTCCTGGTGTCTCAAGACTTGATTCATCATCTTCTGTGGCCTTTAAAAAGGTGGGAAGAAACTTGTTTGGGTGTTTGCTGATGTTTGTGACCTCTGGTGTCCAACCACTCCAAACCTCCAGGTGCATCAAGCCCACTACCTCACAAAAAATTCCTGTCCTTTTGAAACTTGGTCCATCATTTTTTGTGGCCTTTAAAATAGTGGGGAGAAACATGCTTTCATGTTTTCTTCAGTGTAGGACCTTCAGGGCCAGACCACCCCCTGACCTCCAGATGCATCAAGCCCACTGTCTCACAAAAAATTCCTGACCTTTCAAAACTTTGTCTACCATCTTCTGTGGCCTTCAAAATGGTGCAGAGAAAGTTGTTTGGGTATTTTCTGATGTTTGTGACCTTTGGTGTCAGACCACCTCCGACCCCCAGGTGAACCAAGCTTACCATCTCATAAAAAATTCCCGGTGTCTCAAAACTTGGTCCATCATCTTCCATACCCTTTAAAATGGCGGGAAGAAACTTGTTTTGCTATTTGCTACAGCATAGGACCTCTGGTGTCAGACCACTCCTGACCTCCAGGTGAACCAAGCTCACCACCTTACAAAAAATATCTGGTCTTTCAAAACTTGGTTCATCATCTTCAGTGACCTTTAAAATGGTGGGGAGAAAGTTGTTTGTGTGTTTGCCAAAGCATAGGACCTCCATCCAGACCACTTCCTGACCTTGAGGTGTACTACCTCACAAAAAAATCCTGGTCTTTCAAAACTTGGTCCATCATCTTCAGCAAACTTCAAAATAATAGGGAGAAACTTGTTTTGCTATTTGCTACAGCATAGAACCTCCAGTGCCAGACCACCCTCTGACCTCTAGGTGTACCAAGCTTACCACCTCACAAAATTTCCTAGCCTTTTGAAACTTGGTTTTTCTGCTTCAGTGGCCTTGAAAATGATGAGGAGAAACTTGTTTGAGTGTTTGCCTCAGCATGAGATCTTGGGTGTAAGGTCATTCCTTCATTGCCAGATGCACCAAGCTTAACACCTTACAAAAAATTCCTGCCCTTTTGAAACTTGGTCCATCATTTTCTGTAGCCTTTAAAATGGTGGTATTAAACTTGCTTTCATGTTTTCTTCAGTGTAGGACATTCAGTGCCAGACCACCCCTGACCTCCAGGTGTATGAAGCTGATCACCTCACAAAAAATTCCTGGCCTTTCAAAACTTGGTCCATCATCTTTATTGACCTTTAAAATGGTGGGTAGAAAGTTGTTTGGGTGTTTGTCATGGCATGGGACCTCCAGTCCAAACCACCCCCCGACCTCCAGATGTACCACCTTGCAAAAAATTCCTAGTCTTTCAAAACTTGGTCCATCATCTTCAAAAACCTTTAAAATAGTGGGGAGAAACTTGCTTTGATTTTCTCTTCAGTGTAGGATGTCCAGTGCTGGACAACCCCTGACCTCCAGATATACTAAGCTGATCACCTCACAAAAAATTCCTGGCCTTTTGAAACTTGGTTTATCATGTGCAGTGGCCTTGAAAATAATGAGAAGAAACTTGTTTGAGTGTTTGCCTCAGCATGGAACCTCTAGTTCAGACCACCCCCTAACATTCAGGTGTATTAAGCTTATCATTTTATAAAAAATTCCTAGCCTTTTGAAACTTGGTCCATCATCTTCAGAAACTTTTAAAATAGTGGATAGAAACTTGTTTGGGCTCTGTCCACAGCATGGGACATCCAGTGCCAGACCACCCCCTGATCTCCAGGTGTACCAAGCTTACCACCTCACAAAAAATTTCTGGTTCTTCTAAACTTAGTCCATCATCTTGAGAAACATTTAAAATAATAGAGAGAAGCTTTTTTGGATGTGTGTTGATGCATCCCCTATTTTTCACCAGACCAACCCTCTGTTTTCCCCTACACATTCCCTATGAAGCCCACTGGGATTTAGCAACCCCTGCAGAGCATAAGCTGAAGTCAAGCCTTTATAATCCGCCCTTTTGAGCATGGTCTTACAGATCCCTGATGTAAGAGCATCCCTTTATTAACGGATGTACTAAGCTTACTACCTCACAAAAAATTCCTGGCAACTCAAAACTTGGTCCATCATCTTCACTAACCTTTAAAATAGCAGAAGGAAACTTGATGGATCTCTGGTGTCAGATCATCCTCCAACATTTAGATAGATCAGGCTTATGATCTCACAAAAAATTCCTAGTCTCTCACAACTTGGTCTATCATCTTCTGGAGCCTTTAAAATGGTGGGGAGAAAGTTGTGTAGATGTTTTCTACAGTGTAGGACCTCTGGCATCAGAGAACCCCCTGATCTCCAGGTGTACCAAGCTCACTGCCTCACAAAAGAATTCTTGGCCTTTCAAAACTTGGTCCATCATCATTAGAAATCTTCAAAATAGTGGGAAGAATGTTGTTTGGGGGTTTGCTGGTGTTTGTGACCTCGGATATCAGATCACCCCTGATCTCCAGGTACACCAAGCTTACTGTCTCATAAAAACTTCATGGTGTCTTAAAAATTGGTCTATCACCTTCCATATCCTTGACAATGATGGAGAAAAACTTGTTTGGATGTTTGCTATAGTATAGGACTTCTGGAGTCAGATCACCCCCTGACAACCAGGTATACCAAGCTTATCACCACATAAAAAATTCCTGTCCTTTCAAAATTTATCTGTCATCTTCAGTAACCTTGAAAATATTGGGATGAAATTCTATTTTGTCTCTGCTGATGTTCAGAATCTCTGATGTCATGCTATCTCCTGAACTCTAGATGTACCAAGCTCAACACCTTGGGAAAAATTCCTGAGATCTCAAACCTTAGTACATCATCTTCAGTGACCTTTAAAATGATAGGCAGAAACATGTTTTGCAGTTTACTACAGCATGGGACCTCTGGTACCAGACCAGCTTCTAACCACCATGTGTATCAAGCTGATCACCTCACAAAATATTCCTGATGTCTCAACACTTGGTCCATCATCTTCTGTGACCTTGAAAATAGCAGGAAGACACTTGCTTGGCTGTTTGCTCCAGTTTGAGATCTTTGGTGTTAGACTATCCCCTGACACCCAGGTGTGCCAAGCTCACCACCTCACAAAAAATTCTTGGTCTTTCCAAACTTGGTCCATCATCTTTTGTAGCCTTTCAAATGGTAATGAAAAACTTGTTTAGATGTTTTATACAGTGTAGGACCTCTGGTGTCAGATTACCTTTTAACATGCAGGTGCACCAAGCTTGTTGACTCACAAACAATATCTAGTGTCTCAAAACTTGGTCCATCATCATCAGTGACCTTGAAAATGCTAGAGAGTTATTCCTTCATCACCAGGTGCACACTTGGCCTATCATCTGTGACATTCAAAATGATAAGAAGTTACCATTGACTAAAAACTTTGTCTGGTTGTATAGAAATGATTCTCAAGCATTATCTTCCATCGCATGACTCTTGGTTGTACATAAGTTTTCCTCTATCCTTGCTTCTCAACTTTATCATCTGCTCTCTTGCAGGGACAGCAGTATACAACCATCCCTCTATCTCTGGTCCTCTATTTTTTCATCTTGTGCCACCAGTTGCTATAGGAGTAATATGGTTGTGATGTATGGAGGCAAAAATTCAGTTTGTATGATTGTTATTTATGTACTGCAAATAATTTATTTCTGATGCCATGTTTGTCATGGTTTCTACATCCACTTTCCAATTTGTTTCTGTTGCTGTTTCTGTCACCACTTAAAATGAATTTTCCTGAGGGGGACTAATGTGGGACCTTTGGTGTCAGACCACCCCCTGATTCTTTGGTGAACCAGGCTTACCACCTCACAAAAAATTACTTATGACTCAAAATTTGGCCCATCATTGTCTGCAGCATTTAAAATGGTAGGGAGAAACTTGTTTGTGTGGTTGGTGATGTATAGGATCCCTGGTGTCCGACTATCCTCTGACCTTCAGATGCACCAAGCTTACCACATCAGAACAACTTCCTGGTGTCTCAAAACTTAGACCATCATTTTCTGTAGCCTTTGAATTGTGGAAGACACTATTAATTTGACCTTCAAGCAAAAGTCACTTCCGCATACCTAACCTGTTAATAGATCATGGCAAGATGATTGCCATGGCCAACGACAACTGTGACCTTGGTGAGAATGGGCTGACAAGGATACCAACTCAGGCAAATTGCTTGAGACATTCCAAGGTTGTTTTTCATGCCTAGCATGGACCTCGGATGGCAAAACAATTTTTGGTGGGAGAACATTCAGCTTCGAGAAAATTGACGCGGTGTCGTGGCCACCAATTGGAGTCTTGGACTATTCAGTTTGTTTTTGACATGTGTGAAAATTTGGTCGATTTCACTCCCGACGAGTGCATCCCGAGTCGCACTGCAGTGCGTGTCTGTTCACAGCAACTTTGTTAATCATTTAGGTGAAACGGTACATATGTTTCTCTATGCAAATATTACGAACACTTACCCTGACCTATACTATATTTGACAACTTTTCAACTCGCTTCGAGTAGATGAGTCTGATCTTTCAGATGGCTATACTCGAATTTATCCTGTCTTACTCCAGCTTCTGTAGCTATGACCACTATGTCCCAACCCATTGTGTTTCAGTCTCCTAATCACCCTGATTTCCAAATGGTATCTAGTTCATTCACTGGTGATAACAGTGCAATGCCTTACTTTCTAGACTCTCCAATATCATGGATAGTTGGCTCATTTGGAAGCCGCTTCTATCCTACTAGTAGTTGTTCCCCTGGTCAACTTCTCAGACCACTGCTGGAGTCAGTTCGTGCTTCACTTACACATGTCAATGTGCTGATATAGTCCATGTAGTAGTCCTAACGAATTCAAGTGTGCCACGTTGTCATCATCTATTGACAGTGACCGTGGTTCAATTGTGAACACTCTTGGTGCCTTCAGCGAGGACGACGAATTGGTGGGTCACGACCTTCATATTTTGTGCCAATCTCTCATAATTGCACTATTGCAGTATCACAACTACACATGCTGTGGTATACAGTCAGATGACCTATATGCTTTGCTACAGCATTTAGAAGAGGTCCATGTTGTCGTCCTAGACCCGTTTGGTCACCCTCAGTTCCCAGTCATCCCTCCTTTACCTCAGTCTATTTGTAACACAACTGCATCTTACTTCTCAGACCATCATCGACACCCTTTGTCTTACAATCAAGGTGGCTTCGACCCAGATGGCATGAGACTTAATGTCAATCAGGGCAGTACACCTTCGTCACACGTACCAACACCCCCTGACACCCCCCTCACTGCCCCACTGTCATCACATCCTAAGAATATGCTTCTGGGGTTGTTGCCTAAGATGAAGCAGTTCAGTTTGAAGTCATACTCCATTGGGAACAAGAGTAGTTAGTGGATATTGATATTGGAGCGCACGTCACACATCAGCAAAACTCCCAAAATTGTGGCAACATGTAATCATGGTATGTCACATCAGCCACGTTCACCTGAGTTTTCCAATAAGTAAGAAATATGGAATGTAGAAGGCTGCGCTACATCAGATAATTAAGCCATCGACATAAACATGGCAACTACGGCGCCAGCCAGGAAGGGAGACTTGTTCAGGGACCATGCTTCCCGGTCACCAAATGCATTTGTGTCAAGCACTGGCACTGGCCATGTTGATCCAGATATTCATGATGACTTTCGAATATTCAATCAGAAGATATCTGATGTGAGAAATGCATTGTATGGCCGAACATGTATGCTCTGCCTGTTCAAACTAAGTTTATATTTCCAGTCTTGCCAAGGCCTACGTACCGTAGATGTCGGTACATATCCCATCTGTTCCATCACACCCTACACAAGTGGGTGGAGAGACACAATCCTTTGTCAGACCTCCATCATTCAGATGAATGCTCCTCACTGAATGTGAGTTCAGCTGTCTTGTATGAGCCAATGAACTGTTCCAGTTAGGGAACAGAAGCTGGTGCAAGATGAGGGGGTGGGAAATTGCTTGTGGACACCATAGGGTTAGAATCTACTTCAAACTAAGTGACGACATCCTATCAAGGAACCAGGCGACATTTTCATTGAAAGAAAAGAAGGAGGTGAACTGGAGCAAGTGCAGGAAGAGGATACAACTAGAAGCTTTCTTCAACACCAGCTCAAACTCAAATCCATGGGGAGTGTAAGAGAGGGTAACCCTGCCATATTAAAAATGGCCTGGGCAAGTTGGTGATAATAGGCTAAGAAGAGAGTAGCAGGCAAATCCACAGCAATGTAAAAGAACCGAAAAGCGCCACATGCGGTTTCTTTGCAAGAGTGTCAATGACACATAAGTTCTGCTACCAGGCAGAAGCTGATATACTACAGTAGAGGACGCGTTGTGCCACTGGACAGAGAGTGGAGCACATTTGAGCAAGAGCGGCGAGAGAAGAGACGGTGCGACACTATCGAGAAGCTCAACTGGTAAGCCGTGCCATGGACATGGGTGCTCAATGCAACCTGAGTTGAACACATGATATCTTACAAAGGTGAGCCTTGGGTGAGCCGGCACCAGCCCGGGGTGTCTATAGAATATATCAAGTTTGAGTGATTGCTGCCGTGCGAAGGGAAAAGAAATGCAGGCGAATTAAACTAGAGGATGAATTAGTAACTCGAGCGAAGCGAAAGATTATCAGATATCTGTGGCATTAGGGTTAGAGTATGTCATGAGTTGATAGAAATGCCTTAGGCATCTGAATTAAGGAGATAAAAACCACTTGGTTATATGATGCTTGGGATACTTGCCGTGACAGCAGTGTGCAAAAAGATTGACAGTAGGGGCAATTTGAATGAACAAGAAATTACATAATAATTGTGCATGATTTGATGGGTCCACACTTACTGTTGCGCTCCCACGTGGTATTGGCGAAGAGGACTTTTCAGGTTTGTCAAAGTATTTGTATGCCGCAGTATGTGATGCTCTTCCTCACAATCGTATCCACTATTCTATATTGACTTGCATGTAAAAAGCACTGAAAGACATCATTTGTTCTTCCTCCACAAGCTCGATAAGTTGCTCCCGAATGCAAGGGGCATCAAATATTAATATTATTGGTATATCTGCCGGTTGTATACTACTCACTCGGGAATAATCATTATTGTTGGCATGCAGAATCCCTTGCTTTTCATTGGCTGGACTATCAGTCGGTATCATTCCCAAACTTGTTTCGACATCGCCAGGTAAACAAGGCACGCTTCACGTCAACTCCTTAGTCCAAACTGTGTCGATTTATCTACTTCCCTTCAATTCTATTCGCCTTGTGGCAACACTGCTTGCCATTGTGGAATTTCTGCATGCTAACCACTGAGAAAAGGCTTCAATGCATGCTCAGTTGAACATCATACCCCGTCAACCGAGTTCTCGCACGACAGCTGGCTTGTTATAGGTATCACCCAATGCTCTGCTGGATCAGTTGGACTTGTTAAACGCACTGGAACGTTGGACTGGTCCCAGGGCTGAAAAACTGGTCATGCCCTTTGACAGCCTACTGTATCCTGATTGGTATGCGAGGGAGAAACATTGGCATCCATGGATGCCACACTACCAGGATAGATTGTGGTGGCACCAAATTGCCCCCGACCACACATTTCGACCTCTAAATAATGAAATCGGAGCCAAACAAGAACTTTCCACCATGGTCAAAATTCTGGGTATCATATACAAGCATATCTAACCGGAAGGTCCTAGACCTGACAATGTGTACCTCATCCAGGATCTGAATCTGTCTTCCTCATCAACAAGACCATGCCTGTAGATTCATGCTTTCTGTCAGTGGGTACATCTGATGGCTGAAAGCTCATCGTCCATATGATGTGGATGGATGTCTGAAGAAATATCTAACATCCCAGGATGAGAAGTGCACGATGGCCTGGGGACTGGATCAACCTGGAGGAGTGGGTGTCATTCTGGACTTGACACAGGACCAAAGAGAAATGAACATCGGGCTGTACCTGCGGCACGGCATTCCGGTCTATTACCCTTGGACCTTATCTGCAGCCGCCGACAGCACGTTGTGGTGCCTGTCCCCTTCCCACTTGTTATCATTGGATGATGACCGTGAAGCATTTTTGGACCCATCTCCAGACGTCGATTTCTGTTTCCAACCATTATTGCCAGGTAAGATGGGCTTGGCCATGGTAGCCTCAAAACTGGCTCCCTTAACCCATCAGGTTTTGGACTTTCAGGGTTGAACACCTAGATCCATCTCCAGGAAAGTGGGCCAACATTTTTTCCAGTTATTTTACTTTGAGGAACATCTGGCAGGCAAGGGTCAGACACAGACACATCTTCGCATCTTCCATAGATTTAGCCCACATGTCTCGCCATCACCAAAACATCTTGCTACAGATGTCTGTGTCCAGGAGAGGTGGAAGTTTGATCATGCCCCTCCTCCTGGCCAATTTTATAGCATGGCCACCCGACAGCTGAAGCCTGCCGAGCCCACCACCGCTATGCCAGCCCCATCACCAGTGCACCCCTCATGGGGCCTGATGATCCCTCCGATATCCCATAAAGACTCCGGGTGTCAGGGTCCAACCCAGACCAGAGCAGATGATCTGGCATCTACAGATTCCGAACGATGTACGAACAACATTGTTGTTCAGGTAGATTTAGAGAGTCATGGTGGCCTTGATGCACAGATGCGGAATGTTGTTCTAAGGCTGCCTGACCAACTTCGTGTACCTCACAACGGTGTTTGTGGTTGACCTAGGGCCTGTTTTGGATAGCTCCGGAATGTATGCTTCGGTGCCTTGTGGGCGGTCTATTTTCTGCTGAAATGACTTTGGTGATAGTTTCAGCACCATAGTCTATAGGCAATTTCAAGTTGGAAACTTTTCTGTTCGACCTCAGCTATTGGTGGCGCCCAGATGTTGTTATTCACACGAATATATTTCATGCTGTTGGTGGTTTGTGTGATAAGTCTGTAAGCGACATTTCATCCTATCACACACTAACACAACTGAGGGTCTCTGAGTCCAAACATATTTGTCACCTGCCGGATATCCTGTTTGATTCTTGATCCACTGGAATGGAGTGATCAGTTTGTGTGGTCAAGGGAAAACCCTGAACTAATTATTTACTAGATCCACCACATCTGATCACTGTTGGAGTGCTGAAGACAAGTCTAGTATATACCAGGCAAGAAGCTGAGTTTTTTATCAGATCATTTTGAATTTATTTTTCAGGCTACATAACCACAATATCAGCCCGCACCTCCAGATGATGGACATTTTGTGACATACCTCTTACCCATGTAATGTAAGTCAAATGAGAGCGCTAAACTGGTGACAAAGTCGGCCAGTGTGTCCTTCAAAGGGAGGTGGGATAGCTTTGTCCAACAGTATTGAATCACCAAATCTTCACAGTGGTAGAGTGGCATTCTCATGATGGGTTGATTGGTTTGGAGGTTCCACTACAGTTAGTCTGTATAGGTCTTCTGTGATGTGAGGGTGTGTTCATCGGGAGATAATAATGGTATTCAAAGTCAAAATATTAAGGTTCTGAAACAGTAACAGATTCTTTCAGAACTCTACGGAACGTTGGCAGACTACCATCGGAGTCTGAAATCGAACTTTGGTCCATGCGTACACCATGCCTCCTGTACGCCCTCAAGCACGACATTTAGAGCAACTCAAGACGCTTCTTCAAAGACTTAGTGCACCAATATCCATCCAAATGCAACCTGCCCGCGGTGCTAGGGGAAGGGGCACGACTACTCGTGGTACAAGGGGATGTGGGGTGGCTGCTACCTCAGCCAGTGCTGCCGGTGATACTCCTACCGGTGGTATCAGCAAGATCCGGTGGGAGACACCAAACTGCAATCAAATGTTTGCACTCATGACGTACCTCAGCACCCATCCTGCCGACCGTCACATATTATTTTACAAAGGCAAGAAATCCCACCCTTCTGATGACGGCCCTCCTTCTGGGAGTGACAAGGGCAAAATACATGCCGTCATCGCCAAACATATATTCAAGAACGACAAGATGTACCAGTCGATGTATGCTGAGGATCAGACAAAGTTCACACAGGCTGTGGGCAACCGCCTCACTTAGTAAGTTTTTCATATGTTTCCTCCCCCTTTCCATGTATACACTAAATGCTACACTTAGTCTCAAGGGCAAATATAAGACCCATCATGCGCGCTTCAAGCAGACGGGCGCTGGAGTCAATCTGGAGGAACCTGGCACCGCAGTGAATTTACTAGGTACATTTTTTTAAATAATAATCAAGTAAAACTAAATTTGTTGTAGCGCAAGTTTTAAGCGACTTCCCATGGTACGCGATGATCATTGGTGACGATGCTCCTGTTGAAGACGAGCACGTTCACAGTGCCGAAGGCCATCCTCCCGCCAACCCTCCTCCCACTAACCCTCCTCCCGCTAACCCTCCTCCCACCAACAATTCTCCCATCAACCCTCCTCCTGCCCACGATCCTCCCACCAACCCTCCTCCCAACTTCGCCATGGGTGAGGAGCTTGACTATGATGAGCAAGACGTCACCATGCAGGAGGATCAGGGGGAAGTAGAGCGTGAAGAAGCACTCACAATCCAGCGGTCCCTCTTGAACAAACACCCGCTCTCCTCCCCCTCCCCACCCCGCACGCACACCCACAACTGCCCATCCCTCGGAACATTCAAAACCCACACCGATCGTGCAATGGGCCGTGGACCCATGCGCTCACCAAACCCGCCATCATGCATTGCATTGTCGTCCATGAAGACAACGACATGCTCTACATCCTCGGGACTTTCGTCGCCGTCTTCCTCCTCACACCTACAGACCACGCTCAACGATAGCGGTGCGAAAAAATCGCACCTTGGGAAGAATATTGGGTTGGAGGTTGGGAGCATTTGCGGGAAAGTCGAGATGCTAACCAACAACATGTCCTATATCTACACTGCAAAGGCAGCCGCCTCTGAGTACAAGATCGCCAAGGTCAATGCTCTCCATCAGGAAGGTGACCTCGACTTCCAATGTGAGAAAGCGCAGCTCGAACGCAGCGAGGCCATCGTCGTACATCAGCGCTGTCAAGAGTCCAAGACTCTTGACCTTCAAGTTCTCGAAGCTCAAGCCAAGGTTCACGCTGAGCACAAAGCAGCCACCCTTCAGCTCAAAATAGAGCTTCTCAAATTGAAGGGAGGTGTGGCTGATTAGTGTAGGCTTTATTGTTGTTGTTGTTGTCGTCCGCTTCTGTTGTACCAGTGGTTTGTCATACTCTTGCACCTCATGTTTTGCATACCATTCATGTTATATGTTCTCTGTCTCATCATACATATATTTACATACTTTCTGGGCCCATATATGTTGTTACATGCTTGCTCCTATGTTTTAGATATGTTGCCAATACATTTGTCTTGTTAGTTCAACAAATATTCCATCAACTTTGAATGAACTTGGTATCCAGAAGTACCTTGATATGAGGTATCTCCAGGACCCAACTCATCTACATCATGATCTGTGTCCACTGCAGGCATATAGGCCTGGAGGGCTGACTCTTCAGTTGTACTCTTAATCCCATGGTGCTCTTTAAACCGAATCACCATGTTGTGAAGGATAAGGCAGCACTGGACCCAGTAAGAAATATATGCAAGGTGTCTGTCATGCTGCAACGGGTGTCGAAGTTCTCGAAGAGACTGAAAGCGATTTTTGAGAGCAGTGAATGCATGCTCTACCCAGACATGAACCTAAATCACCAAAAATACATGGACATAAGGAAAAATGAAATAACACACATACTCTGGAAAGGGCAGTGTTCAATGCCTTCTGGTCACTGGTTAAGGCCCCATTGACAGGCTTCTTGAAAGGAGGGATGCACCATGGCTCTAATGGGTAGGCACTATCTGCCCAGATCCAATGGTTATCTCCAAGAAGTGTTGCATGATGATGGTAAATATGAGTAGATCGGAATGCATATGCATCATGTGCACTGCCAGTGTGACCAATAGCATAATCTGCTATAGCAGGATTATGGATCATAACAACCGCCTAAAAGAATTTGAATTAGAGAAAGGGCTGTAAAATAAAATAAAATACCTGGCAGTTGAGGGAGTACTGAGACTTCCTACTATAAAAAGTCTCACTATAGAGACCTGGCTTGTCACAAAGAGTTATCAATGATCCATCAGCAGCTAGGATACCATTCCGCCACTCTGGGCAAGTATTGTCCTAAACATACTTCCGGGAATGACCAGCATCATCAGAGTCAAGAGCGGGGAAGAATATGAATTTGTCATGCTTGGCAAGCAGGGCCATCATGACACGATTAGTGCAGTTCGTGACTGACCTGATGCTAACACCTGCCCACTGGCAGACATCCTCATTTGAGATTGCATTGCTATAGTGGCCAGCACGGTTAAGAAATATTGCAAGTTGGATGGCAACAGCAAGTTGGGGATTGTTGGATTGATTATGGAAGATAGGATCATCGCTGATCTCATCAAGGATATCATTGAATATTTCTGAAGAAACATGTAACTTATTTTGGAATAGGTGGGGGCGATGAATAGAGAAGTGATCAAGTAGCTGGATCTGTGGAGCTCGCATAGGGGGCTCATCGGGTCGGTGAAGGACATGGGTCATCTCTACTTCATCCCGAAGGGCAGTAAGTGAGCCAAAAAGTTGAGCGAATTGCTCATGGATTGCAATTGAGTTGACACTTGAGTTGCCAGAATGTTCCGAAGCATTGGACATGGACATGGGGGACATGGGGGATGGGGTCCTAATATCAGACATAGCTGAGTCTGAACTACCATCATCTTGTGTGGCATGTTCAACCCATGCCATAGCGACATCTAGGCTAGCTGAATCTATCTGTTGAAGGAGTGCTTGACGTTGTGACTGGCGAGGCATTGGGGCTGGTATCTTATCATCATCTCTGATCAATGACTCAAATTGATCTACACAAGATTCAAGCGGAGTTTAAATCTTTGTGGCACGTGCTGCTGTCGTCCCCACCAAGCGCAACACCACCGAGCGCCACACCACCGTCCCCACCAAGCACCCCACCACCATCCCCACCAAGAAGTCTGAGACATTCTTGACATTCCCGGACAACCAACCTGGTGTCTTGATCCAGGTGTATGAGGGTGAGCGTGCATGCACGAAGGACAACAACTTGCTCGGCAAGTTCGAGCTATCTGGCATTCCCCCAGCACCTTGTGGTGTTCCTCAGATTGAGGTCACCTTCGACATTGACGCCAACGGTATCCTGAACGTCTCCGCATCTGACAAAACTACTGGTAAGTCAAATCACATCACAATCACCAACGACAAGGGCCACTTGTCTGCAGAGGAGATCGAGCGGATGGTCAATGAGTTTCTTTTTTCATTTTCACTCTCTTCAAATGACAGGTAAGCACATCCACACTCTTCTAAACTGCCTCCTGAACGTCTCCGCATCTGACAAAACTACCAGCAAGTCAAATCATATCACAATCACCAACGACAAGGGCCGCTTGTCTGCAGAGGATATCGAGCAGATGGATGAGAGGAAGGTTTGACCAGGGCACGATTATCATGATACCCCCTAAGGACGAGGAGACTGTTGCTATCGGTGTCGCTGTCGGGTCAGGGTACATGCATCCCTCTACCAGTACTTCGTTCTCTACCATTGTTTACTAGCTACGAAATACATGCTTTTTTTTGTATGTGCGCGCATCTAACCCTAACCCTGCATGGGGACTTGTGAGATTTGAAGCGCTAAGTGATTTGAGTGGAGTTTAAAATAAGCTTTTCAAGCGATTTTCAGAACATCATTCAGAACGTTTCAGAGCGTTTCAGAGCGTCTCAGAATCGTTTCAGAGCCTTAATATTTTTACTTTGAATACCATTAATGAAACAGTGAGAGTATTGCAGTGAAAACTGCTGTTTGTCACTTTGTGACCAGGTAGCAGTGTCAAACTTCATGATCTCAGATCCCCCATCATGATACTCATTACTTCACCAGTTTTCATCAAGTATACTAGTTCATATAATGTCTGTCTATTCACAATGCAGTATGGGAGCTACCCCGATTTTATCTATAGCTACTTAATCAAGAAAACATGGCGTCCAACATCTGGATATCATGATCAGCTAGAATCAACTGTCCTGTCTTGCGCTCCATCAGGTCTCCAGAGACAATCTCCTTGATATTGTTAAGAACAGTGCTCAAAGGTCGGATCCGAAGGGCTTGGCTTCAACTCGTGCACTGCGCCCCTTACCCGAGTACGTGCCCCTAACTTCCGAGGGCTGTTGGACGATGTCCGAAGATTGTCGGACGAGTCCGGAGTCCAATGTCCGATGCGCGGGAATTCTGGCAGACGTTCAGGAATGAGGGATAAGACTAATCTGGACAATGTCCGAACTAGAAAGGACACAGCGGAGGACTACCAGAGGTAGAGGTGGAGGTGAGAAGGCTATAGGAATCGATCCTAAGACTAGCGGAGGACGACGAGAGGAGAAACTCAAGTCAGATGGAGAAGAGAATGAGCAGAGTCTAAGATAATATTCAAACTGAGGAAGTACAAAGATTCTACAGGGTTTATATACTACTGAGGACTTAACGGAGAATCAGTCTGCACAGTCCGAAGCTATGCAAGGCTGTGGATGGAGTGTATAGAAAAGTTAAACACTAGTCTATCGGAAAATAGTAAATGAAGACAGAGATGAGAACATAGGAAAATAAAGGTGGAAATGAAACGAGGCACGGAAAATGAGTATAGTCTAACTGGAGAAGGAACATATAAAGGGATAAGGCACGGAAGATAGACGCGGTTCGGATCCGGACACTAGATAGAAGTCGGCCGGATCCGGAAGTCCGGAAATGATGTGTATGATAGGTCCAGGTCCGGAATGCGGGATATGACAGATATATGTTCATTGGGTATCGTATTTCGCCTATTATCCCGGACCAGTCGAAATCCACGAGTTTGAATCCAGGGCTGCGATCCTTTTTTACCATAACATTTGTATGCCGAATGTCTCCATGAACATAATGTTCTTGATGAAGAGATTGAAGTTTTGCAGTGAGCACGTTGTGATGAGGGCAAGGATAGGAAAGTTCCCCAAGACAACAGTAGTTGTCTGTGATAAACTCCATCACAACCATGTACCAGCCGCCTGGTAGGTGTTCGAAGCTGTAGAGTGCTGGAGTGAAGCCACCAGAAGCACATTGTTGATGAACTTCCTTAGTCAGGTCAAAACTTATAAGTAACTTGGTTTGGCTGACAACAATCAGACACCATGACAAATTGGGAGCCCTGGTCAATATTTTCAATCCGCCTGGAAATATCAGTTAGAAGAAGATCAATTTATCATTCAACTCCTTGGAAATATGCGATACCCTCTGGCATGTTGTGGATTTATACTACAGTTGGATCGTCACCTGGATAGTAGAGTAATTCTGGCATTTAGAAAATGCATAAACCATCCAATTCTATTTAGAAAGCATACAACTAGGAGGATGAAGTGTGGGTGGACAATGCCCCTGTTCTCTTCAACTGTACCACAATGTGTTCATTGCCATATGCGAGCGACGTTGTGAGACCCAGTAGTCTAACACCCAGCTGTCACCATGGTCTCATTGGCACTCTGTCCTGAAAATCTGACCAACTCTGATCCCCCATTACCTCCCACTGTGATATCTCGGAGGTGCGTTCTCCTATGGACCAATTGGCCATGGTCTGAGGGGTCAACACATCTTCCCACAGTGTTTTGGGGAGTGTAGTCACCTCATGGAGTGTGGACATAGCATCTCTCGTCCTGCCGGATGATGGTCCGGGTCCAGATCCTGAGGCATCTGGCGATGCAACCTGAACCTACCATGCATGGTTCAGAGGAAATAAAATACAGGAATAATATTGCTCACCTGTGATCCGGACCTGGATGGCGCCATGGACTTGATGGTCTTTTCTTTATCCTTTCTCTTGTGCTTCTCATGGTTTGAAAATGGATTGGAGGGCTGCTGGGAGCCAGGTATTTTTGGACCACACTGCATCCAGAGGCTCATTGAGCCAATGGAAGGACAAAGGCGACGAACACACCTGGTGAATTTTTGCTTTCTTGGGTTTATGCCTGTTGGGAGATGCAGGGGACTGACCGCCAGTTTAGTTTACAGCCCATACATCTGGATTAGAAACTTACAGCCCGACGCTTGGAGGGTACGGGAACCGAAGGCCAGGTATCCACATTCATGGGTGTTGATGGCTCCGTCTCGATCATGGCTTGGGCGCCAGTTTTCTGGGTGGTTCCGGCATCATCCTTCAGAAGATGCTCTTCCAGCAGTTTCAGGGCAATCCTTAGGCATCGGCACCAACTTTTCTCATCAGTCTCCACCATTGGACCAGGTTCATTTCCACAAAGTTCAGCCTCCCAGTTCATATGTGACCAGTCCACGCAGGCTTTAGTCTTATCAGGTAAGGAAACGTAAAGTGCTCACATGAGGAGATCAGTTTTAGGTGACGAAATCTGTAGGTCTTTAGGCAGCCAAGTTGAATCTGGAGGAGATATCAGGTGGGTGTGATATATTGCAAGTCCCCATAAAAATAGGATACTAGAAAACCACTGGCGCGTCATTTTGTTGCATGTGGGTATTTCCTGACACGGATCGTCATCTGTATCTTGGTCATCATCCATAGTGGTCCTCATCCATAGGTTGGCCAACACCCATAGAGGAATAGAATTTTTTCCGGACCTCGTCAAAAAAAGCCTCTCGCACATGGTGCAAATACAGGGACGCTTGGTGAAAATTATTTCTGGTATCATTGTCAAAGTGTTTGCTGAGCGATAAGTACCACAACACATACATTGCGTGTTGCAAAAATCAGCAGAGCAGTTTGGAAGAAGCAGGGATGTAGATGATATGATGGTGTGAGCATAACACCGGAACACTGTCCATTGACTGATCATAAGCTCCGCAGTGATAGAATTCTGGGCGCCATGCTTCGGGCAGCACGGTCGTCTTATTCCAGTAATTGTTGAGGTCTACGATATTGACAGAAGGAAAGGATGGCTGCATCGTGCTATCAAGGAAGGTGGGGGTGATGTGACCAGGCAAATCTAAACGTGTCCCATAATTCCCAAAATGGTGTAGCCAGGGTTTCAAGATCGTATTAGGGTTCGGAGATCAGACCGCCTGATCTTGTGCCGTCATGAACATGCAAATTTTAGTTCCTACTACCCTTGAATCAGTTGTTTGAAAAATTTAGTAACAGCCAGTTGGCTCAGGATCCAGGGCCATACATGTAAACTAATGCATGTAGACCCCACCGAATCGAACTAGACATATCCATCCCAAAACATCGATGAGCCAAGTATGTCACTGGTGGGTACTAGTGTGAAGGACTGTGGTGATCACCCGAAGTGAATTTTAAGCTCCAAAGAGAATTGTGTGTCACGTTGCAGTTGAGAAGTGATGGTGGCAACAGAAGCGACAACAGAAGTGACAACAGAAGCGACAACAGAAGCGGCAACAATTGGTGTTTATTCAATAGAATCAGGGTTTGCCAATATAAAATGGAGGGCCAGATCATGTATATATTATGTATGTGTATGCAGGGTGAGGCTCAGCAAACGGATAAACATATCCGATCTGAGTCAGCATGCCGTAGGAATCGTCAGCTCTCAGGCAACCCGAAATGACCTGGGCTTTCGCAAATGGTTAGAAGTTTGGGGCTCGCACTAAACTGAATATTTCATATGGCAAATCAGTCCGATGAGTCGATCTGATGCTGACATGCGGCAGGTTAGTCGCAGTCTATGCATTGTGTGTCATGTCCAAGGTTCACATGTGACAGGCCAGTCTGAGGCCGGCTACAGCAATATTATATACACATATTCAATCATAGTCCTGGCCAATTAATTCTGGTCTCATAATCGGGTCCGGGCACCCATATTTGCACTTGTTGTTTACATTTGAATATGCACATGCAGCACCTGTACAAGGAAGGAATCGATTAATCGCTTCGAACATATTCAAGGGATAATGCATGGACACTATCTATGAAGAAGGAATAAGAACAAATAGGAAAATGTCATGAGATCATGAAGACGTCATACATATATTTTCCGGACATTACTGATGGACAACAAATCAATGAACCACCCTGAATCCAGTTTTCACGGGTGTACTAGATCCTTAACAGGATCATTGTGCCAGCGGAAGGGCCTGATGCCATCAAAAGAAGCCTGGAAGCCATAATTAGGAACTCCGAGCTCAAGGTATCGCATGCTTCCAACATCTCATATGTACCGGTATGGCCTGCACTGTAAATGTGTGATATGATGGCAGTGGATGAACCAGATAATAAATTTTGTATGGAGTGATGAGAAATAGGAATGTGTGTCATAGAATAAAAATGCAGGGGGATCCTGCTGAAACTATGTCACCGGCTCTGTCAGGCACTTCATAGCCCGGCAGGTTTCGTCCATCCACTTGGAAAACATGCACCCAAATTCGTCAGCCAGCCACAAGGTCCACCTTGGATTCCCTGTGCTGAACAGTCCAATACCCATGCCTCATTCAACCTCATTGATAAAATACCCTAATTGTCCATCAGGACCGTGCATGACACCCAGATCCAGTTGCACCATCAGCCTCAAGGAGCTGGGTGCACCCAGTGACTCTTCCTCGACCCCTATGAGTCGATTCAATGCAGCTGTCGCAAAGGATTCCAGTTCTTGATTGGCCTGGCGTCATTCAGAGAGGGTGCCCCCTACTGGATCCATAATATCATTGAAGACATAAGGTTTCCTCATCCGCAAGCTGGGCAGATCCCCGGGTTAAACCCAATTAGATCATGACGGATGGTCGATTGAAGATCCCACCTCATTTCTGCCAGGGACAGACCCACATCCCGATGCAAGAAGACCCACTCCCCCTCCCCATTTCCCGGCGCCGTATGCACAACCCACAACGGCTGACGATCTACCAAGATAATCCACCATTCTCCGAGCTTTTGAAGGGTCGGTACATATGACTGCTTTAACCACCTAAAATGACCACGGTCCAGCGGCAGATTCGACGGATCTACTTGTCCCGGTAAGAAAATGTGATGGTTGCAGTCACTACCTTCACGCTTGAGAATCCAACCGTCAAAGGATTGTGAGTGATCAGTGCGAGAAAGGCGTGTGGTCAGGGGTCTTGGGAAGTTGACCATCCTGGATGAAATTTGGTCGAGGTCGACGATCACATTGAATTTCTTGGAAGCACATAGTATCTCTTTAGATGGGGGCCATACCGGCAGAATCGACTCCAGCATCTGCAGGTGGGACAGGTATTTCTGCAGTTGGGTTGGACTGTCTAAACCTTCCGCTTGCTCACTTATTCTGATTCTCAATGATTTGAATATGATAATGGGACACCAACCACTTGCCTGGGATCCACCATAAGATCTAGACCGCCCCAGATAGAGTCATATTGTTGAAATGTACGCCTAAAGTTGGGTTTTGATGAGATCAATATATCTCAAAATTTGTCAAACTTCATAAAATCCACAGCCATTCCTCTGTGGCAGATTCTAAGCCAAAACAATAGCTTATTGATTACTTGAATCAGTCCAGAAATGCTATCAGCTTTCAACATCCAAACCTTTTCATGAAGCCTCACTGGAACAAAGCTGGGTCGCTTTGTTACCAGATGGCAGGATTGTCCATGAAAGACAAAACCTTGAAGTGTTGGACTGTCCAGGAGCTCAGCAGCCAAGGAGGCGGGATAGTCGTGGGTCACCCAGTCGATACATCCGTAAGAATCCCATACCAAAGAACGGGAGAACTGAGGATCCAACATGACCAACACCCGGTAAGACATTACCAGAGCCAGAGGCCGGGTTGTACTTGATGGATGCAGTATTTTTGCGTACATAGATCAGTGCTGGGCTGGTCACGGCATCACCGACATGGTTGCTTCAACGTTATGCTAATGTAATCGCCATCATGTCATAATGCTCAACATGCAGCGCTCAGGGAAATTGACCTACTCGCATTCACCTATTCTACAACAACACCAGTTTTGATCCTAGGTGCAACATAACATAAGTGACATACATTTATTGTGACAGAAAGCTCCTCACTACTTCACAGCTTAGTCAATGCCTGTAGAACTCTAGCTCCTCATGATGCCACTCTTAAAGTTTTTTTCCATAGTAACCGGGAAAGTAGCACAAAAGGGGTACACAATTGACGAGATAAGCTCCTGGGCAAATGGCAGCCTTGAAATGTTCAGTAATTCTATGGATACGGATAATTTCGGGATTGGTGTTGGCAGTAGGTGCAGACTTTCCATAAGTCACCTGAAGAATGACTGATACTGCATACCTTGCGTATCTATGAAAAATCACCAAAATGTCTTGATAATAACACACCGAAGTGCATGCTTCTGGTGGTTCTTTGGGTCACTCATCATATCCAATATCAAATCCATCGTGTGCTTGCACTGCATATCTTGGTATGTCTTTGCTGCTTTTGGTTGTAGATGGGTGTGTACTGCTTTTCAAAGGCGCTGGAATCGATCTCCGTAACGAGCCAGGACTATAAGCATTCCATTTGAGAGCATCTCACCCGCAGCAATCGACCGAGGTCGATCTACCAATGATGCACCCTCTGTCTCTATGATGTCTACGGCCGCCTAGTAAGGGGACCATCAGGAAAACATAATTCACTACAGAGTGCTACAAAGGGCTCTGTAGCGTTTTGTAATACAATCCAACCCGCTGATGACCGATGCCTAGTCATTATCGGAAGAAGCTCACGGTATGTGCAGTATAATTCAATGGTGCCAATAACAATTATCACTTGACTACCTTGTCAGAACGACACAATTGGCCCATATTCTTGAACCAGGTCGGTCAGTGCACGGCAAATGCTGAGTGAATGATCTGCATCAGCTTCTGATATCTTGGATTCAAACTCACTTCACAGTAGGCAAGGCGTTGCACCAAAATCAACGGGCGGGTGGCCCACAGCATGCACCTCGCAAGTAACTCATTGTACATGAACCTCGCCCATCTCTCGTGGTCTTTCCGCATTGCTCAATGACCTGGCGCCCCAATCAACACACACGCTTTTGGCGATGCGGTTACTCCTCATGCAGCGCCATTTGAAATTGATGTCATTCCCCGAATGAATGTTGCAAAGCTGACAGAGATGATGACGACAAATGCCTGTATGAATTAAAGATATCATATGTATAGGAATTTCTCCGTGATCCCCTTGCTTTTTCTTCTTCTGAGGACCTCGTCTTCTTGAAAATTTCTCCTTCAAAAATGTATAGTCATTCAAGTTGTTCACCAATCTGGGTTCTGTATGATCACTGCATGATCCACTGCTTGCAATAGGAATCAAGTAGGAGTTCTTTCATTTTATCCATGTACCATATGCAAGGAAATGGCTTTTGGCACTGTAATAGGTAAATGTGCTCATGTCCATTTTTCCACAGAGGCTCATGAAAGTCTAGTGATACAGAGCAATAAAACATAGATAAAAACATTGGAGGCATGGACAGCATAGCAACATCCATTAACACACTGGAGTGGGATATGCCTGCTCTCACACCGGATGCTACTCAAGGAAGGATGGGATCCGATGGATTGCGCTTCCCACATAACGCACTATGAACCTCAACATTACTGGCAAACTCCACTCTAAACACCGCTAAACACTTCAGCCACCCCGCTTACACCACATTCAAAGTCAATCCACGTCGGTTTACCAGCGAACACTGGTTCCAGTGAGATTTTCTCATTCACCTGCATGTCGGTCAAGATATACTCTTGGGGTAGACGTTTCGACATGTTCCCTCCAGGACCTGCGAGTGAAATAAGGATCCAACACCAGTAGCATAAGTAACAGGGCTCACCAGACGAATGATATTCTGCGAAGTATGTAGTTTTTGGGACAAATGTTCTGTTATAAACAAGTTAGAGATTGCCGGAGTCATTATCTTGCAATCGTGCTTACGTTCTGGACCAGGGGTGAAAACATCAGGATGAATGCTTTCATCCATATATGCGTGTAAATATACAGTGATAGCCAGGGGGTTCCATGGGCGTCCTATGCAGAGAAGAAAGTGACCTTAGTACTATAATTAAAGTGTGTTCTCCATTTCTAGCTTACCGAGGTAGCATTGACCATTAGTAACGGTGGTGCTATTTGCATCTAGGGACTGAATAGTGAAAGAAAAATAACAATTAGATCAAGTATTCACCAGAAAAAAAACCGACTGACCCGAATGATTTTTGGATCGATAATGAATACCCCATTCCTGGTGCCTTCTGTGCCTAACCATGCTGCGATACTGCCATCACAAGCTCAATTGGCCAAAATGACATTTTGGAACCAGCTATTCCAATAGTTACTCAGGGTGTTTATACATACATTAATGCATCCTTATGCCATGCCAGATCCAAAAAGATCTTGCCACAGTGTCAGCAACTGCAACCCACATGAATTGAGGCCAAGTGACTCACAATCAGTTTGACCGTATATTATGGTGTCAACAGCATATGAGTAAGCATCTAGGCCGGTGTGCCATGTATCCTGCCAGCTGGCAAAGGTGCAGCCATAGAAGGAAACATTTGAATGCATGAAGGAGCCAGTGAGAGCTTGAGAAATTGAGTATTTGGCCTGAATCGCTAAGACTGTACAGATGTGAGTCAAGAAAGACGTCGAAGCTTACAGCATGATTTTCGAAGTCGATATTGTACACTTTGAAGTCAGTGTTACTGGACTGCTGTCCAGAGGGAGGTGCAACAGTCTACCAAAGCCATATACGATGAATTTCATATTATCCTTAAGGCAGCCTTCTGAATCAAGCCAATGCTGGGGATTGAAAACATCAGGATCTGGGAAGGTGATAGGATCACGAGAAAGAGTTCTGAAAAGTGCGCTTAGTGAAGCGATGTACACCATGAAGCAACACCTTACCAATGGCACCCATAGACCATTGTACCCTCTGGAATGCAGTATCCTTGCTGATCACACTTAGACTAGAATGAGAACGTGGATTATGTTACGCACTCAAATAGATCTGTTAGGTGGAGCCCTAAGAGGGGCGTCGTCCGCTAACGTTCGTGATGTAACCGGAAGGGTCCGGTATAGCAAGTGAGACTGGTGACGATGAGTCGGCAGCGATCACAGTACGTGCGTGTCACGTGACTTTGTAGACGGATGTCTGTGAAGTTGCTCAAGGTAAGGACAGTCTTGTCCTGTACGATGAGGTCGATCGAAGTAGACTTAGTCGCGATGAGCAACTAAGAAAAGATACTAGAGACTGAAGCTGAGGGGGCTTCAGAGAGAAGTATGTTCCAGGGAAGATTGAGTAGATTCAAGTTAGGGAATCTAGTACAGGGTGACCGACTACTTATACTAAGTGGAGAGGGTTAAGGGCAAGGCTACTGCACAGTAGGTAAGGGTAAAGGGGAAACAAGAATGGTATAGGTGCGTTGGCAACAGAGCCGGATTAGTGATGGGTGGTTGAATGTGGAATGAGACCGAGAAACATTGGAACGGACCAATGGTAAGAATACAACGTGTGGGAATCCGCAGTCAGAAGAAACAGAAAGAGGAAAGCCACATTGGTGGCACGAGTCAGACCAAGTCATAGGTGCAGGACCACATTGGTGGTCGAATCAGAGGAGGAACGTGCGTGCACGTGCATAGAGGCGGGCAATGCGAAGGACGGGAATGGTCCCAAGGATCCGGTCAACAGAAAGGCGGTAAAGGAGGACAAGCCGGTAGATGGTGAGGGCGAGGATGAAGGGAAAATGATAGGGGGGCCACGTGACCGATGTCACTTGTAACAGATTATAAAGAATTCAAGACACTGACCCAAAAAATATCCTTAGTTGCACGGTGGGGAAATCCTGAGGCGCATGTCAGTATCGTGAAAGAATGTGCCGAATTTGAAACTCACCTATACGGATGATAGGTCTCCATCTCAAGGCTTCCAACAAGAACACATGCAATTGAGGGAGCGAGCTCGAGTCTTGAAATGTCGGCGCTACCACACAAAATTGGTCAAAAAAAATCAATCTATTCATACCCCTTTGGCATACCTCTTTCTGACCCAATGACCATATCAAGCTCTTCATGTACTTTTGCCTGAGCCAATGGATGGCACGCCGCAGCCATGATGATAGCGGTTATTCCAACAGTGGGAAGTGTGCTGCCTATGTAGTAATCTAAGATACATATTGCGGGTTACCAGAGTAATATAGACTGTGATCATTATGAAGATGCGCAGATGGCAATGATTGTGATGATGTGGATGCAACAGGAGCAGTAGATGAAAATACAGCACCAATGTGATTTTGCCTGGGCCAATGGTTTGAATATGGAATAGATCCTTGTATTTGCGAGAAAGATGGCACATGTGGAGGGGATATATTGTGGGCTGTTGGGGGAAAAGAAATACTGGCTGAAGTTGTCCAAGTTGAGCTTTCAGTTGAACTTGAGGCCTGAGGTAGTGACATGCCCACGGTTCCCACGTTGTTTCAAACCATATAGCACTGAAGATCAAGGATTATCTGCAAGGGCTTGGCGAGTGTCTGGATCCTGCAAGTGAGCTGCAATCCATGCAGAAAGATCAGCAATTTTCCCATCTCTCAAGAGTCCAAGTGCTCCAGCAACTTGCTTCCATGCATGCATTCAGACGTGTTTGCCATGTCTGAGTTCCAAACTCTGCTGCGGCAGCACTGGCAGGTGACATTGAGAGTCACTGTCACCACCAAAAAATTATCTCTTTTGTTTCTCGTTGCATTACATCTGTTAAAGCTCATAGGGTGTTTTTATAATTTATTATTGCATATGCATGTATTAGTTTGAATGTTTGTAGTGGAAAAGCGTTGTTTTGAACGATGCACAAGATGTGGGGATGCATGAACTGGTAACTAATAGTACATGCATCAAATAAATTAAATACACCGAGGCACTCAATTTTAGATGATTTATTATTTAATTCTCATGTGATCAATGTTTATATTACTAGCCAATAAATAAAATGGCAGAATAAAATAAGGATTGGGAGGTGTAATATCGAAGTCGAGTGGTCCATATATTTATCACGTGATGTTACCAAGAGCGGGTGTGGTGCATATTAAGCACTATCTCACATTACACAGAAGTTCAGAACAATGGCTGGCCTGATGAATTGGAGGGCTGCACCTGGCACCAATCCTGGCGATGGCCACACAATCGACACGGGTGCACGGTTTGGGACTCCTACTCCTAATAATAATGCTAATGGTGGTGCCACACAGTCCAACTCGGCCCAAGATCAGGAGGAGGAAGAGGACGATGACAACGGCGACAACAGCGACAACAGCAGCGATGAAGATGGTGACAGCGACGGCGATGAAGAGGAACAAGATGATGGTGGCGATGTTGGTGCCAATGCCAATGATGACGATGATGAAAGAGTAGGAGGCGACGCCGCAGCCACTACACCCACCATTGCACAAGGTGCAGGAAGTGTGAGAGGCGCTGGAGCAGGAGGTGCGAGAGGCGTGGGAGTGGGAGGAGTGGCAGCTGCAAGAGGAGCAGGAGGTGCAAGAGGTGCAAGAGGTGCAAGAGGCATGGGAGCAGGAGGAACGAGGGGAGCAGGAGGAATGAGGGGAGTGGCAGCCGCAGCCGCAAGAGGAGCAGGAGGTGCAAGAGGTGCAAGAGGATTTGCTAGGGGGGGCGCCTCAGACCAGCTACCCATGGCCCAAGGCCGGGCTTTGAAAGGCAGGTCATGCCCAATATCTTGTGGTCAGTCCGGCATGTAAATTTAGGGAAAACTCTCCAACTCATTTCTCACAGGTGTAGGTGACACAATGGGTAGGCCTTATAAAGTGATGTCACTTGACTGCACCTGTGGCTGACATCTCCCATATCAGATATTGACAATGATGTTATTGTACCTCCCGGGGAATCGCGTGTGGTTCACAGTCAAAGTCAGGCCATTGACACCGGAGGTAGGTCTTAACATCGGTCTTATTTCAGTTATCCCCCTGTATGCTAACTCATCGGTGGACAGAGGGATTACCTAGTGGGTGTCTAGTTTACCTGGCATAATCTGGCCGGCCACATTCTGACCTCCAGCACATTGTCAGCCGATCCCAGGTCTGAGGCATTGGCCCTGGAGGTGTTTTCACTGATGCAAGATGATGGTGCCATGGCTAAATGCAGCAGTTGCTTGGATTTTGGCCAGTTAAAGAAATGTGAACGACAAGGCTGTACTTATGCGCTGTGCTTCTGGAAGTCAAATATGCAGCCCTGTGTTCGTGATCTAGGCCCAGGTGAATTTTGGTGTCCCCCATGTTGGAGCCGTAGGTGCTGTACTCCGTTGCCTGTAAGCCTGTTGTAAATGAATCCTGGATTTGTCAGTGACTTTGATGTGTTGATAGTACTCGGTGGTTGCACAAGGTGCCTATATTGCTGACAAAATTTACACCCGCCGCCCCCTGGTATTTCACACAATTGCCCTGGAACTTGACACATACCCCGAAAGGTTGTTGCACTGTCAGTTGGAGGAAGAATTTCTGCCTTGGAAAAATATGGTGTATACCACTTCAGTCAATGGCTGAAATAACATGGGATTAAGCCTGAGTATGTGGCAGTTGTGTTGTACCAATATCACACTGGTCAATGGAGCTGCTTGTCTGCCCAATTTCAGGACCTGTGTCCGCGATGCCCTGGCCTTGGTGAAAGCCAAATCAGAGGCTGATTTTCTGATTCTCATAGACACACACAGCGATTACGAGAATGGAGAGCTGGTCCATAGTGTCGACAAACATGGAAATGTCTGGACTCAGGATGCTTCGGAGGTAAGCACTGTTTTAATCTGGCAGCTTTCTTTCCTTGACTAGTATGTCAGGTGTTCTGTCACCACTTTGGCCCCGAATTGTGGAAGTGGTCCTTGGATATGACCGGCATCAAAGGAATGATCCTGCTGGCCTGTGGTCCGGCATTCACGCAGCCATCACATTTTGAAAAAATCAAGTCACTGGTCTCCAGGTATGATATATCCTGGCCCTTGGATTTTTTTAATGACATTGTGGATCCAGCAAGCACCTGCAGTTCATCATCAGATTCACTGCCCATTCAGTTCAACCATCAGTGGTCATGCCCTTCATGCTACAGATGATCATAGAGGTCTACATTCACCAAAAGCCTGTTCAGCTGGCCCTTGAGCAGGAGATCGCTAACTGGATGCTGTTGTCCCATACTCCTGTGGTGTTGGTTTGCTGGAATACAGAAGGGTGTCTGGTTAGCCAAAGATATATGGCTTCCACTCCCTTTGGCTGCGTGTGGGGCCTTTCCCCTCGATGTGGCAATCAACTGTGCAATCCCAAGCCTGGGGACATCAACGCCAAATGATCTCGCAAAAACACCGGCTTTAAGTTCCATTGCAACCACTGCAGCTGGGATTCTGGTGGTTACAAACCCCAACCAGAATGGCTTTCACAGTTCTCCTCCCACAAGTCTTTGTTCGTTCACAACTTTCTGCTTACCGAGGAGCAAGAGGATTATGTCTGTCTGTGCCCCAGTAATCCACCCCATCACAATCCATAATGAGTGCCACCCGTACATTTGATTTTTAGATAATCTTGCACACATTATGTCATCCTCATCATACATTGGATAAGACTGTTCTTACTTTCAAATGAACATGGGGCCTGAGTATTCGTATGAGTTTTGAGTATAAATGCCTATTCTTCAAAATAGTTGCTTACTGTTGATAGTAACAATGATTGTCTGGAGTTTGCATGGAATTGCAGAATAGTTTAGATAGATCCAGAGCAGGTACATTATTCTCTGTAGGTCTGATCTTTGAAGAGTTGGATGGTGCCCTTGAATCTGTTTGCTAAAATTACCACATTAATGATCAGCCAATATAATTAACAAGATGAGATGTATCACAGCTTGAACATAAAAAAAGTAAGCACCTGGTTCAATAATGGTTGATCTAACTTGCATGTCCTATATATTTGAAATATAGTTGAAACTCTGATACATAAATCAATCAGAATTGCTAACCTATGATTCAAAGTTTCAACTCTTTTCAATGCTAGAGATATGTCTGATTGAACAGTCTCCGATCTTGAAATGTCATCTCTCATGTTGTCTATTTAGATAATTAATCACAGTTATATTTGTATCAAAAAATTTCAACTGGCCTTGAACAACTTTAGGGAGAGAGATCTCTGAAATTACATCATTACTTTGTGACAAGAATGATGATCCAGCTGATTTTTTGCTATGGAGTTTCATAGGAGATTTAGGTAGCAATTGAAGTTCCATGATAGTGCTATTGAGCACTCCTTTTGGACGCCCTCTTCCCTTCTTTACTGGCTTCTCAAATATGTTATCCTCAATAATATCTATAGATGATCTAAATAATTGAAATTATAAGATTAGTTTTTTTTTTAGTTTGAATCAATGGTTTCAATGATAACTCACTCAGGGACCTCTAGTGTAGACTTATTCTGAATTTTTTTTGGTGAGTGATTATTATATAAATAAAAGAAAAACTTACTACCAGACTTCTGTCTTGGATTTCTTGTTTGGTCTGAATCATCATATTAATGATGCCTTTGCACCACATTTCAGAGCATGGCCCAGATGACTCCATGTTAGGCTCCAGTGCAATCTTGGCATTTATGGCTTCAAATATGACAGTTTGGTATTCTACAGAGTGTTCTGGAAGTCTTCCCCATAATCTAGGGATCTCTTGCTTATTTGCCCAACTATGCCAATCTTTCAGAAGTAGATCAGTCTTCTCTCCAATTAAAAAAAAAACAGACTTACCATATGTCTGAGGATCATCTAGGTGCACATTCATAATGTGAGGTTTGTGTTGAGGATTCACAGATCCACAGTAATATATATAGGCCAAAAAAGAGTTCAAAACAGTTGACATCCACTATATATTCTTTACTCCAGGCTGGTAAAACCTAAATTCCTTCTGAACCTCCTTATGAACTCCTCCCTTATTTTGCGAGTTCCCTTCCAAAAGCCTCATATTCTAGCTGCAAGATGTCCCAATCAGATGAAGGCTCCAGATGGTGCAGCAGTTCTTGTAGACAAATAATAATGTGATTGAGAAATCTGAGGTGATTTTTGTAATAGGCAGGGATCATGACAATAAGTTCATGTCTGTAAAACAAGTCATAGGTCCTGGTGTCTGGCATGAATTTTCCAAGATGATAACCAGGAATGACAGACAAGTTTAAATGAGCAGGACTTGAATCATGCCACCACTTGTCAAAGTGTTGGAGATGGAAATGATGTGGGACAGCCATTAAGTTATAGCAGGAAACAGAAGGATTAAGCAAACAAGCTGAAAAAAATTGAAGTATCTGTAGAATGACTAAGACTTTCCTTATGTAGATGATTAATCATGAAACAAATACAAAAGTCAAAATATGATCTGCAATGACTTGAAATTCATCATGCTGGTATACTGATGTTATTCAAATATTTTCACTCTGTGAATACATGAAGTACATCTATCAGCTGTACTTAAAGTCAGTTAATATGTTTATAAACTTTTGAAACAAATCCTAGATATCATCAAACATCCAACTAAACTTCTTTTCACTATATTAAAGATCATATAAGATATCAAATTAGTTTTGAAGTTTCAGGATTTTTTTCATAAAGAGTTTGACTATATAAATGTGACAATTAGAGGTTGATGGAAATACAAAGGTCCTAGATGCTCTTAAATATACAACTAAACTTCTTTCTACTATTTTATAGGTCATAGAAGATGATTATCCCAGTTTTAAATATTCAAGAATTTTCATAAGCTGCTAGACTAAATGTATAATCCAGTTATTCAAATCAGCATACATGTATGTTTCCATCAAAGCATTTGATCCTACATGTAATGTATATAATAAGACACTACTATGTCATGTTCAGATTTGCAGATGTTTAAACATGGATTCTGAGTCAGCAGATATATTGGATTTTTATTAAACTATGGGTTGCATATAGTCATACATCATCTATCTCAGTCCACTTTGTTATTTTTAAGGCTCCTCAATCATGTCAGATCTTGGTCCACCAACATTTCCATCTTCTCTAAACCACAATGGAATCAAGTAAGAAACAGAAACAAAAGATATGATACCTCCATTTCCACAAGCATCAAGTACAGCATTAAAAACCTCACTCCAATTATCATCACACTACATAGGAGGCATTGAGCTTGTATATGAAGACCTGGATTGCCTGCAAAATAAACAACGGCGGATTAATGCAACAGTCATGAATGCATATGCCAATCTGATATCTATTAAGCAGCATGACATTTTGACTAAAGCTGGGTATATCTTAATCAGCTTACTGGTTCCCCACCTTATACATGGAAAAACTTCATGTGGAACAACTCTAGAAAACATTGTTTCTATGGTCAGTATATTTCTTTAAGCAGACATCTATATTAAAACCAGATCTGGTTCCAACTTCTTGGACTTAGATAACCAAAAAAAAAATGCTTGACTTCAGACATTGGGCTTTTCCTCTATGTGGAGGCAGTCCCTCTCACTGGATCCTGGGTTGGGTGGATTGGTCAGCCCATGAAATAGGTTTCTTTGATAGCTTGGGAATTCATCCTACTTGGGCTCAAAAAGTGAGTAGGATTTTCAATCTATCTATAATATCTAGGCATCTGATATCATAATTTTGCTATTAGGATTTGCAGCATGCTGCTGCTGGCCTAGAGCACTAGCTGAAATATGAAACATATCCAGAAATCAATTTTGTTGAACACTGATTCAAAAACTGGAAGATTCTTCATCACACTCCACCAGATGATCAAAAACAAAAAGATAGCTGGTCTTGTGGTCTATTTGTTATGATGGCCATGGATGGACTCTCAAATATGGATTTCTCAAATGTACACCAATCCAATTTGGCATTCACAAAAGCATTTGCATTGAAGACCATCATGAAAGTCAGGTAATTCTGACAGATCAACTATAATAATTCTTGATGAATATGCTGACCCAGAAGCTTTAGCCCAGTCATGCATCAGTGCTGTTCTAGAAAACAACATGTTTCACCTTCATCAGTTCATCATACTGAATCTTCTTCAACTATTGTCAATGTTGCCCAAAGCAATTTTGTCTTAGAGACCTCTAGAAGTAAAAAGGTTCAGAAGATGTTGAATATTATTTTAAATGCTAAAAATCTAATTGTCATTTTCGGTATGATGAAGTCCATTTTTTGAAATATTTTATGCTTAAAAAACTCTATTTCATTGCATACACTCTCTATAGGTCCAGATATATCTATCCCTGCTGTATCTGCATCTGCAGTTGATCCTTTTGAATTACTGCTTCCTATTATATGGCAGGTACATAATATAAAGGTTCTAGATGTCTTTGAAAACACCTAACTCATTACTTCTTTTGTAGGACTGCACTAAGTCATCATCAGTGTTTCAGACCATGATGCACGATCTAAAGAGAGCACCTATCAAAAACCTGCTTTATGAGGCTATCCACTCTTTGGACCGCTGTGGCAATCTTTTGAGGGTCTACACTCAAAATATTGATGCCTTAGAAAAGACTACTAGACTGTTGTCCTTTGGAGTTTCCAAGTCATTTCAAATAGGGAAACCTGATTGTCCAAGATGCATTCCATTGCTAGGACGTCTGAATCAAATGTCTTGCACTTCTTGCAACTATGTGGCACCATCAGCCATATTTTTGGAATAGTCTCTCTCAGATGAGCTTCCTATGTGCACCAACTGTCCAACATTCACCCACAGTTATGGACATTGTGGCATTAGACATCCAAATATTGTGGTTTGTAAAGAGAAGCAGCCAAATTTAAATTCACTTTTAGCTCATGATGAGGATCTTGTGGATATAGTGTTGGCTATGGGTGTCCATCCCATTCCTAACTCCAACCTTCCTGCTATCACCAAACAAATCACCCAAGCTGCACATTCCAGCTCAGGGAGGAGTTCCTACATCTATCTTGATAAATCTGGACATATCTGCTTTGGAGAGAACTGGAATTTAAGATCTCTTCCAAATTTCTATGGCCCTAGACTTGCAAGAGTTTTTTGGATACATTATTCTGCTGCCCATCAAGATGCTATCCATAATCCTGCCAGCAATACCATGCTGATATCCAAGAGCCTAGTGCTAAATGAAAAAGGAAAAGAAGGAGAAGAAGATGCTGATGCTGATGATGGTAACAACCACAAGTTATTGCTGACATTGACACCTTGGTATTTTTCTGATCTTTAGCTATGTAGCTCAGAGCAAATTTATTTTACTGCTGCATTTTGTTATTTTCCTCCAGTTCATAATATTATGTTGATGTATTTTGTGTTAATGATTATAGACTAAATACTTTGATGATTGATTGATATTGCCTGTTGTAATTTTCAATTGTCAACAGAAATCATGACATTGCAAATTATTCTCTCAAATTTTCAAAGACTATGTTAATTATCAATATAGAGAATTACAATGATTATAACTTCTTTTGGGCATTCTCTTTCCCTCTTTACTGTCCTATGGACATCATTTCTAACATCATATATGAATGATGTAAATATCTGAAGTAAGCAATTTTTCTTTGGAATAACAAGTTTCATAATAGCTCACCCAAGCACTTCTGGTTTAGACTTGTTCTGAGAAAATAATTGTTCGATGATTTCAAATGAAAGAATAATACACTTACTGAGGTACTGATTATATTTTGTCTGACTTGAACCATCATATTAACAATGCCTTTGCACTATATTTCAGAGCATAGCCCAAATGACTCTGTATTAGGCTCTAGTGCAATTTTAGCTCTAGTAGCTCAATAAAAATATATTTATGCCAAGCAAAGATTGCAGAAAACCAAGCTAATTTATGAAATATTATATACAAAAAGTATAGCTAGCAGATAAAATAGATTTGATCAAATATCTACAGACTCTTTGGTCTACTCCAAAATCCTGCCCCATTCCTGAATCCTAATGTTGCAATCAGCAAGAGTAAGATCAGTTCTACTCCAGGAATGTTTGCTATGAGATTCTCTAGGCTCTACTATGATTGTATCAAGATTGGACAATGAATGAGTAAAAAATGCTGCCACAGTGAAAGAATTATAAGGAGATGAGAATCCTACATGCAATGTGGTGATAAGATTATTGCTGTATGCTGATTCTATGCTGTGATATCCTAAGCTGCAATTGAAGAGAAAACCAAGCATCTCCAAATGAGAACAATGATGCAGGATAAAAGATATCCTCCACAGAGTGGCCCTTGCAGGTTCCTCCCATAATGATCTGGTGCCTAACAAAAGGCATTGAAGATGAGGGAGACTGATGGCCAAATTCAGCAAATCATCATCATCAATCCTGCAGGTTCCCAAGTCCTTCAGCTCCAGAGCAGTCAAATAGACTAGTCTATGCAAAGATGCCAAACCATTTCTTGGAATCTGAAAACTCTCTTCATCTAGTACAAAGAAATCTTCATTCCATGGCATATTCAATCTGAAACCAGCCAGATTCTCCCAAGCCAGGAATCCATCATCATCATCATCAACTGATGGAAGTGATGTTAGGATATTGACAAAATGTAGAATAAGATTTATAGAGCAATATTCTTGGTAGATATTGATGCTGAGGCCCTGACAGATGATGTGATGGTTGGATAAAAGAGATATGATGGCTGGAAAACCAGTGTTGACAGAGACATTTGAAGAGGGCAGGTCAGGTTCTACTTGAATATTTAGAATCTCCATACGAATAGAATGGTTGGAAATAGAGCTAGTCTTCTGCATGATAGATGTTCCAGGAATGATGACAAGAGTTAGGCTGATGAGCTGATGGAGAAATGCTAATGATGTCATCAAGGAAGGTTGGATGTAGGATAGGGTGAGGCGGTGCATGAAAGTGCAGTTGGACAAAGAGTTTAAAATAATGCTGGTATGAAATGCATCTGAGATATAGACCAAATTTTGCAGATGAGGCAGCAGATTCCGCACATCCGGTAGCAAGATCATATGAGGAGGCAGTATCAAAGTCTGCAATCCTGGAAGCAAAAGTCTGTCCAGATATTGGATCAAACAGTCACTTTTGTCCATCAATTCTACATGATAGAAATAGGGCAAAAGAGAGCCTGCAGATCTGATCCTATCATGCAAGGCTGCTAGAGTTTGAAAAACATAGATGTGTCTGGACTGGAGTGCTTTGCCATCAACAGCACAAATCATTTTGACTCTTCTGGCATATGACTGAAATCTCTCTAGATCAGACTGCCTTGGAGTCGTAAGAAATCTCTATATCAAGCAGTTCTTAATCAGAAACCAAAAATATTCTAAAATAATAATTAATTACTCACTCACTTTAATACCCCATCTGAACTTTCATATTCTTGAATAAGATCTTGTGGTAGAAGATAAATGAGGGATTCCATATAGGATAGCTTCTTCTATAGAAGCTGCAGGACAGCCTCAAAGATAGTTGAAGATGTTGTAGATAATGCAGCAAAAGCACCAAGTCCACCAGAACCTTCTTGGATAATGAGAGCATAGACCATCTGAAAGATGATGAAAACTATGTCATGCATATTGAATATACGATGCATCTTCAAACTTTGTTCAAGTTGAGGATTATAAAAGTCTGCATTCAAGATGTATAAGCACCAGCATAAACATGCACTCTGAGTGAAAAATCCACGTGACATTTACATCATTAATGGATATGATAATCAAAGGTTGATTCTTACCAAAGATCTTAAATATTCATAATGTTTTAACAAACTTCTTCTCTAGAATACTAAGCCATCAATGGATTTTTTATGAAATGGCAGACTTGCATAGAATTTGGGCTATTAGAATATGTCAGTTAGTTAGAGGCTAGTAATCAGCAATTTTTAACATTACTGAGTAGCAAAATAAACTACTTTTCATCATTTTAACAATGACAAAATATGATGAATCCAGTTTTGTTAGTTCTTTGTAAAATCTGAGCAAAATTCTTATAAAATGCCAGACATGATAGCAAGGAGTGAACCATAATAAGTAATCACCAAGATCATTAATCACCCAAATTGACTGCTTCTTACTATTTTCAAGTACATAAAAGAATCCACCTAGTTTTTAACTACTAGAAATTTTGTATGGGATCTAGACATGGTGAAGATGTTAGTAGAGGGTGAACTATGACTAGTGATTACCAACATCACTAATCATTCAAATCCACTATTTTCCACTATTTTTTACTATTTTCAAGGTGACATAGAATAATGGACCAAGTCATAAACTGCTAGGAATTTTTGATAGGGTGCTGGACTCAGTAGGTGTGGTACTAAGAGATCAAGCATAGCCATTGATCATCAACATCAATAATCATCAAAATAAACTACTTCTAACCAATTTCAGAATTAGGAAAGATGATGCACCAAGTTATGAACTTTCAAGAATGTACCATGATAGACTAGATATGGTAGATATGGTAGTAGGTAGTCAACTTAGAGTAGTAATCATCAAAATCACCAATCTTCCAATAAGCTGCTTTCTATTATTTTTAAGGTCACATGGGATGAGGCACCAAGTTTTGAACTTCTAGGAATTTTTTATGAGATATCAGTCAGATATGGTAGATATGCTAGTAAGGGGTCAACTCCCACCAGTAATCACCAACATAAGCAATCATCTAAAACAATTGCTTCTCACCATTTGCAAAGTCACAGAAGATGATGTACCAAGGTTTGAACTTCTAGGAATTTTTTTATGAGACAATGGATATGGTAGATATGCTAGTAAGGGGTCAACTCCCACCAGTAATCACCAACATCACCTATCATCTAAATCAACTGCTTTCTACTATTTTTGAGGTCACAGAAGATGATGTACTAAGTTTTTAACTTCTAGGAATTTTGTATGAGACATCAGATATGGTGGATATGCTAGTCAAAGGTCAACTACCACAAGTAATTACCAACATTACCAATCTTTCAAATTGACTGCCTCCCACTATTTTCAAGGTCACAGAAGGTGATGGACCAAGTTTTGAACTTCTAGGAATTTTTTATGGAACACTAGATATGGTAGATACGCTAGTGAAGAGTTAACTACCACCAGTAATTACCAACATCCCTCATGATCTAAATCAACTGCTTCCTACTATTCTCAAGGTCACAGAAGATGATGCACCAAGCTTTGAACTTCTAGGAATTTTTTGTGATACACCAGATATGGTGGATATGCTAGTAAGGGGTCAACTCCCACCAGTAATCACCAACATCACCTATTATCTAAATGAACTGTTTCACCATTTTTGAAATCACAGAAGATGATGCACCAAGTTTTAAACTTCTAGGAATTTTTTATGAAACACTAGATATGATAGATATGATAGTAGGGGATGGCTTGTAGATAGTGAGCACAAAGATGACCAATTATCTGAGACAACTACTTCCTACCATTTTAAAGGTCACAGAAGATGATGTACTAAGTTTTGAACTTCTAGGAATTTTTTATGAGACACTAGATATAGTGGATGTCCTAGTGAGGGGTCAACTACTACCAGTAATTACCAACACCCCCATGATCTAAATCAACTGCTTCCCACCATTCTTAATGTTATAGAACATGATGCACCAAGTTATAAACTGCCAAGAATTTTTTATGAGACACTAGATATGATGAATATGCTAGTAATGGCTCAACTCCCACTAGTAATCATCAACATCCCCCATGATCTAAATCAACTGCTTTCCACTATTCTCAAGGTCATAGAAGATAATGCATCAAGTTTTGAACTTCCAAAAAAATTATATAAAGTATTAGACTTGGTAAGTATGGTAGTTGATCATTTTGTCTTATTATTAGTCTCTCACAGCATGAACCATCAAACAAAGCTTCTGCCCATCATTTGTAAGGTCATAGAATTCAATGGACCAAATTTTGGGATATTAGCAATTTTTTGTAAGGTTGTAGCCCCCACTCCTTCTCCTCTAGACCTGAAAATCATGTGTTCATAATACTATAGGGCATATATAGCTGTTTGTGAAGAATGCTACATGTTTCAATTGAGTTACTAAAATGAGCATGACTCATCTATCATCCAACTAAGCTTCTCCCTACCATTTTAAAGGTCACTGAAGATGATAGACCAAGTTTTGAAACTTTAGCAATTTTTTGTCACATGATAGACTTGGTGCCTATAGTAGGTAGAGGCCCATCTTAAGTCAGACATACTAGACATGACCTATCATCCAGGAAAGCTTCTCCCCACTATTTTAAAGGTTACTAAAGATGATACACCAAGTATTGAAGCTCTAGCAATTTTTTGTCAGATGATAGCTGACCCTCTCCTCCTGGACCAGTATGTATAATATGACAATATTAGAAATAAGTGCAAACTCATATATCCCAATCACTATAGTATATACCAGTATATTTATTAGATATTTGATGTCTTTTGATGGATTTATACTGTCCTAATATGGTGATTCAGTTGAATCAGTCAGTCAACAGTAAAATGATCATAACTCATGTTCCTGACCACCAATTTCCTTAACAGTTTGTGCAATGGAATCCCAGTGATATATTCTATCAAATGAGACACCCAAAACAATATGAAAATGTGTTGAGATATATATAATATATAGCCATAGAGTGTATAAAATGCACATTTCAACCTTGTTGATCCCATTGTGTAATTGCCTACCATCCAATATAAAAACAGAGAACCAGCAAGAATTCCTGCCATTGTACAACCTGTATGATACAAAAATGCAGAGATAATAAAATAGTGATTGTGTGTCAAATGAAAACATTTCTGCGATCTTGGTAATGAAAATAGCTCGAGTACAAGTACAAATTATCCATACACAGCAACCCTTATCCACTTTCCTCCCCAAAGATTTTACAACTCTAGAGATTGTGTCAGGGCACGGTCAAGCTCCTTCCTGTCTACAAGATCTCTGGCTGTAAACTGATTACCCTGGTAGAGTATATGACTTGCTGAAACCCATTGAGATGTTCCTAAAAACTCAAGAATGACATCTGAGATGTCCATGCTTGGCTTTGCTGTCTCCCTATCACACACAGACCTGTGATTACTCCCCTTTGCGTGATAATGCTTGGAACTGGTAGCCATCATGCATAGACTGAGTAATGGCCGCTTGGATAAAGCTAAATCTTCCGTCAGTTTCGATTATTGATGTAACAAATAATGACGTACATATTGTTGACGACAAATAAGGTATTGCGATCACCATGTGACGAAGAGTCTCTAATGCATGGTCGAGAGCTTGGTTTGTCATCGAGTCGCCTACTTTGACGTCGATGTATCTGGCGAGCTCGGTGAGATGCATGCACAAATAGTGATAGAAGTGGCCTCCTGTAGCAAAGGAGGCCACTGGAGTGTAAACCGCATGCATCGTGCCAGGTGGCTGTATACTGAAAGTGGTTTTCGTCAGAAATAACTATGGAACATGATGATATGGACCTACAGCATATCCCCAGGACGAAGTGTTATTAACCCAGTGTTGCAGTGTTTCTTCAACCAGGCTTTGTTCTCCACAAAGTTAATGAGTTGTGTTGCGATGTTTTGAATGTGACTCCAATCATCGTGTTGATCCTTCAGCCAGAATAATACCCAAAACTTTACGCCAACTTCCATCCTAACCCAGGTCAATGTACCTTCCACGTCATGATGGGGGTACATGAGAAATCCAGCTTGGTGCGCCATTCCCCATCCCCTCACAGTAAAATTGTGAGGATGAACATTCGATGAGATTGGAACGGTATGAACGCTTTGATTCCAACCATGGACAATACCATGGTCGATGTTCCTTGATTATGGTCAGAAGTACAATTTAAATTAGGATAGCAAATTGATGAACTTACTGGAGAGCCCATGGAAGTGAGGTTTGTGCAAGTGGAATGTCAAGGATGCATTGAATGCTTGTTGGGTCTGTCATAGAGTCGAAGAACGACTCAATCGTGCCATTTATTGTGGGGTTCACATGATCTATGGATTGCATTATAACATCTAAATGCTTAATCAATATTGACAACAATATCAAATGTGAATGAAAGACTTGCCATGAATACAAACAGGACGATTTGGAGAAATGGCGAAATATTTGTCTAGGTATTCCACTGATGGGTCACCATCCAATCCATCATATGCCACGCCACTGATAACAATGGGGATGTTGGACCTGAGCGCGTTCCCAACGACATCCAAGATATCTTCTTCCGCGAGCGCATATGCCTTCAAGTGCAAAACATTCTTTGAAGATGATAGTGAGGGTGGAAACTGGGCCATAAACCTGATGATCGGAATGTCAACAGAGTCGCAAGCATTCACGTTCTCATCAGTAGAAAGTGTAGGAAGAATTGTGATATGATTATTCTTCCATTTCAAGGTCTTGCTTTCCTTCAGAACTTGCATTCCCAATAGGCCACATATTAGGTCGACAGTTTCAGAAGACATCACAGAGATGTGTTATAGATCAAGATGTCTACAGGACGAACAATAGTAATGTGGTTTACCCGATTTAGTAATATTATATGAGTATTCACTCAATGCATGTTCGAATGTTAAATCAGTCACAGTCACAATAAATATTCGTGAAGGCGCTCCCAAGGTCATACCAGAAGGACGAAAAGGAGGGTTATTCTGAGCTTACATCACATGACTGCAGGGAAATACCTCTAAGCATGTAGGGTATTTTACAAAGCATTTGTTGCAACATTGTCATACATGGAGATGATTTACATGCTAACAGATAACATCCCTAAGCATATCATTGTATTGTAAACACATCTGGTAATACGCATCACGACTGAGTTGAGGATCATGGAATGATATTGTTAAGACAATGGAGCGACAATCTTTTCCAGCCAGTGCTACATGTTACAGGCATCCGTAACACCTACTGGAGCCCCAGCTCTGCCTATGCCAGCCCCCGCTCTACTAGACTCCCCACGCGGCGGCACGCTGCCTGCACTTAGAAAGACAGTGGTCTGGACCGCTGCAACACCACCCCTGGCACTGTGACCCCGCCCCTGGCCTCGACGGCCTTGTACCTGATCCATGGAGGCTGTACGCCTCATGGTCACCCTAGATCGGCACATGTTGATTGTTGCCGCCTCATGAAGCCTCATGAAGATCCGGAGTGCCCTTGGCGCCTCATGTACTTATGCGCAGTCGCACTTGGCACTGCATGCTTGATCAGAGGTTAAGCCTCATGTACCTTATCTGACCTCATGTCTTGTTATCATAGATCCTAGATATACTATAGATTACAGACTGAGCTAGAATACTTACATGTAGCACATATAAGTAGACAGATTATTGTACTTAGACTTTACTTTAATCTACTAGGTTCATCCCAGAACTTGTTCAGCTAAGCCTCCCAGCTCAGCTGCCTAAGACCGCACTTCTAAGTCGCTCCCCGCTTCTTAGCCGTATCCGCTAGCCCTGTATCTCGACGAGCGCCGTCTTACCGAGATCACCGGAGGAACCCTTGACGTTCCGTCAAGCCGAGAACCACCCTCAGCTTCAGTAGACTCACTCGAGTCGTCGCTGAGAAGACCTATCCTAGTTCGCACACGCCGACCGACGGTCAGCGTAACACTACACAATTGTGAGATGAATCGACAAGAGAGAAATTTACTCACATTGGCATCTGCGGTGGTTGACAACAATTCAATAGCACCACTTGAATCCGCGACAAATGGGGGATCAGGAGGAGATGGATATAATTCATCATCTCCCACAGCATCTACATCTTCATCATGTAGATTCGAGTTACCATTGTTCTCAATGGGACTGTGTGCACCCTGAGGATCTGGCATCGCTGGAACTAAGATGGTCGATGGGACTAAGATGGTCGATGTTATGACAGGAGGAGTCGACATGGATCGTACGGAAACAGCTGCCTTCAGACGCTTGGATGGTCCATGACCACCTTCCTTCTGGTATGTGTGAATTGGCAGTGTGTAAAATTAATCCAGGACTAGTTACCTTTGGTGGAGATGCATGAGACGATGTCCGCTTGCGTTTGACTTCAGTCCTGGATATATCTTGTGTTAGATCATCCAATGGAACACCATCACTGTCGATGGCCATATCTTCCATAGCATTGATTACTTTTCCCTGCTCCTCAGCATCATCTACAGGTGATTCATCGTGTATTTTGTTTGCGAGAGATATCCATGGCAGATTTGCATCCAACATCATGCTAATCATGATGTCAGTGACATCAAGCAAAATATGTGAGACGTACCTAAGAGTCACTGCCGGCAGCGAGCTGACAGACAACTCATTGGTTTGACTGAACCTGCTGTCCACTGAAACAACCGACCTTCCAAGAATATGCAGGAGATGTCTCATGTAACGAGGGCGGGTATCTATGTGAGCCACAGTGGAATACAAACACTCTATGCCAAGAGCCTCATAAAAGTCGTTTTCACTGTTGAAGGTCATGCCATGTGAACTCTGTGGAATAACTAGGCCATTCACATCTGCATCTACTGGCAACATCGCCAACTGACGAAATCGAAGCAGCATCCAAGTACCCAGCTTCAGAAAGACTTGTGAGTTTCCACTCTCAAATGTGACCCTGTTCCAGGTCTCCCAGTTCTCCAACCCAGAAGGAAGGATCGTATCATCTAGCTCGTCAGGGCTATCGTGCGACATGTCAATATCAGATACATCTTCTGGCTAAAAATTGTGAACTGTCAGTAACATATATGAAAGTCGATCACATAGATACCTGGAACTGTTCTTCCTCATCATTAAACTCAATAATGTTAGGGAATAATGCTGGTGTGCTTGCAGATTTGTTCCCAGTGACAGTAGTCAGTGGATCTTCCTCCTCATCTTCCGACTGTATAATACGCCCAGCTCCTCTCTGCTTGACGGCATTAGTGACTTCTTGGTTCGCCTTGAAATAATTAATCAGTCCTTGCTTTACACATGGAGAATTTTATGCTGCAGAATATTACATTTGCTTTAACATCAGGAGATTTGCGAGACATTGTATGCCCCTCATCCTCTGATTCAATCGTAGAAGATGTTTCTTTTTGTTTCTCCTTGAGCGTCGCACACTTGCCCTTCTGGAACGCTTTCTTTGCTTTGGTTGTCTTTTTGGCGGCTTCCTTGCTTTCAAACAGATTGGCGACTTGTTCGCTGTGGCTTTCCTGTATTTGATCATTAGGGATGTGAACGTATGGATACTTCATAACATACCTCGTCATCGGAACCCAATACCAAAGGTCTAGCCAGACTGCTTGCACCTCTCTGAGATGTGGACTTTCTGACCGTATCCTTGACAGCCTTCTTCGACTCAACAGCGGGGATGCATTTATTGGATGTGTCCTCAATGTCGACGATCATGCTTTCGGGTAATACTTGCGAATTTCTAACTGATGGCGCGGTCGCCTTGACCTTCTGTCCTCTGGATACCTTTGATGCTGATCCTCCAGTGGCAGTCTGTGGGGGTCTTCGTGTGATTTTGATGGAAAAATTGTGATTTGGACTGTGAGTGCATACCATCTTCTCCTGTTTAATTTCTACCTCTGGTTAGGATTGGAGAGTGGCCTCAATGACGCCAGCGACCAATTCAGACTGCTCGCAAGTGTGCTCAAATGGGCCACCACATAAATTGTCGCCATTGAGGCAAAAGTGTTTGTGTAGTGCCATGCCAGTGACTAATATTATGGACGTATGATATCATCGAAAGTTGCGCATAAGATAGTACATAAAACACTTACTATCCTGTACCTTTTTGTAGGGTTTCTTCTCCCTGAAGTGGTTCCAACTGCGCTTCATTGTCTTCAAGGCTATTGCCTGTTGCTCCTGCATAAATGCATTGCCCTGCAACACAAGGGCAATGTGAAAGTCTAGATGCACGGACCTCCACTTCGTAGTGTTACCAGCCCCGGATAGCTCTCGTTCAAAGGCAGTAATCAATGATGCCAGGTATGAAGTCATGGAGACAAAGAATTGAAATTCATCATCGACGGTAGGTGATTTTGGAAGTTCCTGCAAGGATTTTGCAGTAGACTGGTATAAGTTCATTTGATGAACAACGAGTGTGAGTGAATTGACGCAAGATTTGGGAACCTCGACCTATTCAGAGAAACATTAAGTCAACATCAGACTATGTGAAGCATAGAGCATACAAATGACAACCCATTTGTCACTGATAATCTAGTCTTACTGTCCTCGATTGCAAGGACACATGATGGTTCAACACAACATCCATGAAAACTGGACTTATCTCCCTGATGTCCAGCACGATTGGAGCTAATGTCAGGTATTCCATTGATGATGATTCAGAGTAAATAGCGAGGATGATGTTACTTGTAAACTGGTATACAAGATTCAGTTTGTTTTCGAGTGGCTCACTAAGATTGGGGAACGTGGGAAGTTATACCTTATTTTGAACTGCCATCCGAAACTACCAGAAGAATCATCCGATTAACAGTCAACACGGCTGGATAATCATGATAGTGATTATGTGACTGGCCATAATATCTCTACATACATTATATGGCGGCTGTTGAATTATTAATGATGATCCAACCATGACTAATATAATCATTTTTAACATTCTCACATGTGGGAAACAAGGTTTGTCATTGTCTGAAGCCACCCACATACCATCTCCGCTGCTGCAAAAATGTTGAATGGAAGGTTTTTTAGAGCGCCAAATCCGGCGCCTGTAGCAGTAAATGCCTCTGCCATCACAACTGCACAGACAACGGCAGTACAACCATCAGGGTGTCCGCGTAGAACAAGACAACAACCACAGGCCAGACAACAGGCAGGATCAACTGCAAAATGTACTAGCCCTAAGTCCGATTCCCTCACGGCAACATATGTCCGATTAACACCGATCCTCGAGGCCAATGATAATTCAATGATTGTGGATGATGCCCAACCATTGACAAGGTCAGGCCAGAAAGCAACTGATGAGGTCAAGGATCCAAAACTCATATGTACTTCTAAACTCAACATATATAAATCAATCATATCGACATCTGGCACAGTGTTGCATCTATTGTCACGACATCAGATCGTTTATCTGGAGGTGCACTAATGCAGAGTGCAAGATCCCTGTGTGCATCAGTAAGGGTCAAGGAGATCACGGATGTATCAATGCATCCCCAGATAAATTAACCGGAGAAGTCAAAGTCGAGGAGGGTACATTCCTTCGCCCTCGATGTCATCGTGCAGCTGGCATGCCAATCATGGTAAGTAGCACTACTGTTTCAACCATAAATATACTTATAACTATGATAACAAGTACCATGTGCAAGGATACTCTGTAAGACAGGACTTCTTGCATCACAATTATTTCCCTTTGCTCGCAATATTCTTATCCTGGAGTGGATTCGGCAGCTCGTATGCATCAAACATCGTGAAGGCATCGCTTTTGGAGCATTTCAGTCTATATCCAACCAGGGTATGTGATATGTATGACTCTTGGTGCATCATTTGTTAAAATTCTGATTAATAAGATTAAAATTGCATCATGAGCAATCAAAGCTGGAAACAACCGCCCAAGTGCCATGACCCCGCATTTTGAGTGGCTTGCCAAGCTGAAGTATGAAGGGAACATGTTGATCTTCATCAACAGTCATTAGGATACCGCCACGGGAAATCTAGTTGTGTCTGGGAACGCGCAGAATCCAGTGGCAGTCCCAATTCACGAGGTCAGCAGTCATTCAACAAATGAGAAGCATTTATTGAATTTAATGTTCGTGTATACAGCTCCTGACAAGCTACATCGGAGACAAGAATTTGAAGCTATCAATGAAGGCTATCTCAGCCATCAACAGCAAGTCTGGAGCAGGACCATGCGTTCGCGGTTTGGTCATATGTTGTGGCTCAACTGGGAGGTTGAGCGAAAGCGCCAATCTATTGAACCGCTTCATAGAGCGGTGAGTGAAATTTTAATTACATGCAAGTCATCTAGATTGATATATAGAGACGTGTTTGACTTTGTCCTCACATTTGCGGGCGTATCAACTATAGATTCCATAGTCGTCCCTGCATTGAATCGCTTCATCGAAAATGTCTATGTGTTCGACATGCACATCTGGGATGCGATGGAAGAGTCCTTTGGAGAGGACAGATATGCCCTGAACCAATCTCCCATGTACATCTCATTTGCGACTATCACTAATGGTCCAAATGGTGAGCGGAACCACATTGTGGATGCAAGGGTATTGGCATACTCTAATCTCAAGGATGGCTGTCCATGGGGCCTGGATATCTACCGGTGTTGGAACGTGCAGTGTCAAGCACCAGCATACAACATGATTTTTCATGTGCACGGAAAACAATTCTTTGGACAACGTTGGGTAGAGATGAAGCTGAAGTATATGTGCCTGCAATGCAAAATGATGCAAAAGGGTATCACATGTCCATCATGGGTTCACGCAGCACGCTCTCAAAATTATGGACATGTATGGTACCAGTGGCCACTCACGTCGGCACAGAGACACGAGATAGGTGTCATACAATGAATATTTCATCCAACATTTACATACATGTAATGTAGGAATGTCACAAATGCTGTTTCAATCCATCACCACTGAGATTCTCTAGAATACACCGCATTGAGATTGAACGGAATCCTCTCACCAATATATCATGAATAACTACGTAGAAAGAGAGAACATATTTTATGATATGTGGCTATGCAAAAGACCAAAGATGTGTGCTTTCAGAATGCTAATACGTGTAATTTAATCTTGTGCAAAGAGAAAATTCTGCAAAGAATTACGATAGAGTGACCAAGATTCAACATCATCTTGGTCACTCTATCGTGTAATTATTTGCAGAAGATTGAATTACACGTTTTAGCATTCCCAAAGCACTCATCTTGGGTCTTTTGCATAGCCTCGCATCATAAATTATGTTCTCTCGTTTTACGTGTTTACTGGTTATATGTATATGTCCAGTACAATTTCTGCGTTCTTACAAATCGTACACTAATAACATGAGACATAATTAGTGACTGTGTTAGAATATTCATTGATTTCGTTGTATGCAATGCGTCCAGCGTGTCCACGAATATGTTGATAGAAATAAATGTTCCATAAAGCTATCTGTGCATTACTTATATTGACTATCACTTTTTACATTTATTTCCATAACCTGGAGGAGCGCTCGAATGTTCTGTCATAACTGATGATAGGATTCGAAGGGCAGGGGCATATGGGTCCTTGTCATCTGGATGAGTCACACATAGGAGATAGTGGATCACAGATATAATGGACTTGCTTTTGTTGTTATTCTGATTGAAAAAAAATATAATAATCAGTCCAGAAGAATGGTACACCAGTGAAGAACGACTTCACCCAAAGTTGGTTTAGTACAAAACGCACTGAATCTTCGTTCAATAATGCACGGCTTGACAGTTCAACAATCACATAATGAGCCTGATCATCCGGTAAGCATGACAGCAAAATGCTGAAGATAATTTTTCATTACCACTGGGGGTAGGACTAAGTTGCCGGAATGATTCGGAAGAACCTGATTGCACTGAGTGGCAATGTCCTCGATCCATAATTCAATCGACATAAATGACATCACCATTTTTCTCATGGTATGGGGCATGGATTCGCTGTGAAGCAGAGATGCGACGTGTAGAGCAATGGCTAGCCAGGACTCATGATCCGATTCCATAGTAGATTGTAGGAAATCAAATCTTTTAGGGTCCATAAGAAATGACTCAATCTAATTTATCATTTCAGTAAAATTGATGTATGAATACATTGTAGTACACACCTACCGATGACACAACAGGATGCTTCCCTGTCTGAGACTTGGCAAGGAGGTCTTCAATTGTATAATGGTTGAATGTTGATTTTTGGGACGTGGGAGTAGCCTTTCCCTTTATTGTGGGCCTCTTGGCAGCAAAAACGATTGGTCGACCAGGCTTGGACAACCCTTGGTGCTGATACGATCCAGCAAGTGAATTTGTGAGCTGAGCTTGCTTATCATCACGTAATCTGGATTTTAAGGGAGGCGATAGAGGGGGATCACTGGCTTTCTGCACCCGGTCAAGATCAATGTGTTCATCATGATCGTCGGAAGGATTGGCGACGTGTAGCAGGCTGGAGACATCCATATCACTGGAAATATGAGATACATGGTTCTCTGAAGTGCTTGAAGGTTCTATAAGAATGGCTGATATATGGAATTCATCACCGGAATAATGGCCGTGAAATTCTGGTGTCAAGTCATAATCATCATGACCCTTCAATGATGAATAAGTTCCATTTGTTATTTACATGTTCCATGATGATTAACTGACAGACATACCATATATTCGTCATTTGCGTATTCTTCAGGATGGGGTAAAATTGGATGATCGCACATACCACGCGCAGGGGCTGACGAAGGCGAATCATAAATGTACGAGGGATTGTTCATAGTGACCTGTGCCACATAGTTTGAGTTGTAAATGGTGAGATCATTTTGGAGATAAATGTTTGTTTGTACTCCATGATCCAGCATTGCATGGCTGCGAGGCGAGGGTGGGAATTTCTACTATAAAGTCGCATTGAATACCCACCGCCACCATAATATGTGCCGCATGATGCCTATCAATATCCCGCTCAACAGCATCAGTGATTTGCTTCCAAATCCCAAGAGACTGTCCATATTGAACAACACAGTCTTTGCCCTTGCAGGACGTTGTAGAGATACAACAATTGCTGAGCACTACACAAAGTAAGTAGCCAGCAATATAAAAAATGTTGTGGTCGTGCACAGCCTAATCTGCTATACTTGCAAGACAAGTGCATTCGACCTGAGGGGTTTGCTGTATGGTATTAGAATAATCAGTTATAACAAAAGGAAGATAGTCCGAAGTGCAGGAAACCAAGTCCGAAGGTATAATTACAAGTCCAATGTCAACAAAACATCGGGTCCGATGTTTTCGGGTTTCGGGTTAGTGGGTTTCGTCGGGTTTGCGTCGGGTTAGCGTCGGGAATGTAGCAAATGTCGGGGATAGCGAATGGTGGGTTACTGTCAGATGTTTTGGATAAAGAAAGGATGATATTGCGGAATCCAACTAAGAACTACGAATATCGGATGACCTCCTCCTACTTGGAGGTAGAAAGGTAAAGTAAATAGGTAGGAGGTATGCGGAATATATAGTATCTATGTAGAATGTCGGAGTGCTATAGGCGAAAGTAGTAGTGCTGATTTTCGGGTCCGATGTCCTATGTAATAAGACACGATGTACTGCGGACATGTAATAACGTGTTCTACAATGTTAGCGACGTGAAAATGAATAACTGCGCACCTAGTGGGGATAGATACGACAGGACAAGACATAGGGAGGACAAATGCACGGGAAAATATCGGGTCCGATGTGTGGGAAACGTCGGGTCCGTCGGATTAGCGTCAGGTTTAGCGGACAAACATTGGATTGAGTGGGTTAGTGTCGGATTGAGCGGATAAGAGTCGGATAACATTGGGAAGTGATTCATGTGCAATGGGCATTTGACATGCATCGGAAAATAGCTGAATACATGCTCAGCGCGAGCTCGAGTGCTACAACGTATAGAGCGCGTGCCCAGCAACAGTGAAGAATCTTGCCATGGCACCACATTCCACCAATAATTCCTGGCATGTGGCAATCATCTCTGCCATCCCAAATATCTCTAGAAATTCATCAGTACTTCGTGCTGTGAGGAGTATTCCATTGGACACAAGGTTTTCCAATGGTTCATCATGATCAAGCCCTTGTATTTCTCGGAATCGCATCGCAACATGACTGGGCAGCCATTTGCCCAAGCAACCTACAAGGATTTCTTGAGCATCATCCCCAAGATTATTCAGGGAAATCGTGCAACATTCGATATCAAATGGAAGTGGGAACATTGGGAATGGATTTGACTATGTGTAGGCTGATATCAATATATATGTTGCGATGTGGGAAGCACATACCATATTGATGTCATCAGCTACAGACACATTCTGAGTTGATGAATTGTCTGGAGCAGGTGAATTAATCACTGATGGGGTGCTGATAGGGCCTTCGGGTGTGTTGAAGGAATCATCAATCACATTGAGTAGATGCTGAATATCTTCTCCTCCTCTGGATCCCTGTAATGCCCCACAGAAATCATGCTCCTTGCATTTTTCCTTGTGATAGGCTATCCAATCCACTGGATATTATGCCGAGTGAGATAAAAAAGACTCATAAAACAATATATCACACACAAAAACCAGTATGTCTGGACACTGGCCATTCTTCAGGCCTTCAAAGGTAACTCCATGAGCTTTTTGCAAAGCTTGGCGACAATCATCATCGAGTCCATCTGCAGTGTGATCCAACCAGAGATAATAGTCCATTGCTGCAGATCTAAAGTCACCGTGTAGTGGATCTGGAGATCCCGCAGCATCCTCCAGAAATGAAATTTGTATGTCATGCAAATATTTTATGACAGAAAGATAGGTCTTTCGAAGGTGAGCAGCTGCCACATAGGATGTGTCCTACAGATATTCCACTACCTTCCTGTAAAGGCCAAACCTCTTGTTGAGTGCATACAATGGTAAGTGATAACGAGGAGCTATTAGGCATGATTTGTGTGGCTGTCTAGAAAGCTTAAATGAGCACTCTCCATCGACATCCTGGATGGTTCCTTTGGCTTTTAATAGCTTCTATGCGTCATTTAGGCTCCATTCAAAGAAGTGACAGGATGGATTCATGGGGGAATTATGTTAATGATTTGCCTAGACCAACGGACTTACATATATGTGCTTGCGTTGCAATCGGAACCGAGATTACATATAATTAACATGCCATGTTATAATTAACATGACTGACATTGTGTGTCGTCATGGATTCCAATATAAGGTTTCAGGAACTATTAACAAGTAATGACAAATTAAGATCTTGATCTGCTTGAATGGGGAGACACAGAATGAATGAAATGAGCCAAAAAATCGGAATAAATGTCCTGGCAAAAGGCTAGATCACCACGGTCATGCAAGTCAAGCAGTAAAATCGTTGAATCATTGAATCAGCCATTGGCAGCTCATCTAGCTGCATGGTGGCATGCCATCCATCAGGTAAGCATCCAAGGGCCCTGGCCTCCTCCATCAGCCCCTCAGCCTGTGTCAAGATCCATGCATTTCCAACCACTCCGCATGATGCCCCTCGTCGAATTGGCGAGGTTAAGAGTGACAGGAACTGCAGGTCAAAATTGACATCTTGATACATATATGGCAGGCCTGCCTTAACGTTTTTGTTCATCTGATGCCCAAGAGCTTGAATGCATTTTTCGTTGAACCATTGCTTACACTTCCTGCAAAATCACTGCAGGGTCATTGGCGAGGAGAATGCAGGTTCGCATTGATCGCATCCGCACTTCGTGGATAACTGAGAGTTCTTCATCCTATGATCAGCATAAGCGCACCCTAGGGCTGAGATATGGACTTACTGTGATGTTCACTCCGTCTATGTAAACAATATTTCTGGTCTTTGAGAAATTTATGTGAATCGTCCACCGATTATACAGTGTCTTCGATGGTATCTGTGGTTGCTCAATATCTCCTTCATTATAGGACAAGATGGTCGCATGGGCTACAGATAATTTATGAATGTTAATGCAATTGATAAACAATTTGAAAATAACGGTGCATATACCTTCCACACAATGCATATCGATAACTGAAACATGATCACTGAGAACAAGCTCGTATTCACCTATGCATGCGACAAGACTAATGGAAAATCGATCAAAATTATTTCAGCTAATCTGAATGCACGTGCGTACTCAACGTCCTCATCTTCTAAGTCAATCCTCCTATAATACCATCATATCTCAAGCCATACATCCTGCCATGGAGTATTTGGGTCAATGAGGTATGGTAGAATTGAAAATGTACCTCACCTGTATTTGACGACCACTCTTCAGGTAGATCTGAACCACTTTGCCATACCAATATGACATCGTTGGAAGACTCTCATCTTGCATGGGAACTGCATGTTCATCTGATGGAAAGATTGCAACACTGCATGAAATATATGAGCATCAGACAAACAATGGGAAGACAAATGATGCATACTCCTCCCCCACTCTAATTACCAATCGGCCATCATTGACATCATCAGATTCTTCCTGGTCGTTGTATACCCCTTAAATGAAAATAAATTCGAGTGAGTGTCAGTTTCAATGAGCGATTGAATGATGACCCATTGCCCGATTAAACATACATTCCAAAGAGGTGCATTTCCTCAATTTGTGAAGCTTAGGGTGATTATTGCGCATCGGAGTCAAATTTCGTCTTCCATCCATCTGATATGCACAGCTGGTAATCAATGGTCTGTGAGACATGATGATTATGGTGGAACAGGAACAACGTCGAGCATTTGAAAAAAAATGTACCATACAGTTATTACATATCCCATACCAATATGTCCAGATCTCCCAAATAGATCAATGAAAAATCATAGGGAGACACAAGGGTGGTCCTTACGGCATGATAGGACGTGTTACATCATGTAATGGATGAGATCTGACTATAGTTCATTAAATGTCGATTTAACACCCTATTGAACCGAAACTTTAATATAGTGAGCATACAGAGGCTATTATAGGGGATCAGCATGTTAATGGGGATTTTATGTATATGGATCAAGCGACTGACCACATGCTTCATTGAGTTCTTAGTGAAATGAACTGAAAGCTTAATACAATAAAAATACAGAGGCCATTAGATGAGAGGTTCAGTAGGTGAATGAGTATTGTGTGTATATGTATGGATTAAATGACCATCCATGTGTTTCATTGAGACCACGGTTTAAAATCTCTGCTTTCTATTCTACTAAACCAAAACCTTGAGATAGTGGAAGTTTTTTGAGGCAGTGCTAGTACAGGGTCAGTAATCAAATAAATCAGGATTTTGCACAGAGGAAGCGATCACCAAATGCTTCCATTGAGAATGTATTTTGTAAAGCAGAACGTGGACAGGCAGCATCGTAAGTGCATGTGTTATATCCCCACTTAAATGCACAGTTTATAATATATTTTACAGGTAATAAAATAGTTCCCTTGCTTCCAAATCATTCACCAGCTCCAGAGATCAAAAATAATAATGTACAACTTGCTACAGACCATGCAATCACATCAATAATTGCCCCATATCAACTATGGACCTATTATTATTAAGGACAAGCTCATATTCAGACGGATCATGAAAGATTTGTGGCGAGACAAGGGGGCTGTCCTTACAGCATACACAAATGTATCAGACTATTCCATTGAGTACATTGGACCCTATTTTATAAAATCTCCATTTAACATTCAATGAAAGCGAAACCTTAATAGAACCGAAAAATGTAAATAATATAATATTGCAGTAAAGGTACAGTGGCTGCATGGGGATTCCACATTGAATGAGAGATCACCTGGAACATTGTTCCATAGAGTTAATGGTGTGCTGCATTTTTGAATACAATGTGATATAAATATCGGGATGGTTTCCAGGGTGCGATACATCACTCATACAGAGGTTCACAGCGTCTGATGGATGAAGAAGATTCAGTCGACATTCTGCAGCAAATATTTGAGTTGAAGATCCTGGATTGGGACCCAAAAGGTTCAAGAATCTTGGACACTCATGGGAACACAACTGGGAGTTCTTCGAAGGATGTATCAAATACGAATAATACACCTGCAACATTTTCTGCAGCAATAGAAAACTGCCAAAATGTGAATTAGAGGATGGATGAGGTTGCAAGGCACAAGCCGAAGAGAGGTAGGCCAAAGAACCGAGTTGTTCAGCATTGTGAGTGCATGTGCTCAATCAATATTTATCCGTTCAATTGATCCTGTTATATAGGTAGCAAGCCAAGTATACACTTTCCAACAAGTCAATCAGCTCAGAATATCAAGAAGAAAAATAAACATCTCATTCGTGCCACAGCCAGCCCAATACCAGGACATTTCAAAGAAAAGCCTCATTTACTAAATATTGAAGGAACTAATCCAGGATTCACAACTATAATATGTGATGATCAAGAGCAGGGGGGAATCCTTCAGGATGAAGAGTGGGATGAAAATGATATCCTGCAGGAGATCTTGACATCTGGTATATTGGATTGGAACCCAGAGGTTTCATGGGCTGCAAATCATATCAAGGATGATGGATTAAATGGAGATGAAGAGGTAATTGAAATGTTGACAGGAATATATCATAAGGGCATCAATCAATTGAAGGATCATTCAAAGGAAAATCACCCTTGGTGTCCACATGGACGACCAGCAAAAAAAGCAAAAACACAATGTAAGTCACTACACTTAACTTCTACATGCAAAAAATGACCATTGAAAAAGGAAACAAAGTTAGGAAAACTTTCCCTGTGGACAAAATATCACCAGTACAGGATATGCAGAACGTTCATTTAGGGTACCTTATCCGGGCTACCAGCAACCCAGTTCATGACAATAAACAGGCAAAGACATATCTTGTGAACTGTGTGGGTGATATTGACATATTACACAGACAGATAAAATCACAATTGATGAACATGTCATGGGAGAAGAATTTGTCGATGCCAATTATGATGTCCTATCCATTGAGAAGGGTGCATTAGAAAAACATTTATCTTCTACTAAGCGACATCGAGGGCGTCCAAAAAGTGAGTTAGGCATGCCAGAGTAACCAGTCAGTGATGTTGTAATCCTTGTAAAAGGCAAATGTCATTTAAATTGAATTTACAGAGTCCACACATGACATGAATAATGAATCATCCTCGATTTTCCTTGAATTGGACAATGAAAACAATGAAAACATCCAATGCATGAGGTCCTGTAAGTATCAATTATCCTCCATCTGCTACCTTGACAAGGTATTAATGCTTTTGATTAGGGAGTTTGGCACAATCTACAGGAAGAGTTGTGGATGATGAATACAGGCCCTCTCCATCGCTATTAGCTACAGTACGGTCACCATCAGTTGAGGTTAAAACACATGCAATAGCTGAACTGACAGTTGAAGAAATCACCTGTGAGATTAGCACAATATTGATATAACAGGAAAAACTAATTCTTCCCAACCCCAGCTCGTATGATGGCCCAACCATTGTTTTGGACGTCTGTCTGGAACAACTGGAGTACCCTTGAGTTAGACCAATGGCTCGACGCCACAGTGGCTAATTTCTATTTGGCCCACATGTGGTATGAGGTGCATGATACATCATGCATGAGATATGTCAACATATATACAGCAAGGATGAACCCCATAACAGCTGAAGAAAAGGAGCTCTTCAAGAGGAATTATTTCCTGCCTCGTGAAGGAAGATGTCCAATGGTCCCTGTTGGATTCATAGTGCATCATTCTCAACATTTCTTTGTGGTCATATTTGACTATCAGAGACAGAGAGCTCGCATACTGGGTTGCCATATATCCGAAGATGCCATGAATGTTGATGGAGTGGATCCACATGACTGGGAAGATTGGGGTGGACCGGAATATTGGACGAGGATTGGAGACCTTCACGAATGGAGTCTAGGAGACGTTTCTGACGTCTCTGTCATCACAAAGGATTGGGTGCAGAATGGACTGGACTGTGGACCAATTGCATGCTCTGTCCTTGAGCAATGTCTCGCTTCAGGAATCAACGAGGGTGGCCACTTACCAGTGTTTGAAGTCCAATGCGGCCATTTGTTGCGCATAATTGCTGGTCATGTCAAGCTCAGCTGCAGCGACTATCTCATGCTTCTGGATAGCTCACAAGATGATTGGAGAGAGGAGGAGTTGCCAGATGAAGATCTCATCAACGACATCCAGAACGGAAGGCACCAGGCCAAATGCCTGCAGCTTTTGCGGAGACTAGGGGAGCTCAAAGTTGAACGCCCAACACCCAAGCCCAACGCCTAACACCCAACCTCGTGACCAAAAAAGAGTATACCTAGAATAAATTGTACAGGTGCCGAGATGTAGCCTGCGGAGTTTTCCGACACCTCTTCCTCCATTCATTTTTCGACCTACCTACGACATTGAGCTATGCATCCTTCAATCTCTTGCTCGTTATCCCATTCCTTGCTCCCACCTAGCACTCCCTCTTAATACTTTGAACTGTTACTGCTTCATATTCCAATAATATTATTGTAATTGTTAGAATAAAACACTATCTTGATTGCGCTGCACAAGAGTTAGAGCACAACCAAATTTGTAAGCAGGTTTCCAGCCCACCCAGCGGCTCCACCTGCTTGCGTCCCTCCCTGAGCTAATGCTCGGACCAGCCCAACACAAACAGGTCGTGCCTCCGACTCTTACTGAGCCAGATGAAGCTGGAAGTAAATACAAAGTAAACACTATGAATAAGCAAATCTTATCGATAAGCATCATCGTCACTGAAGGTGATCAATACACTACAGCCATGGTTTGTACAAGTCTGAGGCAAAGAAGCGGAACAATAGGAGCTCGCTGCCGTGCGGGGTGATGATGTAATGTTAGGGTTCAGTTAGGGTTTACTTTGTATTTACTTCTATTTATTCTAGGTATACTCTTTTTTGGTCACAAGGTTGGGCATTGGGCTTGGGCATTGGGCATTCAACTTTGAGCTCCCCTACTGACTGTTCTCAGTGCGACCTGCCAAATGTGTCAACATTCCATAATCATGCTGAATGGAGAACAGCAATCAAACTCCGGTGAGGATGGGGATGGAGGCACAGTGGATGATAATGGTGTGGAAGATGAGTGCAATGATGATGAAGATCCACTAGGAATGGCCTTACCACCTGGGAGAAAGAAAACCCTCGCAAACCTTTTACAAGCAAATAGCCAACTGACTGGATCTCGGGATCGCAAAGCTATATTACCTCGTTCTATTGGGACGCACCTTCAACTCGAGCCAGAGATTCCACCTGATGTCAATGGTAAATCACAACAATCCAAGTCTGCCTTTGCAACTCATAGGGAGGTGAGAAATTGGAATCTGGTAAGCAACAGGCGATTTCCACGTCCGATTGCTCCACGCCCCTTAGTGGCATACACTGGGAGGAGGAGGCTTCAGGATGACCGCAAATTTGACGACTATGAAGATGGACCTATGATTGAGATGTTGTCAACTTCAAGGGATATCTCTCAGACGATGACAGTTCAAGCTGGAGGATTGAAGATCTCCACAGCTTGGGTAGACTGGGTTGATCATGGGTACCGCATCACCCCAGGTTCATTCCACATATTCTATCAATGCGATCCTATAGTCACTATGGACCACGTCATGCCTATCGGTACAACCAACTCCTATGATTCTGCAAATCAGGTTCCAGATCACGTCACAGGTGCATATAGCCTTGCCAGGCAAGGGTCAGCTCAAGTAGGAGGCCAGGACATGGAGATCACAGACGTGGAAATCATGTCTGCCTCTGAACTCATTGACTCTGCGCAACACGATCCACCACTGTAGGTTCGGACACAACTCCTTTGTCTGTGGCCGCACAAGCCTTCATGATGATCATGGTCCTGCCCTGTATGTCGACCTCGAACAGGATGCAGTACAATTTTCAGAACATGATATAGAGATATTGGTGGATATAGACAGCATAATTTGGACCACAAAAGTGTTCTGATGCAAGGGGTCTGTTGGGATATATCTCACTCCGCCATTCCAAACAAAACCTGGCATATTCAAGCACAATCACACATATGTCAACATCCTCATTCCTCAATCAGAAGAAGATGCGAGGGCACCTGGTGGGAGAACAGAATGGTTGTCCAAGAGATTTCTGATGTCTGCAATTCCTTACACCTGTATTGGGCGCATATCATCTGCTTCCTCGACACTCAATCTTTATATCGCATTTCCAAGGATGATCCATAAAAATCCAGTGAATGGTTGAAGAATCACGCTGATGCCCAAAGATGTCTTGGACATTTTCTGGGATAGAGTTCTGCTTCCATCCATAGGAAATTCCACAAATGTCAGCTGGGTACCTTACATAAAGCACACATTGGAGGAGGCATGATACAAGGCATGAGGTCCAAATGGAGGAAAGGGTCGATGGGGATCTCCAAAGGCCATTTCTCTGTCAGATGATGACTTCAGGGACGTTCAAGGATGCATGGAAGATTATATATATGATGGAGAGGGTGAACTCAGCATGTTTGGATCATTCTTCTTCATCCTCGAGGGCAAGGGAATAAAGCTACTCACAAAGGATGGCCAGAGGGGGCGATTTTCAGGACCAGAGGAGGCATTGTGTCGCAATTTATCTGACCTTGATTGGACGTATATGATGGACCGGAAGCATGGAGAGCTGCTTGTAGATGTGGGGATCTCATTCACACTGCACTCTACCAATATTCCAGTTGTAGGAGTATGGAGATTAGATGCATTGGAAGCATCATTTGGTGCAGGAGGATACAAGAGAGGGGAGATACATTATCACAACACACTCCCAAGATATGGGGCATTGCAGGCCGAAATGCAGCAGGAGAGATCCCAGCAGACCCACATCACATTCAGGAGCACTTACAACCTATACTATGAGTCGATCAGGACGAACAGCAACCAAGGTAACTTTGCTTCAGACAGCGATGCCTACAAGCTCTCTCCATCATATATGGCTGAATGTTGTGAAATTTCAAAGCTTCTGGATGGTTGCAAGGACAAGACATATGGTGTCAGGGACGAGTATAGGGTCAGTGGACATGCAGCAAGAATAATACTGGACAATATAGACATCAAGGTCAGTGATATACGCTTCATTCGTAATTTATTTGTTGATTGAGTGACTTGGGCGATGATTCCTATGTAGGCTAAGGAATATTTGCGATCTAGCAAGTATCATTATCGGTTTCCTGCCTGCGAATGAATTTTTTTATTAGTTTTGTCCTCTGCATTTGTGTGTCCACCGAACCTATTGACGACATAACCTGATGGAACACTATTGTTCCGACCAACCATTAAATACCGAACCTCCTCACATTCCAAATGATGTTTGGGGATCCTATTTATGTTCATAATGTCCCTCAATCCGTTTATTAGGTTGGTCTGTGTGAAGCAGTGATGCTAATCTGTATAGTTATGTTAGTCAATGTTGCAACATCAAATGGATCAGATGGACTGACTGTGATTGGGCTCATGTAATTTGGTCTTCTCCTCAGCCAGTTCCCAAAGCAATATGGATGCACGCCTAAGACTATCCCATAAATAGACTCTCACTGGTGCCAGGATGATTCAAGGATTGTGGATCCTGTGATAATCAAGGAATGTTGCAAAATGCTGGTGACAGTCAACACAGAATATAAGAACCCAAAGTGTTGGATGACTAAGAAGTCTGTTCACCAATGATGGCACATTGACTCCTGGGTGGAACAAGCTACCCCACAATGAAGGGTGAGTCAACTGTGGGAAGCATTCCATTTCAAGGTGCTGAAGCATGTCTGCATCGTCAATCTTAAGACAAGTCAGTTTAGTGAAGATGGTAACATTGGATATTGAAGTGGAAGTGAGAGGGACTTCTATTTGCAGAGACAGTACCATCAGGGGAAGATAGTTCAGTACTTGTAGTAGAGGTGCTATGTCGTCATCATCATCATTGTTGTTGGACTGTAGGGTAAGATTATTGATTCCTGTGCAGAGTGACAAGATCTCCATGATTGTTGTTCTCTGGATATCTCCCAAGAGGGACAAGGCTTTGATTGACATCTTGGAAAACTCCTGGTGCATTTTCCGATGGCGCAGGCATTGAAGGAAGGAAGAAGCATTATCCTCATCTGGAAGCACTACCTTCTCATAAAGCTGTTTTTGGAACCTGAAATAGTATGATCATCGCCATCAGTGCAATAAATGTTGTTAATATGATTGATCATGTGCAGTGTCATCGAATACTAACCACCTCATGCTCCTTCATTGATACAAAATCCAAGATGCTGCACTTCCTCTGGTCCAAGTCGCCATGGTTAATATTTGTATCAAAATCTCAAGTGGAACTCTCATCATTGATAATATATGAAAGGAGTGCTGTTGCATGCCATCCTGATCGTTCAATTTGATTGACACACAAGAACAAACAAAATAATCTGGATCCAGATGAGAGTTATTCAAAATGGTGCACCAACCTTACTTGTGAAGAACTACACTCCACAATACTCCAATTTAGACCCATGATGAGGTCAAAGATGTTGTCATTTCTGTACTTTTCTCATTATGCCATGAGATACAATGACAGACGTGTTTGGGACCATGTGGAGTCCATATGTCTTTTTGTGGACTGTCTTTGTGTCATTATCCAGCTGGTAACCCACATGATACCTGGTCCTAAACACTCAAATTTCTGAACAGCAGCACCCTGAGTCCAGAATTTTTTTTAACCAATATCTTGAAGATCTCGGTCACCTAATTTCAGAAGAAAAATAGTTTGGTGCTGTGTGCATACATTTACCGTCACTGCTATCTCACTGATACATATATCGGTCAGGCCGCAATATAGATGGGTTTTATGGTACATGCATCATGAACTACTTATTCTTTCTGGCAGGCATCTGCTGGAACTCTAGACATAAACCATCGATTTTATTATATGGTGACACAAAGAGTCTAAGGAGACGCAATTTGTGAATATTTCTTGTTTTTTTTTTCAGGAGAACTTAATCAAATATTCGTGTACTGTTCCTCAAACATTTGTGTCAAGACAATCATCTAGGCTGTTGTTGACGTAATCTTATGTTGTTCATACCTATCTAAAATGTAACTGACAAGCCTTTTCATCCTTCGTTGGCTCATGCATGTTAAAACATGGGATGTTTTGAGTGTGCTGTGTCTACTGGAAGTGTGAGACCAAGCTCATCTGAAGGAGTTCAATTTGTGAGCACTGCTTCAAGTTGCATTTGCAGTATTTATCCTGATGATTACTCGGGTGTGCTCAAATGTCTGGTGAAGAATACCGTCGGGTCAGTCGTGGATGGTACTTTGCATTGACTGTACACGTTGTGTACTCGTGAGACTGCTTGACTGCTTTCATTCCACACTATATCTACAACTTTTGTTTCACACTATTCCATGCATCAAATTCATATTGTGTATTAGTTTACACAATGTGATATGAAGCGATCTCGCATGATATAAACTGCTCATGAGGAATGCATGGCGGTGTTGCATCCTGTAGAAATAACTTGAAGGTCTGTTTCATGACGATACATCATGGTGACTCTTTTGCCATTGTGTATTCTTGCACTGTCTTAATTTCAGTCAGCAATATCGCAGCCCTTTGTTTCACTTCATGAGCATCACGATAATTCACAGCACTTCATATTTCTGGACCTAACCAATTGACTAGTCTTTTCTATCTTTGGCGCCTTTCCAGGCGCAGACACCTAGCTTAGTGAGTGTCGCATAGATGACTGCATCTCACAGCCAAGTATTGGCCTTGTCATCATCCCAATGACTGGAGATGTGGATCCAGGGCATATCAAAGACAAGTGGCCATTGAGGTGATGTCCCAATGTGATGTCAACACAATAAAAATTATTGTTCCAAAGGCAGGAGAATAGGTGTGATAATGGGCCTGTCAAAGACAAGTTGCCATTGAGGTGATGTCCCAGCACAATATCAACCCAGCAAAAATCACTGCATGAAGCAGACAGCAGGAGAAGAGAAGCATCCGGAGATGTGGTAGTGGGGCCTGTCAAAGACAAGTTACCATTGAGGCGATGTCCCAGAGCCACGTCAACTCAGCAAAAATCACCCCATGATGATACACAGACGGTGAAAGAGGAAAGGCATCCAGAGACATGGTAATCTGTTAGGGCCTGTCAAAGACAAGTCACCATTGAAGCAATGTCCCAGAGCCACATCAACTCAGCAAAAGGCATTGTGCCATGAGTAGGAGAACAGATGTGATAATAGGGCATGTCAAAGATAAGTTGCCATTGAGGGGGTGTCCCAAAGTCACATTAACTCAGTAAAAATCCTCGTGTGATGCACAGATGGTAGGAGAGGAGGCATGATGAAGCAAAAACTATCCCTGGAAGTTGAAAACATGATTGAGATAGTAAAGAGCAAAAGTTTTCAACAAGCAGTCATGTGACCTTCCCATGGCCCCATTCAGTGACTGTCCTACAAGCAGTGTGTGAATGTATGACAAATCTTACCCTATCGGGAAGTTTCACAAATCGTCTGACATATTGCCCAACAAGACTCCACTGTGGTTAGGGAACTGCACAGGTACGGGTCAGGATTTTGTGACCAATGCAAACACCTGTACCCGTGATGTACCCATCACAGTCACAGTGTAGTGCTTACACTTGACACTCACTCTTGTATATCTATGCTTGATTGTGAGTGTTATACTACTTGTCTATACTTATTTTTGTTCACTCATACCTATTCCAGCTGATTCTCTGTCTGCATAAGGTACATTCGCGGCGCACGCATGTAGAGTTGACTCTGGATGGGGAGTTGGTAGCATTAGGTATGGATGAAGTAGACTTTCGAGTGGGGATCTCTTTCTCTCAGCTGCAAAGGTGGGTGTATTATGTGTTTTTGTGCTATTTCATCATGCTAACTGATCATTTTTAGTACCTTATGATTACCCATGTGCATACCACCACTTGCACCCTCTCATTCTTCCCATCTCATCCCTCCTTCCACTCCTTCCACTGTTCTGGTGCATTCCAGTGTCCTCCACATATGTTTGAGTCACGTTAGCATTCACTGACGTGCGCCGAGCATGTGTGCTAGGCACTGGTCTTCATAGTGACCTGCATGCCACTCATTTCATACATTGCACATGTAGACTCGACTCTGGATGGGGGACTAATAGGTTTGTTGGACAAGGTATGTGTTTTTTTGTGACATCATGCACATGGCTCACTTGAACTTATCTGCACTTGCCCATGCCTCCACTCCTCCTCTGGTGCCATCCACATATGTTCAAGCCACATCAGCATTCACTGACGTGTGCGGACATATGTGCTAAGCACTGGTGGCTGACCTGCAGGCTTATCCCTCACAGGTAATGCCTCGGGTCCATTCCTTTGATACCCGCAAGAAAACCCGCACCTATACCCATACCCGCACCACGGGTACAGGTACGGGTCCAGCTGCGCACACCCGGGGGTATACTCGTGCAGTTCCCTAGCTGTGTCTGTGAGTGATGCTGTCTCTGATGGTAGGACTTTACACTGTAAAGCATCAGCTGCAATGTAATCCTGGCATTTAATGACCATAATACAAAGGCTCATGAGTGAACGTCGATAGAAAGCTGCGAAGGCCATATATCATTGGGTGAGGCATTTAGAGACAATGTATGCTTATGGATTCTTCTTGATATATGCGGGACAGTGATTGTGATTCTCCTCATCGTCTTTAGCACATCAGAGTAGGTGTGAGTTTGATTAGTCAGAAAATCAGCTTTCTTGCAGTCCATATACCGTACCCTCTCTGAATGATGCATCATGGCGAGGTTGAAGAATGAAACACCTGTTGCAAGGCCTTCTACAGGAGTGTAAGCCGCATGAACCTGGCCAGGGGGTTGAATCCTGCATGAGTGTTAGAATACAAAATCTTAATATGTAACATAGAGCATGCATACACAAAATCTCCAGGAGCCAAATAAACCACTTCTGCATCCCACAAATCGTGCACCTCCTTCTTGTTGTTGGGATAATCCCCAAGCTTCATCATAGCACTCGCATATGCTATGTGGCCACCCCTCTGTGATTTAAGATGAAAAAAATCCACATTTTTGCACCTGACTTGATGTGAATGTATGTTGCGACACCATTGGCATCATGATGAGCAAATGAAACATATCCAGCATGATGCAGAAGCACCCAGAAGTGGGAGGTAAAGTTGTCCAGATGTACTCCTTGGTAAATGGGGCACTGTTGGGTTGTTTGACTCCAGCCAAACTATCATCCATGATCCAGATTTATGAAACAGGTCTACATGATATTGAGTCAACCTGATTGTCAGAACTGCTCACCTCAAGGGCTCTGGGAGACCTCCATGTACATATGGCAGGTCCAGAACACATTGAATTTTTGTTGGGTCATTCATACCATCGACAAGAGATGATATTGTGCCCGCCTGGTGAGGATGTGTGGAATCCGCAATACACGCTTCAGCATCTGTTAGGATACATCAAATGATATTCACTGTAATCTTCCTGCAACACTCACCATGAATGGATACAGGCATATTTGGACTTATGCCAAACTTGTGGTCAAGCTATTTCGTCATTATCTCAGTTGGAGCATTTTTTCTATTTCCATGGACGACCACGGGTTTGTTGTCACACAGAGAAAATTCAATTATTTCCACAATATTGTCACATTCCATGTCAACAGCTGATAGGTGCAGGACATGATTTGATGACGGAGTGGACTCCTGTAAAGATGCGAAGAACCTCACTACTTCAACATCACTGTACTCACAGATATTGACACCTTTCTTCAGTATAGTAGGCAGGATGGTTATCCTTCCATCCTGCCATTGAACGGTACCTGACTGTGCGGATACCTTCTATCCAACCACACCTATAGTCTGTTACGACAAACGGTCGTGTGCGACTAGGATAATCTAACAGCGACAACCACGACAGTGGTACCGAGTGCTGAGAGTCGTCGGCCTTTACAGACAAGCAAAGGTTGCGTACTCGAACGTAGCTCGTGGTGGTTAACGAGGGGTTACGCTGAGATGATAGCAGGGTTTACAGACAGTGAGAGGCATCACTGAAGGTACGAGTCGATGTCGAGCAGGTAGCTTTAGCGGGACAAGGAGTTCAAGGTTAAACCTAGTAAGATTAAAGTAAGGAACGTCTACTTTAATCTTCGACCTTATATAAGGCTACTCTATCGTGTCTAAGCTCAGCTCGAAGCTGGGTTCTAATCTGCTTATCTACATGAGTCAGAGATAGCGTCCATGAGGCGGGCGTCTATCATAGATAGGATCCATGAGGCATCCTTCTATCAGTACACGAGGCAGCATGAGGCTTGCCTTCTATCTTGATAACATAAATAGGTCTTCTAGACCTATGTCGTCATGTCATGTCACGTGCGGTCCAGACCGCTTATCTAAGCTGGCAGTTGCCGCTTATCGTCTCTCATCATCTGTCGTCTATAGAGCTGGTGAGGCTCCGGTATCGTCTATCGTCTATAGCCGTGCGGTTGGCAGAGGGCTGTCTGCTGGTGGGGGACTCATGTCATGTTACTGTAACAGTCAAGTCTTTGTCTTCATTGTCTGTGCAGTCCATCTGCACATCTATAGATGCAATAAAACAAGAATCAGTATCTGGAGCATCTTCATGTCCATCACTGTCTCCATCGGATTCATCACTGTCCATCTGCACAAGTTTTGATGCAGGATTCCAACATTGGAGTGTTGAGGAAATGAAATTTGTGTCAGTTTCTTCATGTCCATCAGTGTACATCTCCATATCTGTTGATGGACCATCCTGTTGTGGCATTGTGGCATCCTGCACATGTGAATCATGGTCTGCTCATTTCCTAGCATGTTCTTGCTGTTTTCTGATTTGGTCCTTCTCCCTTATTTTGATTCTTTTCTCTTCAGGTAGGGATTGGAGCCATTTTTGCCGTCTGACTGTCGTGGATTGGGCACTGGCACCTGACTCTGTGGCATTAATGCTATCCTCCTTAATAGATGACACACGTGGAGCCATCTGCTCATAAGCTCCAAAATTCAATAAGTGTATGTGAATCAAACATATTTGATACTTTACTGTATATAACTCTTGTCTATTACATTTTCAGACTAGTCCCCAAGTCCCCGATTGATGTGGTTTAGGTTTAAGGGCGGTTTGGGTAAGTTGATTTGTCATGTGGTCCGTGGCATGCCAAATCGAGCCAATATCACATGACTGCCTGTGTAACACTTACCGATGTGTTAGTTATAGTTGAACCATTCAGGTGGTTTATAATTGCCTGAGCTTATGTGAGCATAATTCATCTTATTAGATTAAGAAAGTGTGTTAGGATTCAGAATGGTGTAAGGGTAAAACCACTTGGGGCTAATTTGCTGGTTTCGACTGGAAGAACTGGCAAAACCAGTTGTTTTGCTGCCAACACGGTGGTCACGCACACTGAGTCTCCCTACTATATTGAAAGCTCAAATACTTGTCTTTCAGTGATGCCTACATTCGATCACCATTTGCTTGATATCAAGACACTTGTTTACAACACTATCTGAGTGACTCAGACTGCCGTAATTTCATCTCAAAAGAGAAACCATGGGTGTCATGATAAACATCACAACCTCATTATCGATGGCATTGCCTTTCTTACTGCCAACCTTCACCGGACCATACCATGTACTGGACAAACCACAGCGATAATTGCAAGTAAAACATGATGCACATCCCTGCATACACTTCTCCGCACCATGCATACTGACCTATGTTATAGCCACAAGGGCCATGGGAATCTCTATTCGTGCTTTTGAACGAGATGAAGAATGACATGCTATGAACCATATATCCGAGAGAAATTTGGACCCAGAAATACTGATACTCAGTGATGAAGCTGTAAAAGATTCGTTGATTTGGAGCCGATGTTTGAAAGTTGGAACAAGGTATTCTGCATTTACAGCTTATGATATATTGAAGTGCACTGTCTCTTCTTAAAACTTCTTCAACCTTTCTCAACTTAATCTCCTTGGCTTTTATCTTGCAAATTGTTTTCTCTTGAGTGTATGGTGCGTGCATCGAGATTTAAAAGCAAGCACTGAGGTATTTCGGGTTTCAGTGATTCATAAAGTGAGGTAAGCAAATATAAAGACTAGTATCTGTCTCAGCCTTATTTTCCAGTCACTCAAGTATTTATGGGGTGACACCTTGCACATTTCTGAGGCATACTTTAACTGATTTTCCGCATGATTTTGCAATCAGCTGGAATAGAATAACCACATACCATGCCCAGTCAAAAGTGGATGCGACGGGAGAAGAGAAAAACTTGTATTATGTGGCATCATGGCTGGCCAGCCCAGCATACCACAACTAATAGAAGAGAAATTGTCCTTCTTTCCATGCCAAGTCTCTCCAAGGAGACTAGAGCCGCTGTGAATGTTCCATTGGAAGTGACAGATCTGAATTTTGTCCTCCACCACTTGAAGGTTCAGCCTGGCATACTGCGAATATTCAATATGCTCGCACTTGCGCACCACTGTACATGAATGACCTTCATGCAAGATGCTATACTGTCTTCCACCACCAGAAATGATCAAGTCCTCAGCTTCTCATGTTTCAACAAAATAACTAGGCACTGAAATGCAAAGCAACTGCATAGCACTGATTTAAAATCAGAAAGTGAGTCGATAATTGTACATTCCAATCTTTATTTCATGTAGCTCAGGACTGAATTATGTCCTGTACTCAGGGATCATGTCTATTCTGCTGAACTTTGGACAGAAGTCATGGAACATTGGAGCTAATTCTCATAGAAGAGAGAAGGAAACGGTGTCAGTTAGAGGCGACTCTATATAGCCAGTCTATCGAAGGCTTGGAGCAATTACGATCATGTAAGATTCTTTGAATTTGGGATGCAGATGCATAGTATGAATATCTTACTATGTAGCATCAGCACACATTGAGACCTTCCAGCCATGCATGAGGTCGTGGTTCCCTCACAGATGTTAAGGACAGCTGCTGTACCTTTGGCACATACACCTGTGCCCTATACACCTTTGGCCTGTTTGATAGCTGGCAAGAGAATTGGTCAATGATGAACAAGTAAATCATCCCAGCTGCTGGTTCTTCAATTGAAAGATCTTCACCCCTGGCCGGCCCTATCCCTCCAATAGCGCAGGAACAAAAACAGAAACCCGCCATTTGAAACATCAGTACTTTAATAGTCTGATTGGCCCTATTTATCATCTACCTATAGTGCACAAACCCACATGAGTCACCACCAGCATCAAAGAAGCATTTTACAAGGCATTCCAAGCAGAACTGACACATCAGGCGAGAATGATGGTCAAATTGATCTGTGATATGCGTGACAACGCTTATCTGCGCATTCTGATGTGGGATTTGCTTGCCTTGCACGCAAAGATGTGTAGTGCCACAAACTAATAAGGGCATCAGTGTGGAGATTGGAAACAAGAGGGTACGGGCGATGACCACAAAGTTTCGTAATTTCATTTGCCATGTAACGATTCATCAAGTAAATAGTTGGTTACTTCAGAAAAAGTACCGATATGAAAGTGTGCAAGTGTGACCAAGATGGATATTGTGATAAAAACCTTGAAACCAGATGGAATACAATATAACTGACCTAAAAAATCATAGGACCCACTACTACAGGGCCCACTAGCCAAAACACTTGCCAAACAGATAACAAACATATTAACAACATAGACGCGCAAGTATCAACTTTAGAGCAACAAGCACGATGCCAGATGTATGGAGAAGACATTGAGACAATGCAGACCAAAATTTTGCCCTGCAAAGAAAAAGATTTGACACTTAATGAAAGAAATATTGACATTGGACAAACCCCACAATATGCCTCATTTCATGAGGTGTAGAGCTATAATTTCCCCACATTACAAAAAAAATTGATCCAGACGACATCAAGCAAACCAAATGTAAAAAAGCAGAATGATTGCTTAGAATCCCCATATCAGAATCATCTTATCTAATGTGAAACTTTAGCTGCAAGAGAACAATAAAGGAAACAAGACACTGATGAAGGAAAAGAGTCGTCTGCAGAATGGATGGAGAATAGTCTGCGGCACGGAGGAAGAGTTCTCTCCATCATAGAAGTGGAATAGTTGTCTGAGACATGGAAGAACAATCATCAGTACGAAAAAGAGACAAATCATTTTGGTCACAAAGAGACAATTATATTCGAGATGAAAAGAGAAGAGTAATCTGTGAGAAAAGAAGGTAGAAAGGTCATGTGAGAATCGAGGGACAGTGAAATAAAGGTAGAACAGTGCTCTGCACAAGGGTCAGAGGAATATGGAATAGCCATAAATAATAAAAAGTGTCCAGCATTATCTGGCTTAGTGAGAGTCAGGCCACGACCTATTTGTGCTGTATCACATGGCATGCATAATGTGACGAGCTGGGACTCAGTTGAAGCAAGAGTGTCAAGTGCACTGGAGTGATATATTAGTCAGTATGTCTGCAGTGCTGAGGGTTCACACTGATGTATCTCTCATCAGCTGTACCAGCTGGGAGGATAGTATGGGAGAATCTGTACTGATGTATCACTCCTATAGCCCTACTGGAAGGACAATGTATCACTTTTGTCAGCTGTACTTCCCACAAGACACCTACTATCCAAGATCCTTCAGTGAGAGCTAATGGTTTCTAGCTACATGTCAGATATAATTCGTGTCCAAGGTTGTATAAGTAAGGGTATAGCGCGAACATAAGCTGGTTAGTGATGGGTGGTATGTGACTAAGAACTATCAGAGGCACTATGGTAAAGTTGTATAGGTCTCTGTAGATGGAAATAGGCGGGTGAGCTTGGTGCAAAGCCAAGCTGCATGTGCTTCAGTATCCACTGTGGAAGGGTCCTCCAGTGCGACTAGAGTATGTTGTCAAATGGAAGACTTCCACTGTGCATGGGTAAGAAGAGCAGACTGAGGGTGAAATGTCATCACTACAATACACTCTTGAAACCAGCACTTGAGGTCTTTAGATTATTCCCCTTGCCATTTCTGCCACTTCCACTATAGGTCGGGGGTAGGCCAAAGGCTACCATGATTAGTGATCATTAGCAGGAGATCTATCTCACCATCTGTGACCCTATTGTCAATGTCTGAGCCTAATCTGTCGAAATGGAGATGCAGAGTAGCATCAGTGGATGAGTGTGACAGAGCTACTCAAAAAAGGTCTGGTGGCCCATAGTACAATGCGATACACTATACAAGGCCACCCATGGTAAGAAAATGTCGAGCATGTGAGTAGCAAAGAAGCCACCTGACTTGAGGCACGTATGCGTCAATGGTGTTACCATTTTCAGTAAGACCACAGGGCATTAAGTCAAAATAGGCAGGACAGGGTAGGATAGGGCTGTAATGGTGGGCAGCCAAGTCAGAAATGCTGAGGAACACCCTCCAGTCGAGTCCGCGAGAGAGGCAGCGAAAGGCTAAAAACTAGACAGGCACATTTAGGTATTGAACAGAATGTTCACAGGGGGCTGGATCCTTGGTACATGTAAATCCGAGTTGAACCATACAAAGGGGCAGTTAATTGCTCGATGATCCAGCGAGTCATGCTATTATTAATCTCAGATGAATTATTCAACCTGTTGATAGTCCAATTACTTGGGATCAATATAAGCAATACAGTAGGTGAGGCCTGCCATGATGTATCGAGAACGGGAGGCACTAGTATAGGTGACAGGATTTAGATCTTCTACCATATGGGTGAAGCAGAAAGGCTTACATTCAGCATTCACTTGCTTGCAGAAGGCCTCCACAACCATATCATCTGACTCTGTTCTTTCATGCTAACCTTTCCCTTGCTCAGTCTGTTGCTGCTCAACCTCTGTAGGCCTCATGTCATTGTGCTCATGCTCTGCCCGCTGCTTGCCCCCACCACACCTCTTCACACTCTACCTTTTCTGCATGGCCCTACCCCACTTAGGTCATTTCCAATTTGCTTGTCCCTGTCTTGCCTCTTTGCGCTTCTCCTTTTCATGCTTAGCCCATTCCAAATACCCTTGCTCCCATCCAGCCTCTTAAAGCTCTGCCTTTTGATTCCCAGCCTCTCCTTGCTTGGACTATTCCAAATCCACTTGCACCTGTACTACCCTTTTGTGTCCTGACTTCTTCCTCTCATTGTCTACCCTCCTGCTCATATGTAGCATAACCTCAAGTGTATCTATCAACTTCTTGTATGCTGATTGATGAGATGCAGCATCATTGTACTCAAAATATGACTGCTCTAACATTTCCCGATTCACCCTCCAGTGCTCTGCACGCTCTCACTTGAGTCTTGCATACTCAGCTTGTAGTAGTGTTGTTGACAGGGCCTGACTATCATCCACTTGATCATGGCACTGGTGCTGGATGTAAAGCAGAACCACCTAGCATGCTCTATGGCAGCATTGGGGCCACACAATGGCTGCTTGAAGACAGCATGCTCGATGGCATTGATAGCAAATATGCCACATAAGGACAAGTCACCCTGCTTCACATGAAGCAAGGTGAGTCCATGATCAATGAATGGACCAGTGAAATATGCGGTGAGCCACCATTGCAGCTTTCGAACAAGGTGCTTTGGGATGGTAGAGTCCTTGTCAGCATAGGAGTTCCCTAGTGTGACATCAGTATGTCTGCTGATCACCCGCAGAGAGGGTGCTCACCGCAGCAGAAGGATCTAGTAGTGAAATTAATCACAAGTGAGATCCAATGCATCTGTTAATTGAGAAAAACAGGGGCATAAAGAATCTTTGACATCTCCAGACTTTTCTCAAGCTCCTGCAGTAACCGGCTCACTTTTCCTTTGAAGTATGAGGCATCCTTCACCTTATTTATTTCCAACATAAAAATCGTATCAACAATGAGAGCTTGGAGAATTATAAGACTCATGTCACAGATCCAAGAGGCCATACAGGCTGACATTGGGTCCATCAAGGTACCCAACATCCAAGTGCTACTGGATAAGAAACCCACAAGAACCGAGATAGTTATTGAGCCAGAAGCAGCTGAGCCAACAAGTAGCTGATCCTAGGAGAGAAGGGACAGGTGCCTCTGCACCCTAAGAAATGTCGCTGTATCTAGGCTACCTTCTTCTATCCAGTTTTGTAACCAGCTGTTCCCATTCATCCAAGTGGGTTTTACCCTATGTGCGCCATGCAGCTCCTTCCACAATGTGATGACCCAGAGAGGTAATGGTTGGAACACATGGTACAGATCACATATCAAAAGCTTCCCATCCAAAAGAGTTTGACTGACAGCCTGTATGCATCATCAACAATCAGGTTGAATCATGCAGGTGTAGTTTGAAGACAAGACTCAGTCTGCTCCTCAGCGTCTTTCAACGAGATACTTGGCAGCTGAAACTCAAGGAAATAGGAGACTGGATGGCCATAGTCACATCTTAAAGTGACTCCAGGTCATCCAGAATTTCCACTGCAGTAGCCAGAAATATTCTTCCCTTACTAATCCATGTTAGCTGCTGGATGCATGACTATGTCAGGATAAAGGTAATCGTCTTCAGAGATGGCGCAATCGGCATCTATATGATCACCAGAGTCACTATCTGAGGAAAGAGTAACTCTGCTAGGTGGTCTGCAGTGCCACTGGAATCTACTGTGACTTTTATTGTTGAGTTTGTCCATGAAGCCAATTGTGTCTGAAGCGTAGGGTTAGAGAAAATGATGGTAAACCACCTGGAGAAGGAAATGTTTGGATGATGGAAGAGTCGAGTTCAGATTATTATCCTGGAATCCAGTACAAGGGAGGTAAGTAGAGAAATACAGAATGCATAATACAAATACCTATGTAGTTAGTAAGTAAGTCAGATAGGTACTATGTATCTTAAATTACTCTGTCATCAAGTCTGCCGGCTTAGCAAAGTTTTTTTCCTGCTTTTCATCCATGGGTAGTTTTTTAAACTCCGCTCATTCTTTATCCACCATGTGACACTGCTCCCAAATGGGAACCTTGGTTTGTATTCTATGTAAGTCTGAGAAATGATGAACATAGAATAGAATGATATCTATGTGGTAACTCAGTGCTCAGCTTCTCAGGTATTTTCCCACCCTTCTTGTTTTGTACTGTCACCTAGTACTCACAATTACTTGACTATTCAAACACACTCTTGTTTCTTTGCACTCGCCCACCACTTCCCTTTCAGCAACTAACATCTCATTTACAGTTTAATTATAAGAAACAGCACACTATGAAACTGACTTGACACATCCTTTCAGTCCATTACAATAGTTGAAGTTAGACCAAGCTGCTATGGCCCTACACACCCGTCACGGCTCATCATGGTTTTTTTTTCAGATTCCAAAATGATGTTTTGGTTTGCGAAACCCTTCGGGCTTGAGCTCAAAGAGCCTCATATACCCTTACTACCTTCTGTAAAATCAGTTTATGTCATCAGTGAAATAGATCTGATTTTCACACATTCCCACAAAAGCTGTCAGATACACATAGAGCCAGTTTGGAGGGCAGAGTGTAAAAACGGTCGATCAGAGTACTGCTGACCAACTCATCACTGAGGCTGACAGTCAACAGACCAATGACATATATACCATTATTGGGTGAGAGTTGTAAGATACATCATAGCAAATTATAAACTCCTTTTGATTAAAAATAGGACATTTTATTATCAATCCACAGTATTGTATCTCTTGTTATCAAAAGAAAACATAATGGATGCTCTGCATCAAATCTATCACTTCAAGTCCCCTGTTTTCTGAATTAGTTTTACCATGAAGAAACCTGAAGCAAATAAAATTGGAAATTTGAGACACTTCAGTATACTTTGATGGTAGAAAAGTTACTTGAAGTGCACTTCATTATATTTCACGAAGTCACAGGCAAGTAGAATATATCAGTAATCAAATGTAGCTACAGCATAATCTAAGATGAAGATTGGTCCTCATTTTATCATTATTTGCGAGCAGGCTCAGCTCAGCAACTTCACCAGTTGAAATAGTCACCCTCAAACGTCAGAGCGATCAATCAAATGCCTTAGTAATTTGTTTGGCTATCTACATAGAAACAAATAGCCCATGGTCACTCAGAGGCACCTCATACCATCATGGCCTCCTCTCCATCCTTGGCTCCATCCAAAGATCTACACCTTCAGCTCAAGTGTGTGGAACATAGAAAGCTCCATGAAAAATCTTGGGAGGTGATGGAGCAGGTGAACTCTGTAGGCTATGAACACTAGGAGGAGAGGGTACAGCACAAGATAAAAAACCAGCAGGATTATCTTTTAGAGGGAAGAAAAAGGCATATGAGCCATTACAGATGCTGGTCTGCGAAAGAGCCTGTGCAGAGGGGATTTATACTCATGCAGAAGGATCGCCTGATTAAGGAGTCTACCCCAAATGATATCAGGATAAAAGAGGACCTCACTTCTTACTTGATACCCTCTGAGATTCCCTACAGGACTGAGACTGTCCTGTGGCACAACACTGTACTTCCTGCAGTCATGCGTAACTAACACAATCTCCTCAAAAATGATGCAAAATGTGTTCGCCAGATGGCAGCCCTCCTGATCTCATCACCAACTTCCTTTTGTGTCGACCACATCAATGTAATAGGCCTAAAGGATGGAGATCTCCATAATCGAGTAGCTGGTGCTTTGAGGGATGGCCGTTGTGCAGTCATACACAGGGCAGCAGAGCCAGGCCCTGAAAAACTTACTCTGCAATATCTACATGATCAGTTTGGAATATCTGACTGGCTATGCTCCCTCCATGGTCAGCTGAAGTGTATATGTGCCACTTCTTACTCACTGTTGCATTAGACATGGCATACCACGCTGAAGATTGGACACATTTCCACGAAGATGGGACCATAGGGTGTCTATTGGATGAAATTTAATATCCTGATGAGCAGCTTTGCGCTCTGGACATCCTGCTCCCTGCCTTTACGGTCCTGTCGCCCTTCCAGTACGTCTGCCTCAAAATTGAACATGATGCTAAACAAATTCACTTCATTAGAACCTTAAACCATGCTACCATCTATGCATGAGGTGAGACCACACATGAATACCCCTTGGAAGACACTCGACCCTACCCAGATGCCTTCCTGAACTGAAGTTGGGGTCTTCTGCACCAAGCTGGAATTTATACTGCTCCTCACCATGACTCAAATGGCCACATCACATTTGTCAGAATCATGTCTGGAATGAAGATGTAGGCCATTTACAACCTGGAAGATACCTCAGCAACTTGTGAGGATGCTTCAGATGCATTCTACAAACTCTGTAACATAGACAGTGACCTTTCCTAACTTCCAAAGGGCTTTATGGCAGAGGTCGTGGTGCTTCACACGGGCGACATGCTGTAAGCTTCAATGTATCTCTCCTATACCTTACCCTGACCTGCATGGCACAGATTTATACCACCTGGGAAATTTCATGAGGTCTATATGCCACTGGTGATGTTTGCTATGGGTGGACACATCTTTTCTTACCTCATCATGCACCTTTCTGAGTGGTCGTGCTTTTTCGACAATCTGCACAGGTCTCTGTTTACCAACCAGGAACATCAAGATACCCTTTTGGTTCTGTGTCACATGGTGGTGGCTGTCCCATGGTTGTCCCATTGCAGTAGGTTACATTTCACTATACCAGTAATTGATATTCACAATTGTCCCATTGGTTAGAGCTGTACTATTGCACAATAGTAGCACTCTGTACCATGGTGCTTAACCCAGATCAGTATACATCACAACATGCTACTGAGGATGAAGATATGTAGCATTGATTTGGCAAGGGGGGAAAGAAGGTGAAGAGCTGGAAAGTGGTTAAGACTGCTTCAAAAAACAATGTAGACTTGAAGCACTGCATTCAAAGGGCCGATGAAATTGCAAAACATGTCCTGCAGGCCCTTGAACTCAATGGCCCACAGACTGCATTGGTCTTAGATGACCAACCATATGATGAGGTGGGAGATGAGGTCGAGCTTGGGGACAAACTTGCACAGTTCCAAGCATATTGAGTCACTACAGTGATGAGTAGATACACATGATATCCCAGATTAAGGATATAGGGTGACAGTTTTTGATATTCATGATATCTGCTCCATTTCTTGTCTAGTGTTTTGAATCTTAGCTTATTGGTTTTCTGCCTCATTGCCTGCACAGCGGTACTGACTGTTAAGTGAGTGCTGACCAACTGCTGACCCTGTTCACTCCTGGTGACAATAAGCCTAAATCCACAGCACTGAGATCCGAGAGCTCAGGAGTTTCAAATATAACACTGTTTAAGTTCAAGTACTTGATGTTTGACTGCATCTTGGGGGAGTCTCCACCCTTGCACAAAGTAAAATCAATGTCTATGTGTATGATCTCATCAAGGTGGAAATAGTCTAAAATTTTTGAAGCATGTGATATTTCATTGATTGAGAGGTGAATTTGGAGTCCAGTTTCTGTCGCTCTTGGGGAGCATAAATTTGTGAGTTCAGCGGCCCTCATCTTGGGATAAAAATAAGATATATTAAGTACATGCAATAAGTATAATGATCTGAATATGAAACTATGTAAAACATACTCCATTTGAGAAGACTAGTACAGGTGTCCATCTGTATGCAGTGAATGAAGTATAGAAGGGTCCTGAGACATTCATGGTTCCATGCCAGAAGCTTGCCGAATAAGAGCAAGAATTGCAACCATGAGTGCTCAGACACAACTTGCAGACTGTGTGCTACAGCTAATCTTGCACTAAGATTAGGCAGACACCAACTTGACAGACTTGGTCTCCATAATTCATGCGCACCTGGACAATATTGTCAGCTAGATGGTGCAATTATTATGCAAGTGACTGTAACATCTTGGGTCAATTCAACATTTCACAGTCACCAGTCATTTAGTCACCAGTTATTCAGTAGCTTCTATACTAGTAATTCTAATGCCATTTGTGCACCATATGTGTATGATTCTGTTTTATGTGAGAACTGTCACCTTTTGGTACTAGAATTGATTGCAGGTCGAGCTCCAAGCATTCTTCAAGTTGACTACGGTCTGACAAAGTGACCCGCCAATGTAGACCAATTTAGACTATGTCTGACATATGGTGTATGTGGACAGAACATTGTCTATGTAGAATATGTAGTGGTAGCAGTAGTCAAATGAGGATCAATCTATTCCTTTCATCAACCTCTGCACCCTTGTGAAGCCTACTCCATGGCCTGGCAAAATACCCTAGATGAGCTGAAAAAAGCTGCACTAGCAGTCAGCAATCAAGAACTGGCATCTGAGAGTATCATCAGAGTTAAGCACCTGACACTTCAGCATTCTGCAGACCATTGGGAGGAACTTCACACTCATGTTCATGCTATCTTCGGTTGGGGACAAGAAGGAGGTTTGCTATCTTCAAAATCAAGTCAAGTAAACTTTCTCATTATACACAACTTTCTAAATACCTTTGCCCATGTTGGGCAAGAAGTTGGAGAATGATCTCACCTGTCTGCAATAGTTCCTTGGATGCAAGCAGCACTTGATCTCTGGTGAGTTAGTTTATAAAGCAATGGCAAGGGGGTATCACTCACCATGCAATTGTAATCAAAAGGCTCCACAGTCACCTGTGCATGACTTAGATCTACTGTCACACAAAAGCTACAGAAACCAGTCAGTGCTGCTGCACTTCCACATGAACCCACCTCATACTACCACCATACCATTGCCCGATACCCAGCAGGAGTATATTAAGATTTTAAGAAGCTCAGATGGGGCAGACAAAGAAAGCAGTGATGAGTCAGGAGGAGCTTATAATTCTTGGGCAGGAACTGTTGAGCCATTGAAGTTGGTTTGTGGAGAATGACTATGATGCTAGTTTACGTATCATATGTTCTGCGACTTGTACATGCCACTTTGTCTCTGATGGGAAAGCGACATATGAGCAATGCTGTGCACTGGACAAAGACAAGAGCCTACAGTAGCAGCTTCAATGTTTCAGTTGTCATCATCGTAGTGGTATGTTTCAACTGATTTGAATGAAAATAATAGGCTTCAAAACAAGGCAAAGCTGATGTACAGCTTTCAGAGACAGATCGGAAAGTAAGGTTGAAAAGTAGCGAGTCACAAACACAACATTAATACTTGTTCAAACTTGCTCTGCCCAGCTGAAGGAATACTTCAAGGATCCACGGGTACATCAAGCATGTCAGTTACTTGAGAATGATGATTATGGACAAGTGTTCCTTGAGTTATTCAAACATGCAAATGTAAGTCATCCAATCCAAATGTTATACTTGCCCTTGTGTTGAATGACGAAAAGAGTGGGCATCTGCAGGAGCATGGTTTATTTATCAAAATTGTGGAAGCATTAGCCGACAAAGTAGGATGAACCCATAGCGACAATCCTAATGCAAAGTGTGGTGCACGCTATGACTCAGAAGTGATGAATTTTTTCATTGCTATGTATGGATATGGAAAAAGCGCAGTACAATATGGCCTTCTCAGCTAGGTTATTGGAGAGTCTGCCAGCACAGATTATGATGAGCGTCTTTCAGCAAGCACAAGTTCATAACTTATAGTGGATTGGAAGTGCTATTGAAGCTCAAACTAGCCATCATATGGACAGCCTATACCTTTTGCCTCACAATATTGGCCGTCTCATTGACAACATTGCCCGCCGTGGTCACCAAGGTGTCCCAATTGTTTTGGTCATGGATTGCACAGTGGTTCATGATCATGACTGATAAGATATGTGATTCTAGTCATTGATATAAGTCATTAGGTCAAGGGCTGATTCCTCGCATACTGCACAATGTTTGGGTCTCATATTCTGGGAGGTATGAAACCACCGTCTAAAGTTGAGATCAGCATGTGTGAAGATATAGAACATATAATCAGGGAGGTTGTTGATGAAAGCTCGTTAGCATCTCAAGTCCATGTCCTGATAGAGAAGGTGTGTTTTTTTTTACAAGACAAATCAGCAGTTGCAGTGCCTTACTTGTGTCATTAGACACCACTGCCTGGTTTATGCCCCATTACCCTGCTAGTTGCTGCCAGTCAAGGCAAGGAAATCACTGAAGATAATGCTCACACACTGCTTGACTGCCTCTCTCTAAGTCAGGGGGGAGGGCAGGATTAGCTGTCATTTCTTATGGATCAGATGGTGCTTTGAGTGAAGTTGGTGCCCACAATATTATTCATAACTCAGCATTGGAATGGTTGACATTTTCAATCAAAAAGTTCAGGTTTGTATTCAATATTCCTATTTTTCCAAGTGGTCCCTTATTGACTGTTCCTGACATGAGTCACATCCAAAAGGTATTGCGGAACAACGAGCAAAGTGGAACATGCCTTCTCAGTGTTGGAAATCACTGTTTGACCCATCAAACACTTGTTACACTATGGGAGGAGCCCAACAGTGGCATGGTAAAGAAGGATGTTGAGAACACGGACAAGCATAACGACAGGGCAGCAATTAGATTGTTCCATTCTAATGCATTATGAGCATATTTGACAGGTGGCGGTCAGTCAATACAGACACCCTATTATCTTGCATTTGTGGTGCATTTCATCTGTGGTAAGATTTTGTTTTTGTAATGTACTAAGTACCTCCTTCAAGCATAACCTTTCATATGCTGAACAAGTATGTGCTGCAATGTGAGCCAAATTCTTCCTTTAGCTGTGGCACAATCATATTGCTGACAAAAGCAAACACCCAGTCTACGGCCATCTCTTTCCTCTCCATCGCAGCTTTATCTCCTCCCAAAATTTCAAGTCGCTTGACTCACATTGTGATGCACTCATAAACCTTGCACATTTTTACCCACTCAAGCGGGCTGGAAAGCGGAAAGCAAGATGTGAGGGTAATGGTGAGAATGATGATGACGATGATTTGGAGAGAGTAGTTATCCCACTGGAAGCCATGTGTTATTGTTCTGAGCATTGTCAACCTTTTTAATGCCCGCACCTCCTTAAAACTGTTCACGCGAGTACTAATGCCAATCATTCCAATCACTACTCTCAATTGCACACTAGATGTTGCTGTTATGGTCTGCTTGTGCAAATCTCATAACCAAAACTCAGGTATTCTCTCTGAAAAATATTTCGAGCAGAAGGCCAAATACTCCCACTACAAGCTGAAAAACCTGGCCAGAGCCACAGCACAACTCAACTCAGCCACTGGCCTTGACATGTTGGAGGGTAATGGTGCATTTTGTAGTGATGGACTTGGAGATAGATTTGACTTATGAGTTTGCAGTTGTAGCACATTCAAACAAAATTCAACATGTCCTTCAGGATTCAATTCACACAAATAATGACCTGCAGCTTCTCATGCACAAGCAACAGGGTAGCTACTCACATATTGAGCATTGAATGGGTACCAAGGCAAATATTGCTTGTGATGATGGTGGTGGAAGCTCTTCTGCTAGTATTGGCACCTGGGCAATCGCAAAGCAACTAATTGCGGCTGTGCCATGCCTTGAAGATAATTATATGTGTTGCATTTGATCACTCTGAGTTGCCATCATCAAACATGTTTTTTTTCGCTCTTCAGTGCCTTGAGTTACAACATGAAATGTCAATGACATATCACCACTGGCCATTGGGTCATTTGTGATCATGCAACACTCGCAGAGCAGCTATATTGGCCAAGTGGTTTGCATGTACAAGAAGAATGGTAGTAGTAAAGGCACTTGGCATGAGAGTGTTCTCTTTGCTGACACAAAAGATGTTCCATCACTGATAAACTTAGGATTGCGGGTTTTCATTCAGGCAAGTAGTACCTAGGACTTTTCTTTCTTACTTATACTGATTTTAATTCCTGAACTTCTAAGGTGCATCCTGAAGAAAATAAAAACTCATTTTGGCACTACAGCAAGTCCACTGGACATTTATGGACACTTGCCAGTATCAAGGAACTCATCTATAATCTCAGAACATCTGCACTCAGCATCCTGGACATCTAGTATCACACTCTAAAACTGTGGGCTTTTGAACAGCAAGTTTTGGTTCTACAACAGTTCAAAAATGTAAATTTATCTTTCTCTATAGATGGGAGACAGCTGGTATGGTGTTTTTTGGTACTAAGCATGTGATGAAATCAAATGAGATCTGTACTCAATTTTCTTACTCAAGATCAGCATGTTACGCACTCAAATAGATCTGTTAGGCGGAGCCCTAAGAGGGGCGTCGTCCGCTAACGTTCATGACATAACCGGAAGGGTCCGGTATAGCAAGTGATACTGGCGACGACAAGTCGGCAGCGATCACAGTACGTGCGTGTCACGTGACTTCATAGACGGATGTCTGTGAAGTCGCTCAAGGTAAGGACAGTCTTGTCCATACAATGAGGTCGATCGAGGTAGACTTAGTCGCGATGAGCAACTAAGAAAAGATACTAGAGACTGAAGCCAAAGGGGCGTTCAGAGGGAAGTATGTTCCAGGGAAGATTGAGTAGATTCAAGTTAGAGAATCTAGTACAGGGTGACCGACTACTTATACTAAGTGGAGAGGGTTAAGGGCAAGGCTACCGCACAGTAGGTAAGGGTAAAGGGGAAACGAGAATGGTATAGGTGCGTTGGCAACATAGCCGGATTAGTGATGGTTGGTCGAATGTGGAATGCGACCGAGAAATGTTGGAACGAACCAACGGTAAGAATACAACGTGCGGGAATCCGCAGTCAGAGGGAACAGAAAGAGGAAAGCCACATTGGTGGCACGAGGCAGACTGAGTCATAGGTGCGGGACCACATTGGTGGTCGAATCAAGGGAGGAACGTGCATGCACGTGCATAGAGGCGGGCGATGCGAGGGACGGGAACGGTCCCGAGGATCCGGTCAATGGAAAGTCGGTAAAGGAGGACGAGCCGGTAGATGGTGAGGGCGAGGATGAAGGGAAAATGATAGGGGGGCCACGTGACCGATGTTACTTGTAACACAGCAAGCCTCCAAAGTACTACGCCCCAAGAGGAAAATTTACAAAATTTACAGACATGTGGGTATAGGGAGCATCCGGGGTCCTCCATAAACTAAAGTTTAGTTGTTTGTCATTGATTATTTTTACAAACAAACTTGAACAAATTCACCTAGAGGAGAACAAAAGAACACAAGAGAACTGCAACTGAGTTATTCTTCTTTCTCTATGGAACATGGTGTGAGTGTCGGACTCCGCTCTATAATCCCAAAATCAAAATTCTTAGAAGAACTTCTGTTGATTATTACCAAGAGCAAGATGTATGTGCACGTAGATAATGGAATTCCTTCAGTATGCAAAAACATGAACTCCCTGGCACTGACAGAGTACTAGAGTGTTACATTATGCAGATCTCTGATATTAATGGTATGGCCATTGACTATGCAAACATGGTTAAGGATCTGCAACTGCCCACAGATTCTCAGGAAGTGCAACCCCTCACGAAGAAAGAGCTTCAGGCAGCACATAAACTTGCAGCAAAACAGCGAAAATGCACAGAACAAGCAGCATTGTCTGCCAGACAACCTGTTCTAATTGCTGACAAGGAAGTTATTCCGATCGGAAATGATGAGTCTACCCAAGTGCTAGTGTCGAAAGTGTGGGAATGTGGTTCAATGATGAGCAGACATTGTCTTACTGGGTTCGGAGAGGGCGTCAGGTGCTTGACAGTTTTGGGATCATGGAGTAACCAAGTAGGTGATGCTATTTAGTTCTAGTAGTGCACTTGCCACATCTCGTCATCAAAGATGTTTTGAACCTTTGCGATTGTGTGAGCGGTATTTCATACAGCATAATACTGTACCTCTTACAAACCTCTCACATATTTAACTTGGATGATCAACGATCTGTCCCATGTGAACGAACATTGAGCTCATACTAGTATCATAGTAGGAAGTGAACTGTTCTGCATCAACAAAAGAGCCCGAAGCATATAAGGCCTTGTGAAGCTTACATGAGTACACAAGTCTGTTAACCAGCTTACAAGGTACATATAAGGTGCATATAAGGCATTAAATTTTGATACAAGCCCTGATATTCAACATATATACTTCGGGCAGCATATATTGACATACATGTTTCAGGCTCTTTTGTTGATGTGACACCCTTTTTAGCATAGACTCAGGACTAGCCTGGCTTATAATAGAGTATCATGCTTGCTAAATTTGAAATAGGATGATTCCATATTATGATATCCTCTTTTACCTCCATGTATGCTCCACTGCCTAAATCTTCAGCATGAACAGTGGATCCTCAGCAAGGAGGACCCTGACTAAAAATATTCTGTGGCATGCAGATGACGGTTATGGACCTCCTGCTGCACACCATCCAAAAAAAGCCTGGCATGGGCTTTTAGAGGGACAAAGTAATGATCTTGCATGGCAGTTGCTGGATGTATTAGAAGCTGATGAGCAAGGGCAAGTAAGGATATGAGAGCAACACCTGGCCCAAATGGCACCTGCAAAGTTTCAAACTCACTGTAGCACTCGAGCTCACATTGAGCACGTATTCAGTTATTTTCCAATACATGTCCAATGCCCGTCACTTGCCAATCATTCCCAAATGTAACCCGATGCTAACCCACTCAAACCTGACGAAACCCGACTCGTTGATTAGCAGACCCGATGTTTCGGCCGCATCAGCTGACCCAAAATCCTGCACACTTGTCCTGTCCATGTCCCATTATGTCTTGCTAGCCTCACTAGGTGTGTAGTTGATTATTTTGCACATTACTCATGTCATAGCCAGCACTATTACATGTTTTCCCATCGTCCGCAGTACCTCGTGTTTGTTTACATGTACTTCGGATCCAATATATTCGGCCGCTACTTTGCCTATGGGTTTCCAGATTTCTACATACTTGTTACAAGTAACATCGGTCACGTGGCCCCCCTATCATTTTCCCCTCATCCTCGCCCTCACCATCTACCGGCTCGTCCTCCTTTACCGACTTTCCGTTGACCGGATCCTCGGGACCGTTCCCGTCCCTCGCATCGCCCGCCTCTATGCACGTGCACGCACGTTCCTCCTTTGATTCGACCACCAATGTGGTCCCGCACCTATGACTCGGTCTGACTCGTGCCACCAATGTGGCTTTCCTCTTTCTGTTTCCCCTGACTGCGGATTCCCGCACGTTGTATTCTTACCGTTGGTTCGTTCCAACATTTCTCGGTCTCATTCCACATTCGACCATCCACCACTAATCCGGCTCTGATGCCAGCGCACCTATACCATTCTCGCCTCCCCTTTACCCTTACCTACTGTGCGGTAGCCTTGCCCTTAACCCTCTCCACTTAGTATAAGTAGTCGGTCACACTGTACTAGATTCTCAAACTTGAATCTACTCAATCTTCCCTGGAACATACTTCCCTCTGAAGCCCCCTCAGCTTCAGTCTCTAGTATCTTTTCTTAGTCGCTCATCGTGGCTAAGTCTACCTCGATCGACCTCATCGTCCGGACAAGACAGTCCTGACCTTGAGTGACTTCTTAGACATCCGTCTACCAAGTCACGTGACACGCGCATACTGTGATCG